TAGCACCACTGCCCTCCGAAGTGGATCAGCTTTTGCTGAATTCTGGGCAGGACTGCAACCTGACCAATGTCTACTTCAGCATACTTTGCCGGTAAGTGTTTAAGGACATTAATAGATGTAAGAATGTAAGAAGCTCGATCTGAAGTCTTTTGCACCATCTGCTATCTGTCTCTTTTAAACAGGGCTCTCTTATCATGCATAGCATGTGCTCTGAGAAGTTGTCATCTTTTAGAAGATTCTCTGTCAATTCTAAAAATGTAAAGCCACCAAAATAACATTAAAATCCAATATTAATGCTGGAGTTTCAGATGATTTTACAACAGGGACTTTATTTAAGAAAATTTGTATGGCGACCAATTCATCATGTGATTCTGGGCAGCTTACAGAAATAAAACCCCAATTCAAAACCCAATAAACCCCCACCCTCCTGACAACAACAGTCAAACCAACCACTCCATACCACCCTGCAATCCCCAGGCTTGTTGACAAAATCAGGCCTTTTGAAAGAGTATCAAAATGGTGACCATTTCTGTAGAGATGATGTTCCACAGGGAGGGAGCCACCACAGAGAAGGCCCTTCTTTTTGCATCCACCAGTTAGACTTCCTTTAAAAGGGTGATTTTACGACAGGGATTTCTCCAGGGATGGCTTTTAGCAACTGGGACAGTAAGAGAATTGGAAGGGACCTTGGAGGTCATCTAGTCCAACCCCCTGCTCATGCAGACCTGTATTAGGGATTTGAACCACCGACCTTTCTGATTGACAAGCTCAGCATCTTAGCCACTGAGCCACCTAGGGAGCCGCCAGAATCATTAACAGGACAGCTGACCTCAGTTTTCTTCCAATTGCACACTGGGGAAGATGGGATCAAATTTGTCTTCGGGAGTAAAAATCTTTGGCTACTTTGCACAATCAAAAGTTTTGTATAGATAAACCAGGTTCTGATAATCTGATAATCAGGTTGGCTTTTTCTTGTGAAGCAATATGTGCTGGGTATATGGGTGATGGGAAAGAATGCTGTCTCTAGGGCATATAGTCAAATGCTCTTGAATGGCAACATAACAGATACAGGCTATATTTGCCTGGCATGTGGAACAAAAGACTAGCTAACTATATTTTATCTTATTGAATTCTGCAAACCGACTTGTATTATGCCAATCCAGAAAACGGACTAATTGAGTAAACCATGGTTATGCTCTCCTCTGAAAATGATTACTTTAACACAATGTTATAGTTCACCTGCTTTCAGAATCTCTGCATTGAAGAGAAAAAAATGAATGCTAGATCAGAAATACTCAGCAAAATAGTCTCTTGATGTGAACTGGAGAATTTGAGCTCATTTGATGGGAGAACTTGGGTTTATTGTATTTGCTTTTTTAAGTTCTACTGCCAAAATAAATGTTGAATGTTCCTAACTTGAAAACGCATTTCAACCATAACTGTTTAAATCTGGTGACTTACATTTAGTTGCTGTGCCTTCAGCTGTAATCAGTGGGAGCTTGAGTCACAACTAATTTTTACAAAAGATTTAAGTGAAATTTGTGCAATAAATGTTCAGCGCCCAAACAAGAAAATTTTTCTTGAAGTCTACACAATTGAAAGCAGATGGGAACTGACGATGATCTGACTTCTTTTACTGAATAGCTTTATGAGTGATGATGTACAAAGTTAAAGTCATGAACTGAAGCATCCCAATGAAATTGATTCTGAAAGTTATCCACCGCCCTTCATAGTGAAGCCAGTTTGCTCTGTTTTTTTCAGGTGGGTTCGTGGTCTGCAGTCTTCGCCTCTGGCACTCCAATCCAGCTGCTCAATGTCACATTAGCAGGAGCCCCTTGCCATTCTGTGCCACCCTTAGGAGAGGAAGAACGCCAGCGTCGCTACCACGGCTGCCAAAATCTTCCCACCATGTTGTGGTATCAGAGCAGGCATCAACAGGAACTACAGCAGGATGACTGATCAGGGTGGGCACTGTCTTGGGGGTGTCTACAAGGCCCAGAGCCTTGTTCTGTAACCAGAGGCCCTTTCCTCTAAGGAGTTTTTTTGGCTTTGAGGGACCCAAATGCAATTAACACCAACAGTCATCCAATGGGTGGATATGATACTGTTGCTGGACATTGCCATAGTAGGGAGAAACGTTCCTAGTAATTCGTCTACAGTGGACTGTACAGAGTTCAATTTTCCAAGGCAAAACAGAGAAACACATGTGCCACTGTTGGTTCTTGTGTTAAACACAGATGAGAAAATGTTAGATCATAAGTGGGGGAATGAAATTGGAAGATTCCAGTCAGAAGTCAGAATATATTTGTGGGGAGGGGGAATAGACTTCTAGGATAACAACTTAATGCCAGGGAGAGTAGGAAATGCACAGTGGAGGAAGTACAAGTGTAAAGGAGTAAAGCATCTACACTAGTGTACAAACTGTGCTGCTCTCTTGTGTATAGGAATCTCCCCCCACACACACAACGCATATATCAATTTCCCCCTCATGTTTTTCTCCATATAATACTCAGAGCATCCTGGTGAGACAGGAATGGGTGGGAAGAACAAGTTTTGAAACAATCAAGCTCTTGAATAAAAAAAGCACTGTTCTCAATTTCCAACTATGGCTGTTTACTTGGCATGGAGACCCATAGAGTTAGAATTAATACAGGGGTGAATGCAGGGGTGAAATCCAGCAGGTTCTGGAGAACTGGTAGCGGAAATTTTGAGCAGTTCAGAGAACCAGCAAATACCACCTCTGGCTGGCCCCAGAGTGGAGTGGGAATGGAGATTTTGCAATATTCTTCCCCCAGGAGTGGGGAGGGAATGGGGATTTTGCAGTATCCTTCCCCTGCCACGCCCACCAAGCCATGCCCACAGAACCGGTAGTAAAAAAAATTGGATTTCGTCACTGGGTGAATGCCCTCTTGCTGCCACAAAGGCAATCTAGCAAAGAACCTCAGGAAACATAGCTAACTGCTCTTGCTTTGGAAAGAGTCAAAAACCTTGGGCTGGACGTTGGGATCATCCTGATGCGATCATGATCCAATGTGTTCCTGACATACAGTAGGCTAAATGTGCTCATTAATTTCTACCTGAAGCAGTTATTCCTCTGTGTTTTGATCACTGCAGCTGCAGAATTTTCAGCCATCCTATCACCTGAGTTTCCATAAATACAAGCCTGGTCATGCGATGCCTCGACGATGATAACAAGGACTTACAACCAAAATTCCAGTCCCAATTGTGGTCATAAGTCAAGAACTACCTATAATATTCTTGGTTATGTCCCAACTGTGGTTTTAAATTGAGAACTAGGTATAACATGCTGTAAAAGCCACTTTGGGGTGGTAATTAAAAATACCAGGCTAGAAACCGGGACACAATGAGTTCTATCTAAAGTCTGAAGCCACTTGGTTGATTAGGCCAGTCCCTCTCTCTGCCCTACGAAAAAAACCATGATAAACCACTTTTAAATACTCCCCCCCTCAAAAAAAAATATCAAGGACTTGTCCAAGATATCATCAATTAAGACTGATTCAAACAGATAGATACAGATATATACAGCATGTGTGAATAATCAAACCTGTGATAGGGGAGGGACTCCGATGTACAGATAGTTCTCACTTAACAATTGCGCTGCTTAGGAACCATTTGAAATTATGATGCTGCTGAAGAAGTAACTTTACAACTGGCTCTCGTACTTACCACCTTTGCAGCATCTCTGTAGTCACATGATCTAGATTCAAGCACTTCAAAACTGTCAGGCATTTTCAACTATTGCAGCATTCCAGTTATGAGTGCCAGTTTTGCACTTCAGTTGCCAATAAGCAGAGTCAATGGAGAAATGAGCAGTAAAATTGCAAATTGCATTCACGTCTTGCTTAATGACTATTAATGACTTAGTGATGGAGTTGGCGACCCCACTGTGGTTATTAAGCAAAATCTACTGTACTTTAGGAGAAAAGGCTACTAGAAGCCTTTTCTTATTTATTACCAATCTAGAAGTCTAGTATTTACCACCAATTTTCCCACAGTACAACTGATCACAGCTGCCCATACAAATCAGCAGCCTAATTTACACATCTTGCTAAGCCACCATGTGGCTTATTTGATTCTTACGTAGTTTTTGATATGAAATCTACCAAGAATATGATTTAAGGTAGAACTAAAGAATCCTCGGCCTAACGTGTGAACCCAATTTTTTTTTCTTCCCTCATCCAGAGATCCGTTGCTTTTCAAAATCAGAGACGTTTAACCTCTTTTCACTGGATTTTTCTAACAGCTCCCTTGTATTTATTCCGTCAATTGATTATCATGCACTTTTATGAGTCAATACGAATAGGGCTACTGGATCTGGACTGCAGACCAGAGGTGATATTCAGCAGGTTCTGATAGGTTCTGGAGAACTAGTAGCGGAAATTTTGAGTAGTTCGGAGAACTGGCAAATACCACCTCTGGCTGGCCCCTGAGTGGGATGGGAATGGAGATTTTGCAATATCCTTCTGCCAGAAGTGGGGAAGGAATGGGGATTTTGCAGTATCTTTCCCCTGGAGTGGGGTGGGAATGGAGATTTTGCAGTATCCTTCCCCTGCCACGCCCACCAAGCCACCCCACCCCCACAGAACCGGTAGTAAAAAAATATGAATTTCATCACTGCTGCAGACCAATAGATAATGGAAAAATTGAATGGTTTCATATCCTTTTGCTGTCATCTAATGGCTATCTTGATTTTTGCAACACGAGCCTGGTACTAAAACAATATTCAGTGAGACCTGGTAGGCTCTAGTGTCTTGCTCACCCAGGCCAAGATTACCTCACCTTGGGATAGGGCCTTAAGTAAGTAATAATTGTCAATTCTCCATATAGCCACCATGAAGGAGCAGCTAGTAAACTAGGACACAGGTGAAAAGATGCATTTCTTCTCTCTCTATCCTACCGTTTCCACCCACAATGAATTTCTGCCCTTGCCTTAATTTTCTTTTATTACCGCCAGATATAAATAAAAACCAGATTCATAATTATTAGTAAGACCAGCACTTTATGAATCTTCCTCCTCTCACCAACACAATAGTTGAAAAGGATTTTCAGTCAGTTACTACTTAGTCCTTTCTTTTTAACCAGCGAGACTGAAACAAATGCGATCTGCAAATTGATCTGAAAACAGTTTATGAAAATCAAACAAGACATTTCAAAATCAGAACTTATGAAAATGCGCCTCCTTTCCCTGAGGATTCCTCTGGTTCCATACAGAACGCTGGCAATACTCACAGCTGTAAGTATTTTCCTCTCCCCACCTACCCAGTTCATCTTGTGAAGGAAGACATTTATCTGTGTCAATGGTGGTAGGGCAAGGTGACTCTGGTCCTCTATTTCTCCCCTTTACTAGCAAGTCTGGGTCACCAAGCAACGTATTTTGCACCCGACAGCTGCTTGTAGGACAACTTGTGGTCCCATCACTATGAGCAGGCTAAGAATAAACTATGTTTATGCTTCCTCTAAATTTGATTTCCATAACCACCTTGGTGGATCTGCTAAATGTTCTAGGGACCAGAGCTTTCCCATTGCGTGAGAAGCCATCACAAATGTCCAGGGTAAGGTAGCAGCCCCCCTTTTTAGTTTCAAGCTCCATCGTGCAGGAGACATTCAATGGTTTTTTCAGTTGCTTGGCTATGATTCATCCTCTGATTCATCCTCCTCTTCATCCTCCTCTTCTTCAGGCTCCTCTTCTTCAGGCTCCTCTTCTTCAGGCTCCTTTTCTTCAGGCTCCTCCTGAGTTTCGGGTTCATCCTGAGTTTCAGGTTCAGCCTCCACACTACCTGCTTCTAATTCCTCAGGCCCAGCTTTCGATAGGCTGACCTTGCTGTCGATGTCTGAGCCACTAGGCATCTCACTCCCTTGGTGAGCCCACATGTCAGAGTAGAGGCCCCCTTTCTTTAGCAGCTGCTCGTGCCTGCAAAATGGAGCAAAAGTTAATTTAAAAGACTCCACAGAAAAGCACATCCCTTGCTTATGTTGCTCTGGACCTTCGCAGCGGAACTTTCCCAACATCACATGTACCTATCCCGTACAGTGCACTACCATCCTGTAAAGCCTGTCCTTTTGTCACAGGCGGTGATGGCTTTCCCAATCTGGACATTTGTCAGAAGGTTTGGTGATGGAGGGGATAAGCGGGAAATTAAGGGAGTAACAAGAAGGGCTCAACCTTTCTGACCCTTCCCCCCAGCTTCCACAGTACTGTCTTCCATCCTTAGAATGGGAGGAAGGTACGCCAGAATGAAACTCATTGCCCCAGGGCAATCCTCTTACCTTGCCTTGGGAATGAGGCCTGTAAAGTCACTGCCCTCACATGGGGACAGCACTTATCTGCACTTGCTGGTCTCTGGAGAGCAAAGGGCAGGGAAGGGGAAGACAGCTTTCTTCTCTGCAGCCTGCCCTGGCCCTCCTCTCCACCCAGACTAGTGCAGTTCTTTCACCTTTCCTGTTGCTCTCACATGTAAACAGAGGCAGGGAGGGTTCTCCGATAGACTGAAATCAATCCAAACAAATACTGGGGCTTCAGGAGAAGAATTTTCCTGCCAAATGGGTTTCACTTGCTGCCTCTATTGATACTTTGCACTAAACTGACTGGGTAGAGGGCAGGTGAGGAAGACAAGGGTGTGGGGGAATCAATGCCCAGAAAATAGTGCCATGATGGGGATGGGGTATGTGTGGAATAAATAAGGCTTGCGCTGAGCAAGGTTGACCAATAATTTGCATCTGAGGCTAATACTCCACTTCTGATTTGACTGTCTCAAACTAACCTTTTGGCAAAGTAATCTAAGGCAGTAGTAGAAGCAACAATAATAATTGTCCTGTTGCCGTGATTCCACTGTCTATTTTGAACAGGACTTGAAAATGGGGAAATCCGCACTTCTGTTAAAACTTGTTTAGTGGAAAATAAAGTGGGGAGAATATAGCGGTTCACTTCCTCCTTTCCTAGGAATTGGCTTTTTAAACACAAGAAAAGCTGTTGTCACAGTCTCTTTTACTCTCTGAGATTTTTTGTATTTGTTTACCTTCCACGCTCTATCACATGGCCATTCCGGATAACAAGAATTTGATCAGCCTTAACTATGGTTGATAACCTATAAAGGACAGATAATCACTATTATTTAGAAGCCAGTATGTACAGTTCGACAGCTGTCAATAACATACAACACATGACATGCACAGTTTGTCATCTCAGATGTAATCTGTCTCTGGGGAAAGATCTATACAAGGATGATGCTACCACAAAATGTTCTGAAGAGTGGAAGATGTACAACATAGCAACACGAATATCACATAAGACTTATATACCTCTCCATAGTGCTTTACAGCACTCTCTAAATGATTTACAAATGTCAGCATATTGCCCCCAACAATTTGGTTCCTCATTTTACCAACCTCGGATGGAAGGCTGAGTTAATCTTTTTTTTTTCTTTTTGTAAACAGGTTTTACTAGAATTTTTCCTTCATCATACATATTTTATGAACAGAGTGTTGACCGGGTCACATCTTATACAACTTATATATTTTAATCTTTATAATCTATTCCAACGCAAATTTCTCTGGAAGGCTAAATTAATCTTGAGCTGGTCAGGATCAAACTCCTGGCAGTGGGCAGAATTAGCCAATATTGCATTCTAACCAGTGGTGGGATTCTGCTGGTTCTAGGGGGTTCGGCTGAACCCTTTGTTAAATTGCTGGCTCACCCCGCCCCTTGCCCCGCCCCTCCGCACCACTATTTATTGCCAATAAATAGTGGTGGGCGAGGGGCGGGCGAGCCAGCAATTTAACAAACGGTTCGGTGTTTTTTTGTAATTTTATTGGCCCGTGGAGCTTCAGCATAGGCTAATTAACCCCTTGATTCTATCGGCCTCCCGACTTTCAGCTGATTTGCTCTCAGCTGTTTTGCTCAGGGCTCTGCTGCTTGCTTGCAAAGAGTGCAGATTTTTTCCCCCCTATCTATGCTGAAAAACAAAACTGAAAGTAAAGCAGGCTGTTGGCTTTGCTGTTGCTGCAACGTTGGAAAATTAGGCAGGCAAATTTATGTTCTTTTTCCTCACCAAAAAAGGTAGGTGCAAACTAGTGGAAAGGTAGTTTTCCCTAAAGAGGTAGTTCCTCTTTAGGGAAAAAGAGGAGAGTTCAAGATTTTAAAACACAAAAGAAAAAAAGCTCTATTTAAATAGGGAATTGTAATAATTAAGATACTATTAATTGTATATTGTGTTGAAAGCAGAAATGGTTAAATTGTGGTTTGGAGGAATATATGGGGGAAATTATTTGGTTTATTATTATTGGTAAATATAATTAATAGATTTGTAAGAAATTGGATTGCATGGAAATAATTGGAATATTCATGTTCATATTGATTAATATACAAAAAAGATAGTTATATAACTAATTGATTTATATTAAAATGTTGAATTTATATTAAACAACTGTAATATTACATAATTAACCAATGTGAGGATGGATATAAAAATAGATGACAATGAGAAGGGGTATAATATAGAATAGAAGGGAAAAATTGAATTTGATTAAGATTAGAGATGAGGATGAAGGGTAATATTGTTTTTTTTTAAAAAAATAGATAAGGAATAAATATGGCAAAAAGGAAATATAGAAATTGTAAATTTAATTGAAATGACTAAACACTGTTTAAATTTGTGAACCGGCCAAATACTCTGTTCAAAGAAAATACATTGTATGTTTGTATGTGTGTTTCTAATTACTGCTATTTATTCATATTTATTCTCTTTTATTCTTTAAAGTTTAACAATTCATTCTTTATCTTAATATCTTTATATTTGTTTGGGGTTGCCTTTCTTCCATTTCATCTTTTTTACTGTACAGCAATCTTTCTCCTCAAACCTACCACCTCTCTCTTTTCTTTCCTTCTTACTTTCTCTTCCCCCTCCCTCGTCTTCTCCTCCTCTCTTCCTCCCTCACTTACCCTCACTCCTACTCTAATTTCCCTTCCCTTCCTCCCTTCTCTTCCTTCCCTGTCTCTCCTTCTTTCTTCCATCTCTCTTCTCCTTCCTTCATCCCTCTCTATTGCTGTATCCTTTTATGCATATGGATTACTCAGAGGGCTGAAAAAGTTATTTTTGACTGGTCCTCGCACTTTTGACCACTCCTCGAACTTACGACTGTCCTCACATTTTACGTTTTTTGCCCTATCTTGTCACCATGGTGAAGAGAAGCAGTTGTGAAATGAGTGACACGGTTGTTAAGAATGTTACAATGGGCATAAATGATGACCAGTCATAAGGGTGAGGACTGGTCAATAGGGACTATTCAGAGGGCTGAAAAAAGTGATTTCTGACCGGTCTTCGCACTTTTGACCAGTCCTCGCACTTACGACTGTACTCACATTTTATGTTTTGCGCCCTATCTTGTCACCGTGGTGAAGACAAGTAGTGGTGAAATGACTGACACAGTTGTTAAGAATGCCACAACGGGCATAAATATGAGGAAGGTCATAAGTGCGAGGACCGGTCAAAAATGTGAAGACCAGTCAGAAATGACTTTTTTCAGCCCTCTGAATAGTCCCTATGTGCATATGGAGTAGTCAGAAGGCTGAAAAAGTTATTTTTGACCGGTTCTCGCACTTTTGACCAGTCCTTGAACTTACGACTGTCCTCACATTTTACGTTTTACGCCCTATCATGTCACCATGGTGAAGGAAGTAGTGGTGAAATGACTGACACGGTTGTTAAGAATGCCGCAATGGGCATAAATGTGAGGATGGTCATAAGTGTGAGGACCAGTCAGAAATGACTTTTTTCAGCCCTCTGAGTAGTTCCTATGCACATAGCCATGCCCACCCGGTCACATGACCACCAAGCCACACACCCCAACTAAGCCACGCCCACAGAACCGGTTGTTAAAAATACTGAATCCCACCACTGATTCTAACCACTGCACCACTACGGTTCAGTGTGTAATGTATGTAATGAGTAGAATATTTAATATTTAGCAAAGCTATCTTAAGATGTCTTGAACTCTCTTGGAATTCTAGCCATTCCAGATCCTATAGTGCTAATTCAGACATATGTAACAGCATTCAGGTGTGCGCCAACTATCTATAGTGTATCAACCCTTGTTTTCCCAACCTTGATGACTAATGTCTTGGAAAAAGGGGAGAGTAGCCGCAAATTGCTAAAAAGCCAAGGAACTCTCCTGAGGTGATTTCCTCTGATGCTGGATGCAACAAAGACGAAGCAAAAGAATATAACTCAACATAAAGGGTCTTTGGCAATTCTCTGCTAAACTGGGTTTCTTAAGGGCAGGACTCATCCCTGAAGGAAATTCCTCTGCAATATCCTGTCCAGATGCTCTGGAATCTAATCGTAATATAGGAAAAAAGTAAAATAGAAGGCAGGTACCTGCACATATCTCTTGGATACATATAATTCAAACTGACGTTAAGTGTCACATTCCATTTATGAGAATTCTCTAAAATTCTCTTGCTTTTGGCAAAGATTCTAAAGAAAATTCCTATACATCAAACTGAATGAGAATTGGCAGAAACAAATACAAATTTTATCTGTCTAGCCCTACAAAAGACCTAGCATCATTGCCTTTTCCTGTCCACTAAAATTGGGAAAAGATGCTTTCTAAACAATTAATAAATTATACATTATACATTATACATTATACATTATACATTATACTTATATTATATTATATTATATTATATTATATTATATTATATTATATATAATAAATTATACATTATATATTGTAATAATATACATTAATAAATGCTCCAACGTCGAGGTCCAGACACTATTCTTTATCCCATCAGACCTACAATGTTTTCCTTGCTATTTGCTCACTGACTTTACATTTTTAAAAGATCTTTTAAATATTAGGATGCAAAGCTTTCATTCTCATCTTTATTCCTACCAATGCCTCTGTGTTCCTTATGCATTATAGAAGAGTAAAAGGAGTAGGTAACCAGATTATTGCTTAAAAATTGTTAGATTCAGAAAAAAGAGATTAAACTAGAGAAAATGACCCAAAATATCCTGGGATGAGCAATTGTAGGGGATGACTGACTATCCCTCTACCATGTGACCTGATTATGTTTGTGATGGCCCTCTCACAAAATGGCTGTTACTGTTAAAACATTCTATTAAATGGGTAAAATGGGTAAAACATCCATTTCAAATGTGTTCCATGGTACAAAAAGATACTAAAGGTTCATTAGTGAAGCCGCATCAGTCAAAAAACGTGAAAGTTTCCAAATTTATAACAGGCTCTAAATTTGTCAAATGTAACTAAGGTCTTCCCCAAACTAGGAGGGCTGTACAACACTTCAGGAATAATTCAGGAAAAGTGCTTTGGATGAGCAGGAGCACAAATAGACCACTTCTATGCTGATCTTTAAAGCAGCTATATCTTTTTCCTACAATTTGGCATGTTGGAGATATTTCGAGAATGCAGCTTGCAAAATGCCCAGCCAGCCAGAGGCTGAAGCTGCAGTAGTACACTAGGAAGATACCAAGCCTGGGAGCTTGAGCATTACTATAATGCACAGCAGATAAAACAGTATCCACATCCAGAGACAAGGCAGTACTGAATACCAGATGCTGTGGAAGAAGAGGAGAGAGCTACTGCCTCTTTGCCCAACCCAAAATTTCTGGATTACATGAACATCTGGACTTACCCAGAGTGACTTCTATACTTTTCTTGCTAAAGAAGTTGAAGTCAGAGCTGCTTTAAGGATCCAGTTCAAGTTTTTTATCAATATTTAACAAATACGATTGCAGGCAAATGGAACAAAACAAGACAAGACATGCATCTGACCCTCTTTGTACAACAAGAACAGATTTCCTTTAGCTAGGATTATGCTTAAAACCTGTGATTTAAAATTCTTATGAAATGACATTTCATCTTACCTGTGAGCCACAATAATAGTGGTGCGATTGGCGCATACTTTAGCCAGCGATGACTGGATTTTTCTTTCCGTCTTAGTGTCCAGTGCTGATGTTGCCTGTAAGAGTCAGCACATTGTAGGACATTGCAAAGGGGGATATAGAGGAAGGTAATGGACCCTGAACTCCTTTTAGTGTCAAGTCACTGGCATATTAGTACCTATAAGCCACCCATGTTGTTTCGGTGCCATGATAAACAGCTGAGAGAAGCTCTTTGTAGTTCTATACTATTGTTATTGTGGGGAGAACTACTCAGGAACAGGATATAAATGGTCTGAGGGAATGGGGAAGAGAAACATGGTTGTAAAGAATAACAGAATTTGTGATGTTATCCTCCTCCCAAATGCTCCCAGAATTCAGACTTAAAAAAAAAAAAAGGCATGGAAGGGCAAAATGCAAATGTAACTTCGAATGTGGGAAACAAATAGATAGAAGTACAAGTAATTTTTGATTTATGACTGGTCCCTTAGCAACTTTTCAAAGCTATGATGGACCTTCCTGGAGGTACCTACAATCCAAATTCAAAGTTCGGAGGCTGTGCGCCCCCCCCCCCAAAATCATGACTGCACTTCAAGCACTCAGCAACTGGGCCACATTTATGGCTGTTTGCAGCTTCCCACAGTCATGTAACCACATTTTACGATGGTTTTGCCACTCCCACCCTCCACCAAAACAGCATTTACTTCCAGTTCTCAGCAAAATCATGCTCATAGTGAAGCACTGGTTCACTTTATGACTGTGGTTGTTTGTTTAATGATGTTGTGGCTCCGTCCTCCGAGCCTATCTTATCGGAGGAAGAAGGCTCCGAACATGAAGGAGAGGAGACGGCCAGGCCTCCCTTTCCAGGACCCTCCTCTCTGGCAATGCCTCAGGTGTCTCCCAAAGAAGAAGAGATTGGCCAGGAGCCAGGTGTTTCCGAGCCGTCGGATAGTGACGAAGAAACATTGTGGCTGGACCTACGCCAGCGTCGGAGAGACAAGTTTGCGCAGCAGAAAAGGAGGCGTGCCAGAGATTAAGCTGAGTCACTGGACCACACCCCACAGGCTATAAAAGGGAGTGTGGTGGCCATTCGGACTCTGTGACGGACAAAGCTAAATCTCTGGCGAGTCACTTTGCACCTTTGGACACAACGCCTATTTGCTGTGGATTTAATTACAAACTGGACTATTCAAACTGTGTGTATTTTTGTCTGTGTTATCGGAGTAAAAGTTCTTGGCAGGCAGCTACAAAGTTGCTGCCAAGTTCCTTATCACTGACGTTGAGTGTTTGAAGAGTTTATTTAACCCTCGGCTGGCTAGTTGGGTGCGTGTGTGGGACGGGGACAGAACAAATGACTATTGCAAAACAGTCATAAAATTGGGTTGGTCGTGTGGATGATCATTGTGAGTTACAATCATGATGAACAGGCTTCATTACCGTTGTAACTTGTGGACTACTTGAATACTTGCCACACAGGCTTGCAATGTGAAATGCAACCACCAATTGTGTCCTTTTCTAGGCTACTCCATTGGATATTAAACTTGATTCTTCTGTTCTCCTCCCTCCCATCAGCAAATATCCCATATCCAATAGATTGTTCTCTCTAAGGAACAGGTGGACCTTCTCTGGGACTGAGACAGATGTTAAGACAATCCTTCTCCATTACCTCATCAAACAAGAGGATGTCAGGGTTCTTCAAGATGGTGCGGGCAATAGCAACTCGTTGCTTTTCCCCACCACTCAGCTTCAGGCCTCGCTCACCAACCTGCGTCTCGTAACCTTTCAGGCATAAGCACAGAGGAAAGTAAAACTCTATGTAAAAAAGGAAGGCCATTGAGATACAAATTGCTGCTTTCTGCCATTTGGGCAGAGCATTTAAAATCTTTATGACTATTTCTAGTAGCAGTAGCACCATCCTAGATTTACCAGCAAAGAATATTTGGTGTTGCAGTAGACACTCTTAAAAAAAACCAACATTTCCTAAGCAGGTCACTTAAAAAATATGAAAAGGAAATAGGATGATTTTGCAAACTGAGACATAGAGGCCAATCTTATTTCTTTCACTAGTCAGGATCTCATTCATCAATTGGTCTTAGAAGACTGGTGGGATAGGGTGAGGCTGAACTGATTTGGCCCCTTAGTTTTGGTAACTGTTGGTCAACTTTTCCCATCTGACTTCCCAGATACGCCATCCCACAATGTCTATACTCACAGAAAAATGGGCTGGATGGGAACGATCGGAATTATTGTTCAACACGCAGAGCCTGGTTACTTGAAAGACCACCTGCCTCTCCTATTACCTGCTCAACTGGTTCAATCCAACAGGGTTGACATGCTCTGGATTCCTTCGAACAAATGACGCCACTAAATGGGACCTGAGAGCATGCCTTCTCTATTGCAGCATCTGCCCTCTGGAATGAAGTTCCCTAGAGATCAGAGTGGCTCCCACTCTGATGGCATTCTGGATGGTCTTAAAAGACCTGGTTATTATCTCAAGCTTTTCATTTTAGGCTGGGATAGTTCGAGCACCTTGTAGAATTGGCTGGATTTACCATCTTATTGCTTTCTAACTGAATATTCTATTATTCAAATATTTCTATTTGAATATTGTTGTTGGGTTTTATTTTGTGAGCTACCCAAATTTGATGACATGTAGATGGTGTCCAAGTCAAATAAATTAATAATAATAATAATAAAAGGCTTCAGATAAGATTCAGATAAGAACAAAGGAGGTGCCTTTATACCAGGGATGAAATGCTCCCGGTTCGGACCGGATCACTCGATCCGGTAGCGATGGCAGCGGGTGGTTCGGAGAACCGGTAGCAAAACTCCCCCCCCCCCCCCCCGCATGCCCAGCTGAGCCACACGATCATTAGAGGCTTTTTTTAAAAAAACTTTTAAAAGCATTTTTTCTAAAACCTCTTCGGCCGAAAAAATGCTTTTATAAGTAAAAAAAAAGCCTCTGATGATCACGCGGCTCAGCTGGGATCATCAGAGGCTTTTAAAAGCATTTTTTCTACAACCTCTTCAGCCGAAGAGGCTGTAGAAAAAAATGATTTTAAAAGCCTCTGACGATCCCAGCTGAGTTGTCTGATCGTCACAGACTTTTAAAAGCAATTTTTTACAACCTCTTCAGCTGAAGAGTTGTAGAAAAAATGTTTTTAAAACTAAAAAAAAAAAAAAACTTGGCCACGCCCACCCAGTCACACCACCACCACCAAGCCATGCCCACAGAACCGGTAGTAACAAATTTTACATTTCACCACTGCTTTATACCAAATCAAATTATTGGTTCATACAGATCAAGAATAGTCCTGGCTCCCCCACCACACAACATCTCAAAATGTAGCTTGCTATTATTTGCACAGACCTACAGAGCTGTCAATGGCTTCCGTTTGGAATGTTCCCCAACTGTATCTGCAGAAATTAAGGAGTAAATCTGAGTCCTGTACTCAATCCTCGAACAGGCATCCCAGGGTAATCACGTGAGATCAAGGCAAAGTGGTAGATAAAGCTGAGGTCGTCCTTACCATCAGGAAATGTGAGGATGCGATCATGGATATTAGCAGTCATGGCAGCCTCCATAACTTCTTCATTGGTAGCATCAATACGGCCATATCGGATGTTGTTGCAAATGGTATCATTGAAGAGGACGGTGTCCTGAGGCACTACCCCAATATGGGAACGCACAGAGACCTGCTTTGCCTGTGGATGTGGGCAGATGGAGGATGAAGTGAGAAACTGTGCAATTCACCTAGGTTATGGCTTAGAACAGTGATGGCTAATCTTTTCGGCACCGAGTGCAGAAACTGGAGTGTGTGTGCGTACGCAGGAGTGCCAGAACCCAGAAGAGAGCAGCTGGTCAGTGCACATGTGCGTGTGCCGGACAGCTGGTCTTCGCGCGACAGAATCCAAAAGAGCAACTTGCGACAGTGTGCATGCCCACAGAGAAGAGTCTGCGTGCCACCTCTGTCACGCGTGCCATAGGTTCGCCATCACGGGCTTAGAATATAGCTGACATTTTCACACCCACACCAGTCTGATGGATAGTTAGCTTCAGGATAAACGCTAAAGACATTATGAATTATCAGGGCTTCCCATCCTGCACCAAGGTGAGGGAAACCCCAAATGACACCGATTCAGAAAGCCCACAATACAATTCAGAGAGTTGGCATTTCCAAACAGCCTTCCCTAACCAGCTACTCTTTTTATGTGCTTAGAGTGAAGCACATAATCTATCTGGATTGTAAGTACTGTTTGAAGTAAGCCCCGCTTAAGATAAACTGAACATTCTCCGAATAGCTCAAGCCTTAGTGTTCTCAGCTTGCAGAATGCATTGTATGTCTATTGTCTCTGCTCAGCATCATAATAAGCAGTAGCTCAACCTTTTTAGTCACTTTGACGAATACAAGGGGATGCAGAAAACAAAGGAATGCAAATGACTGCAGTGCTGCTGTGTTTCTATCTACTCTAGAGAATGCAGGTACTTTAAACCAGAAACCATCCCAAATCATGGACAGGCTCAATCATCTCTGGGGAGTTTGATTATTATATGACAAATTCTAGGGGAAATTGTTTGACTGGCAAGATTTTTTTAAAAAAAGCCTGTGGGACACTGTGTTATGAACATGCACCCTGTAGGAAATCATGTATCTTGCAACTTGCCAAAACTATTTGTCATCTATCTCTAGATGCCATTTTATCCCTATCTCCTTCCATTGTTTCCTAGCATTGATTCCAGTAACCAGGACAGATCTGATGAATGAGATAGATCCTTAAGGAAAGGTATAACCATAGGGAGTAATAGAGAGAAAATTAAGAGGATGGATTTGGGGAACCACAGTAGAATAAGAACAGACACCAAACAGCTCTAATAGACATGAAAGAACCAGCTGTCCTTTGATATTCCCCCACCCCCAAAGACTATGGGCCATCTAAGAATCTCCCTCAATCTCCCTCCCGTAGTCCTTCCCCAGTGAGCTTGGGTGGCCACAGGAGAAGTGGAGGCCTGCTGAGCACAAACCTTTAATCTACCTTTAAATGGAATCATATGTCTGTTGCTGTGGCAATAAACATGAACAAGCAATTAAGCAGCTGGGTTGTGTCATCAAGCCTTGAGGAGCTCCGAGAGGAGAAGCATAAGTGGGTATATAACACATGCAAAGAGTGTATGCCAACTTGGCTCTATATAGGGGATCACACTGTACAGCAGAGGTATGGCACCTCTGGACCTCAGGGTATTGTTGATAGATAACTCCTAGCATCTTCTGCCACTGGATAGGGCCACTTGGAGTTACACTTTTAGTTTTCTGAAGGGAATGGGACAACTCGCCACAGACAACTTGCCACGAGACAACTCACCACAGGACAACTAGCTGTGGGACAATTCAGCAATTCAATTTAATCCTTTAAAATAGTTCAAAAATTATTTTAATTTTTGTCATTCACATTTCATTTTGTCCCTCCTTTGGCATCCTTTCTTTAATGATTCTATTCCACTATGTCTTTGATATTAGTCCCGTGGCGAGTTGGCCATGGCAAGTTGGCCATGGCAAGTTGTCATAGACCCTTCTGGAGAACCAGTTTTTCATTTGTAGAGCCATTCATTTTCTGGATCATAAAGCATAGATAAGCAAAATATCCCTCCAACAATTTTTAATTTGACTTCACATATACAGAATGCATGTGAGAGACTAAACTATCTATATAACTTTCTTGCAAACAAATTCTGGTCAGACAATGGTTTCTCATATCCCTGACTTTAAACTGCTCCTATTCTCTCCCTTTTGTATTAGTACTAACTCCTCAGTACTTAGGCTTGTTTTCCTCTGATAGATTGTATTTCTTTATATTTGTGAGGTCAGAGCAGATTTTTTTTTGCCCTCAAATCTATTTATCTTAACATTTCATGGTATTTCCTAGCAGTTTAATTTTACAGTTTGATGTAAAATTCTTCAAAATATCCAATTGCTTTAATCATCTCCAATAATTTGGTGCCACTAGGAGTCCTGATCAGTTAGGCAAGCTTAAAAACACGTTTCAATAGAGATCGCAGGAGGGCATATTCAGCTATATTCCTCTGCTGACTGGTCCCAACACAGTAATGCAAAGAAGTACATACAAGCTATGTGTGTAAGGTGAGGCTAAAACTTGGCAATTTATCTAGACAAATATTTTGGGGTACACTTCCCATCCTCCTCCCACCCCACTCCCGTTGAAATGAACCTTCTCCATGCTTCCATGATGGATGATCCTTTTATCATCAATACTTCCCAGTGTGTTTGTTACCTTAGAGATATCCTGCCCATCTATTCGTATGCAGCCTCCCCACACATCATAAAAGCGGAACAGCAGGCGGACAATGGTACTCTTTCCTGACCCAGAAGGTCCCACCTGGAGAGAAAGAGAAAGCAAAGTGTTCCTATGGATTAACCCTGTGGGAAGAAATAGAAAGTAGACAGACTTAAGTTTCAACCTCTGCTTTTAACCCCTTATTTGGGGCCTGTCACTATTCCTATCAGATGGGAGACAAAAGAAAGCACTGTACGATTACAAAACATTTACAACAGAGCCATTTCTATCTCCTTACCAGTGCTATAGTTTGTCCAGGCATTGCGGTAAAGGAAACGTCATGTAAAATTTCCTTCCTGTGTGGAGAATAACAAAAGAGAGCAGTCACCCATCTCTCAACCTTCACTGCTCTCCTGAAGCTCCCTGGTAAGATCATTCCCACACATGATGCCCTCCTCTGTTCCAGAAACAGACTTCCTCCAGTTTGCTGGGGAGGCAGCAGAACAGTTTGAATAACAATGATCACAAGCATCCTAGGTTAAGAGGATTACGATACAGATAAAAGAAAGAAGGTTTTTGAACTATTTTACTATATTTACTAATTCCCCAAACAACTTTCAAGAAAGGTCCCTATCTTTCTCACTGGTCATAATTCAGAAGGTTTCTTTCTGACCTTTTATCTCATCCAGGGTTGGAAAGCTTTAATGAGATAGAATATGGTTCATATTCATATTGTCACCATCACTATATTTTCTCTTTCTTTCCTACGTTCACTGAGTATCTATTCTCCAGGTGACCTGCCTACTGTTGGAAATATGTTGTTCAACCCTTCTTTTTCAAATTAACGTACAATTTTGTCACCATCAACACTATTTCCTTCTCTACTCACCCTTCTGTGTAGCCAAAATGGACGTTTTCGAATTCCACACGTCCTGACAGGAATCGAAGATCTCCAGCACCTGGTTCATCCTTCACCTACAAGTTAACACATCTGTGATATTTTCTGTATTAAGATCCTGGCTGGCTAAGTTGGCAGAGGCAGGAAGATTTGCCCCAGTGACTAAGAAGTTGCTCTTGGAAGCCATTTATAGCAGGGGTGTCCAACCTTGGCAATTTTAAGACTTGTGGACTTCAACTCCCAGAATTCCTCAGCCAGCAAAGCAAAGCTGGCTTAGGAATTCTGGGAGCTGAAGTCCACAAATTTTAAAGTTGCCAAGGTTGGAGACCCCTGATTTATAGTACAGAAGTGCCATCCCTGAGGTAGAACACTTGTTTTTCAGGCACAAAATTCAGTTTGTAGCAGTTGCAATAAATAAAAGCTAGATAGCAGATGGTAAGAAAGGCTTCTTTTGGAAGTTCTGAACAGTTGCTACCACAGTAGAAAAGTCTGATCTGGAACCTCATATTTCTATGTTCCAGAGATACACCTTGGAGAGGGCCAGATATAGATTCTAATGGTGACAAACCTAATTGCCAGTATTATGATGAAAAATTATCAGTCTGAAAATAGAAAATGCTATTTGGCTCCTGGCTAACTCAAATATAGCTATTTTTTAAAAAAAAAAACAAGTTACAACAGTGGCCAAACTAAGATATATCCTGTAAATTAATTAGGTTCTCTTCAATTTGTGTCCATCATCGATGCAGAGACTTCCAGCTCCTAGAGCTGTCAGCCAAGAGGTTCAGGCCACTGTTGGAAGGTAGCTCTAAAGCAGCTGAATGACATCAGATTGGGAAAGGCTAAATTAAACTGCCATCCCTAAGCAGTGCAGTCATGGGAAGTTTTTAAGGACTGCTTTATTTAGTGACAGAAATTCCAGTCCCAATTAGGGTCATTAAACAATGATTACTGGCAGTTTATAATGTATGGGTTATAACATGCAATGAAGGGAAAATAAGATGATCCACTATAATCCGATACACAGATTCTCCACAGGTATGATGTGCCTTACCTCCTGTTCCTCACTGAAGAGCTCAAACATATTCTCCATGTCAACAAATGAGGACTGGATCATTCTGGAAAGGAAAAGCAGAAGCTCCATTGCACCAAAGTTATGAAGGTTTCAGAAAAGGAAAGGGGGTGAAGCAGACAAGTACTTATATCCCAATACAGCAATATTTTATACCTTAAGCATGAACATAAACCGCATCAGTCCCAGATTTTTAACACATATTCACATAGTAAATTATCTCATACCTTTTTGAAGATATCTTTGATAGGGGAAGTGTAAAGGAGAGGGCAACTTAAATTATTACAAACAATTCTTTTTAATGAAATCGACATATAATTCCTAGGGTTGCATTTTATTTTTCATATCTGAGCTCAACTTTCTAGGCATGAGAAATTCTAATGGTAATTTCTTTCATTGCTGGACATAAGAATTATTCATGCAAAAGGAATTATTATAATAAGAAAATTTGTACTTGAATAAAACAGAATATACTATTTAATATTTTTCCATGACTTATGATTACTTTTCAATAACCAACTAGTTACTAAACTTTATATTTTGTTAATTACCAAGATTTTTCTCTATATTCTCTATATTGATTAAACAATTAGCCCATTACAAAAAAGCTGAAGTACAAGCTGAAGTACAAGGGAAACATTCATTTGTACTTATTTTAGTTGTCGTATATCTCAAGGCAAAGATTCAACCTTGCCTGCGATATACTATATTCTGTGAGTTTTCTTTCCTACAAGATTAACAGACTGTTATAATCTGAAATTTTAAAATAAGTCTATATTTCAGCAATTAGTCTAATTCATCTTTTACATCAAGCATCTTAGAAATGGATACATTTCTATTTGCTGCCAGTCTCTGTATAAAAGTGTTAGACAAACGCTATTCACAAGAGTCATGATGGGCACAAAATAGATTGCTACCAATTGCCAGGTAATCTGAAATAGATTGTGCTGGGTGGCTATATAAATTTGTCAACAAATAAACAAAACGCCTGAATGCATTGTTCCTGAATTCTTACACCGTTCATCTGAGGTGCTCATCTAACCTGGTCCCTGTTCACAGTTCTGTTTATTGCTGATGTAGGTATTATTATTAGATTCAGATTAATAGTTCTTTTCTTGTTATGGGGAAAATCTGAGAAATGAGATATGGTGCTCTGCTTGGAGCAGGCTGTAAATCAAATAATGGTATAAACCCAGTTTAACTCCCTAAGCTCATTGACTCAATTCTCTTTGTTTCACTCCAAATGGCTAATAAATATACAACAAAGTAGCCTAGCAATCAAATTACCTGTAATATGTGCCAAACCAATTCAGTGGGGTATACAGCTGAATAATGTATGTGCCAAAGAGAACATAATCGCCTACCTGGAGGAAATAGGAAGAATATATCCATTTTTGCAATAATAATTGTTCCCTCCCACACAATACATTGAATAGGGAGTTTTCAAATTCAGATTCACATGATGAATCCTGAAGATCAAGTGACCAAGAGACCTGTTATATTTACTTCTCTTGTCTTTTGTTCAATGAAGGTGACTTATTTTTTATTTAAGTAGATTATAGGTTTGAGATATTCAACATTTCAAAAAAAATCAAGAGAAAATGTCCTATTGATATGCAGAGAATAGAAATACAAACATCACATATTCTGTTGAAGCAGAGGGATTGACCTAGGTCCTAGGACGATACCATGTGCAATATATACGTTTCTGCTGCATTTGTTTAAAAAAAATGATTAAGCCTCTCTTTGAATGTATAAGCCTATCACAGAATGACTTACATATTTTCCATTAATCCAGCCTTGAGACTGAAGAGGCTGAGCAAGGTAAAGTTCAATTTATATGACAACAACCAGTTATATCTCAGTTTTTCTGTCTTCTCCTCCCATCAATTAAATGGTAGATTTCCGTGTGTTCTAACACAGAGCTCATTTGTTGGACCAAGTTCCATATTTGGGGCAGTTTAAGGCTTTCTAGCGCTATATATGATCAAAACTACACCCCTCAATCTGTGGTTGATACATATGAAAGAAAAAAGATAAAGCAAACATTTCCATTGCTTATTTTTCTCCAAATCCATATGGCAGAGGAAGGAAGGAAGGAAGGAAGGAAGGAAGGAAGGAAGGAAGGAAGGAAGGAAGGAAGGAAGGAAGGAAGGAAGGAAGGAAGGAAGGAAGGAAGGAATTTATCAATTAAATCAACCTTAAGTCTCTGTTCTAAATCTTTCAGATTGCAGATGGAGGTTTACATGTCTCATATTAGGGAACAGTTTAGGCTAGCAACTTTTTTTCTGGCTTACTACTTTTCTCTGTGAAGAGATGTGAGGAAAACAGAAAATATGTGAATTTTTGTCTAGAGCTGAGGTGTAAATTAAGAATCTCAGTGACACTTAGACTATAGTCTAACACAAGTGGAAACCAGGTTGAAAATTATTCATGCATGGAAGAGTTTTTAACTTTGTACACTACTCAGTCACGTATGTGACATGGGTGGCTATATATTGAGTGAGTGAGTGAGTGATGAGTGAGTTAGTGAGGAAGGAAGGAAGGAAGGAAGGAAGGAAGGAAGGGAGAGAGAGAGAGAGAGAGAGAGAAAGAAAGAAAGAAAGAAAGAAAGAAAGAAAGAAAGAAAGAAAGAAGGAAAGCTTGGCCTCTTGTAAGCAACTCCAACTCAGCATGGTCAATGGTCAGATCACAGAAGAAACACAAGTTCTTCACCACTTACTAATGTTTTTCAGAGAGGAAAGAAGAGTTAAAATAATCCCTTCCTGGAACCCTAAATGATGTTTCAAACTAGGCTGATGGTAAGACTGTTATACCTGCAGCATTCCTTGCAGCAAAAATTAATTGGAGTGGTTCAGTAACTCCCAGGTTTTTATTTTGTTTTGATTAGCATTTAATCAAGCTCAGTGTGAATGTGCCAGCCAGGTTACATTTTTATAGCCGTACTTCTCCATGACCTCCTCTGGTTTTAAAAAGTGCCTCCTGTCCCTCAGATTTCACTCCATGTGGGGAATGTGTTTTCACATCTGGAGTACAAACCCAAAACATCCGGATTTCTTTCTTCTGATGTTTGTGGAAACCAGCTCCCATTTGGCGAGGCCCACCCCACTCTCCTGCTTAGATCTCCTAACCTAATTGGTGACAAATCTTTTCCAGCTTGGCCTCTTGTTTGCAAAAGCTTTTGTTCTCCGAGGTCCAATTCTCCAGTTGGTTTTGTTTTAATCTTCTCCGCCCTGGTTGCCCATTTTTTCTCAGCATGCCCAGAGACTTACCTTCAGATCTTAAATTCAGAAAAAACTAGTTTATAGAATATTACATTAAATTCTTAAATTCAGAAAACACTAGTTTATAGAATAGCACAAAGACTTTTGTCCATCAGCCACCATGTCTCACAACTAAAATTAAAGACATCCAGCAACTTCTTTCATATTTTTGTGTGGCAAGTTCTTCCAGCTATTTAATTACTAGAGCAGTCCTGCTTTTCCTGGGACTCTGCACCTCATCGCAAGACTACCAGTGTTAGGCAGAGAAACCTAGCGCTGCTATATTTCCAGTATCCATTTCATGAATGTATTTTAAACAGGTCCGGTGCCTGTTTCTTTGCAAGCAGAGATATGTAGAACTACTCAGTGTTTAACTACAGACATTTTAAAAACATTACTAAGTTTTGTAAAGGAGCACTGCAATGGTCTAAAAACTTCTTAACTCGTGGCAAATCATTCAGGAAGCCCGATGCTTCATCTGGAGGGGCCTCAGCTGTAAGCACGAGTTGTAGACTGGTTCTTGTTTCAGATTCTCCATACAGAGAGAATTCCAAAGCACTTCCAGTATGCAGTCAGCAAGAACTTACATAGAGCTTCTTCTTAATCACATAAGAAGCACATAGGAGGGATCCAGCCAGCAGCCCCAGACCAATCACCAGATTCTGTGTCTGATTTAACAGGGCCAGAGAGGCATTCACTTTCCATTCTGAAACCTACCAAAAGAAAAGGAAGAAAAAAAAATCAAGAGCAGCATGGTGTAATCCTGAAAAACTCTGCAGCCCACAGAAATCGTTCAAAAAAACTTGCACCCTCTAGTCTCTACATCAGAGACCAATGAGGCATCCAGGAATGGACGAGTTATGTCTTCTTCATCCTTCTGCAGGACAATTTAGATCAACCACCTAATGCTTTTCTAGAATATTTCTCTCCTCTGGATATGCTGATTCTCCTATTTACAGGACAGGTTTCTGAGCCTATCCAAACTCTCCACAACAGAAAATCCTGCCATGGCCTTGCGTGACCAAGCCTGCAGAATTTGGGCAGCAACTGAGCAGCTATATAGATAGTCCTCGACTTACTACCATTTGTTTAGTGACCGTTCGAAGTTACAATGGCACTGGAAAAAGTGACTTATGACTGTTTTCCACACTTACGATCATTGAAACATGCCTGTAGTCACGTGATCAAAATATGGATGCTTGGCAATTGGTTCATATTTATGACAGTTGTGGTGTCCCGGGGTCATATGATCATCTTTTGCTATCTTCTGACAAGCCAAATTCGCTTAAGAACTTACTAATATAACAACTGTAGTGATTCACTTAACAACTATGGTCAGGAAGGTCGTAAAATGGGGCAACATTCACTTAACAACCACAGTTGAGCCCCTAAATTTCAGTTGTTAAGTTGAGGACTATCTACTATTTACTAGCAGATGGAGAGAACAATCTTTAACAAACATGCCAATGTTACAAAATCCCAGGAAACGTCTCCGATTTGCCATATCTTAAATCTCCCTTGTTATGATGTTCTTACTGAGTCCCTTCCTAGATGCTCGTGTGCATCTCACTTCCTTCCCCAAGAAAATGGAACTATTCTTTCCCTTCCAAATTACTGTATGCATGTGCCCATACATTCAAACATAGGAGTATAGAGTTGATAGATAGGCAGACAGACAGGCCTCTCTCCCTCCATTTTTGCTGGTACTGAAGGGGAAACAGAAAAAGAAAGACTGAAAACCCCAAGAGTGCTTTATAACAGATGTGAAACAAGTCCAAACATTGAATTGATCCTTCTATACCTGATACTTGACAATGGCGTCATTGAAGCGTCTAGCCTCATAGTCCTCTGCATTGTAATACTTCACCTGCAACAAACGAAACCAGGGACTGGTCAGTAGAGAAATGATGTTCCCTACTCTAAGTCACCCAACTTTTATTCTAAGTTAACTCTTGACACACAAAGATATATTCATTAAACCTGGATTGGGGGGGGGGGGAAGAGGTTGAGCATTAGATCCAAGTGGAAATCTCTTTCTCCTCTAAGCAAAAACATGAAACTGAAGCAATTTCCAGCAATACACGGGGGGGGGGGGAGGCAGCCAGAATGGTTTGCTGCCACTCCTTGCCCTTCCTATTCCCACCCACCAGCTATGATAGGTGGAGGTCCTAAGTACCGTCTCAAAGTTGAGAAGTGAGTCAACAGCTCGAGATTTGGCATCATTGTCACGAAGATTCATGTCGCGGCGGTACTTTGTTCGCCATTCAGTCAGTATTATAGTCAGTGCTACATGGAAAAAAAAAGAGGCCAACTATCACTATAGCAAATTCACACAGGCATTATCAGAAATGGGATTTGATTCCTTCCATTTCGACTCATAACCAAGACTATTCCAAAAAAATGGCACAGAGAAAAGCGTTTTTTAAAATTAAAATTATTTCAGCATGTATCTATTCAGCAAATTATTCAGCAAATTATTTCGGTATATATCTATATACATACACACTACTTCTTTCACCCTAATAGAGACAGCTGAACAAAAGGTAAGCAGTGATAGCTCCTGTAGGAATGTACAAATTGTTCTGACCTCAGAATAGCCATGCCTTTGTCCTAAACTCTGTCTTGAATTCAAGAAAAAATGAGACATTTTGTTTTACTTTGTCTGAGTGTTCAAATATCCCTCATTTTTTAAAATAAAATCCTATAGGGTTTTAGAATACATTAATTAGTAAAAGAGGAACATTCCATTTCTGCAGTCAATAGCATGAGATAGCGGGTGGAGAAGAAGGTGAGGCTGAGGACAAGTAAACAAGACATGGAAAAAATTGCTTTTTTTTCTTAAAAAAGAAAAAGATTTTAGACAAGAAAAAGATTGCTCCTTACTTGATACTAGGTTGACTGTTTATTTTTTAAAAATGTATTTGCTCTGGGAAAGCCAATGTTTCTGAATTCTAATATTGTCCCTGAATTCCCACTCCCCCCCCCCCTTTTTGGGCAGATTTCCAAAAATTATGTTATTTGCTTTGCCGATAGCCAAATGCAAGAGTATTCTGTGCATATGCAACAGACCTAAACTGCCAGCCAAAAGTCTGTTTTTGATGTTGTTCCACTTTTATGATCTATTCAGAAACCAATGCATTGTAGCTACTGCTTGTCGCTGCACTCATGTTGTTTGTTCAGGCATATTAAGGATTCCATTGTGTGAAATAGGGATTTTATTTGAGGCAAGTTTTTTTTGTTTTGTTTTGTTTTTTTTAAGATTTGCTGGTAAGAGACAATGAATTACACTTGCACCTATTTTTGTGGCTTGTCGGATGAAATACAGAAAGTCATGGGCATCTTTCACTGCCATTCACATTTCTCATTATTTCCTATGTTTGCACAGTCACAAGTTTTTTTACTTTTGTCCTATATGAAGACAATCCATTAAAACACTTTGAATAAGCATTCTGAACGGGACACTTTTATTTTAAGATTTTGTGCATTTTCCCCCATATTGTTTCCATTTCCCATTTAGGAATGAGTAGCTAAGCAGGGCCTTCTACTCTGACTTGCAAAAGAGCATTTCGTGCAAACTCACTGTTAAATATGCTTAATACATATAATTTGCAGAGATACAATTAAATTAAAGATTGGACCAAGAGAAAATTTCTCACGCTTCTCCCAAAAGAGAGCAATCTGTTGGGGGTTGAAGGATTAAATTTTCAACGTTCATTGGGGTTGGAGGAGAGAAATACTGAACTCCATAGTAGGCAGGACAACATTATGACATTACTTATTCAAGGCTATTAGGGCATTTCATGGAGATTAGGTTTTGTGGCGACTTTAGTTAACTTGTGGCTTATATTTCATTTGGTTTTCTACCGAAAAATGACCCCCAAAAAATCCTTCCCTCCATTTTTCAGCAGTTTTACTTGGTGACTTTTGTAGCTTTATGAACCACATGCCACTCATGGATTACCTACCCCTATTTTAATCGCACCAGAACCAACAAGACAAATTAGTCATGCCTAATTTAAGTCCTACTGTGTTAAATTAGTGCTCCAATAGGCAAGAGTCTGAATCTATCTCATTGCAAAGTTAGCTTATTGTCTGAGATTTGCGTAAGATACTTTATATCAGACCACAACAAAAAACTATGTATGTCTGTCATACTACCTGTATAGGTTCACTTCCTTTACTTATGAGATCTGAGAGGATTAGAAGAGATACAGAATTCTCTCTCAGGGCAGCTGAAGGTCAAAGAACTTCATCCTGGGTGTCATTTATCTTGCTAAAATGAGACCCTGCTTGTTCAGCAATGTATTCAGAGAACTATTTGGATCAGTGTCCCAGCAGGAGCAAAGTGTTAAAATCCCTTTTAATTATCTAGGTTGGGAACTGGATCAGGACTGAATCATCTGCTCTTTTTCTAAAAGAGCCTCTCCTCCAAATATCTTGGCAATGTAACTCCAGAAGACCCGGCTATTCTGACCATTGGCCTTCACGGCTGGAAATTCTGGGTTGTAATCTTATTAAATTATAACTCCTAATTCCCTTAGGTCAGCACCATAGGCTTAATTCTGAAGACAATGGAAACCTTTCTCTGCCTCCCCCCCCCCACACACACACCCATACTGCTGCCCCTGGCATCAAAAAACTCACTGAGGTAAAGGCTCATGCAGAGGAAGATGATGAGGCCGAACCAGCCGCTGAAGGTAATGGCGAAATACACAATAGCAATTATAATATCGGCCACCGTGGGTAAGATGCTGAATATGATGTAACTGTAGGATGAGAGGGTGGTAAACTAAGATCACACAGTGTACAACAAGGCCCTTCCAAAACTCCTCCATTCCCCCACCCCGACTGGGATGAAAAGGAGAAGAGCTCACTACAGGAATCCCCGCCAGCTGTTGAACACTGACGGATTCCCACCAGTCAGACATGTCCTCATACCTGAGTAAGTTGTTGATGCTGCTAGTGCCTCGGTCAACGCTGCGTAACACCTCGCCAGTCTTGCGCTCCAAGTGCCAGCGAAGAGACAGGTTATGCAGGTGCCGGAGGAGCTCTACCTGGACTTCGCGGCTGGTGAACTGTTGCACGCGGATCCACAGAAAGGTGCGCATGTTGCTAATGAAGCCGGTTGTTCCTACGGCAAGCAGGTGTATTGTTCTTTCAGTGCATGCGCTTTTGATTCAGCTGAAAACCTGACTGCACTCCCAATATTTTGAACAGGAAGAATTCTTCCCTAATCTGGGGCCTGTCAGAAATAGTAGATTTCAATTGCTCAGAATCCCCAACCCATTTGGCCAAGTCTTGCATCAGTCTTGTAATTCTCCAGCCATCGTGATCCATTTATACTTTCCCCATAAATTCTTTTAGCTACACGGGAGCTGAGCACGCGAGCGTTTAAAGCTTCCAACCGTGCAAGTTTAAATAGGGTGGGGAGACACACATCTCATGACCGCAGTCTGTGGTTTATATTCCTATATTAGATAGGAAAGGGAAGTAGAAGAAATGCTTTTGTTCCAAAGCTGTTTGCCTCCGCTCCAACTACTTCCATTTCAAAAATTCAGTTATGCTGTAAAGCTGAGCTGGTATGTTTCTTGAACTGCATAAGGGTAATCAATGAAATGTCATACAGATGTTAAAGTGGAGGACAGGCATCCCATAGCAACTTTCAGCCAATCATATACACCTTATAATTTTCACACAATGACTTACCTGCTCCTCCTCCCTGAAGGAACTTCAGGAATGCATAGATGCAAATGGTCTGAAGCACTATGTGCCACGTCACTCTCTCTGTGAGGTCATCCACTAGAGGGTAGGAGGACAACAGTTAACCTGAAAGCCACAATCCTTTAACCCAACTTATTTGCCTGTCCACTGCCAATCCCCTCCATATAGCCTTTAGCCATTATTCACTGATCAATTGCCTGATTGCTCCTCATTGCTTTCTTTTGCATGCATAAAGTCACAGTTAGAAAAACTGTCTGGGAATGATGGGAGTAGCAGTTCAACACATTTGTAGAGTGCCAGGTTGCTAGTAGTTTGTGACTCAGGACTTCTGCCCTGCATTCAGCATGAGGTTAGGGTTAGAGTTAGAGGTTCCACACCAGCACTGCCATGGGAGGGAGGGGTGAGAGGTGGGGGAGGCAAGAACGGAGCAGAAAAAAGAAATTTTGTGTTACATACACAACTAATGCCAACATATTTTGCTCCGTTCCTTCTATCCTATCCTCCAGCAAGTTAGGCAGAATCCTAGTGGGGCCGGTCTCAGGCAATAAATCTCAAAACTGAGATGCTATGCCATCTGGCTCATGTCATAGCATGGCATGCTGGCCTGAGCAGTTCCAGAGTAGACTGGCCTCACTAGATCAAGAGGAAGCAGGGTTAAAATCAGAATTACCCAGCAGTGCCCTACTAATGAATCTCTTCTGATAGGACAAATCTCTCTTGCGGAAAGAAAGGGTAAGTACAATCCAGGTATCTTAGGAGGTGTTCTGTCAAGCTAGGATCTAAGAGAAGCCACCTAGATGCAGCTTGAGGTGGAGAAGAGACATTCATCATCAGTCATGGATGGTTAATAGGCAGGAAACAGCTTGATGAGTATCAAGTGGCCTCCTACTGGGAGCTCTTCACCTTCATCCCAGCATCCTATCCCCAAATTGCTTTGAATTCAAAGCAGTCTATTTTTTTTTTCAATCCTCTTACCCATGTGTAAAGATCTTCAAAGAGGCCTTTCTTCCAGTGTTGGGATGGAAATAAATATCTTATGTTCTGACAAAAAGAAAACAGTGGGAGGGGCCTTCTCCGTGGTAGTGCCCGATTTTAAAGCTTTTCTTGAATGAAATATAGCCAGCAGCACTCCCTTTCCTTTTTTGGTGCCCCTATCAAAACACTGCCTGTTTTAAACCTTTGAATCTCCATCTGACTGCTGAGGAACGTTTGAGTCATTTTAGGTGCTGCTGCCTTGGGATCCCCTGGGAGCAGGTAACGCTTTCCACTCTTGGATTCATTTTCCACACCTGAACAGGCAACCCAGAACTAAAGTGTCATACTCTGGGTCAGATCCTGCTCTCCCCATGAGGATTTTCCTTCAGCAGTCACGGGGATGGGGTTTTCTGAATATCTCCCTCAAGATCGTCCAGCCGGAGAGCCTCCAGTGGAATCTCCTCGCTGCCTTTGTTCCCCCTTTCAAGGAACCGCACAGCAACAAAGGCCCCACTCCCAACCCCCTGCTAGGCTGCTGGGAGATACAAAGGCCCCTTGTTTGTTTGCCGCCAGCGGCACTTTGCTGGGTAATCCTAACTGGCAGGGTGGGTGACCCCATCTGGCAGTGCCCCCCTTTTGCCTTTCAATCCTTCCACATGGTGGGAAGAAGGGATCAGGAAGAGACTTCTCCTCCCACCCACCACCCACTTCCATTTTATTTTATTTTGCACATGGTAGGTGATGTTAAAACCATCTTGTTCCCAAACAAAGGTATAAAGTATACTATTTTACAAGGAGAAAATGGCAAATGCAAGGAGGGATAGTTGGGGAAATGGGGGCAAGTGACCTCGAAGGAATATGTGTCACTGATTTTTTTTTTTTAAACTTAAAATGGTCGTTCCCCCCCCTTTTTTTTAGCATGAAGAACCAACGCTGGCAGTGAGTGTCCCAAAGCCACAAAGTGAGGCAACACATTTCAAGCCAGATTTCCTTGAGTAAATTTCAGATTCACATTTCAACTCTCTGTGTCTCTCCAACTTCTGTCCACCTCATGATATGGAACAAAAATATGTGCCAAATTTCAACCTTAGAAATAGAGACGTTCGATAGGGAGAAAAGTTTGACAGACCCACCATCCAGGCAGAGGCTTTAATTGTCCTGCATCCACATGTAACCCTCCTATGTTTTCCCACCAAAATACTGAATGGGAAGCTGGTAGTGCTCTAACTTCCTCATGACATGTGTGTCTCTCGACACATATAAATCCAGGGTTATACTGCACATTACTTTAAAAATAATAGCATTATTTTTTTAATAATGTTATTTATTATTAAATAACAAAGCAGGGAAAACAATTAAATGAAGGGCCAACAGATTTACAAAGAAATAAGGTTTAAATGTAGAATTAAGCATTTGTAAGTGCCCAGAATGTAATCAATGTACTAAACATTGATAACTCTAGAAATCCAAAAGTTGACATCACTCCAGAGCTTTAGATATACAATGGAACAATTCAGAAGGATCATTAATTAAGCCTGTCATTGGTACATAATTTAATTTTGAGTCATTGAATGAGTCATGATTTAAATGTATTAGAAATGTATTTGTATTACTGGGATTACTATTTCTTTGGGGGATTTTGTTTTATACACCACCAGAAGTCCATATGGTATATGTTGAGTCTAGCGGTATAAAAATGAAGAAATGAAATAATAATACTATGTGTCCCACTGTAACCCCACCTAAATTATAGATGACTGAATTATAGATTAGTAATAGATTACTAATCATAGACTGATGTAGAACTAATCTACGAACAAAATATTTACCAAACTCATTCCTCTGGCTTGTAAATTGTTAAGAACCGAGATCCTTAATTCTATTCCTGAAAACTGACAGGTAGCCGAATTCCCTCCCCCCCCCCCCCCCATCCATCCATAATAGTAGTACAAGTGAGTCAAAAGAAACAGGTAACTACTTGGGCATTAAGTGTATATGTGGAAGATGCTGGTAGCTGCTAGCCTTGAGAGTTGAAAGCACAAAAGTTTCTACCAGAAACTGTGGATCAGCACACATGGACTACCCGTAGTCCTTGGTCACTCTGTGCTTAGCCCATAATTATCCAGCTCATCTTCACCTGCCAGGTGAATAGGCTGCTCTTTTGCTGCAGTAGAGAGCTGGGAGTCACATCCCACTCACTTGAATGGGAAGGTCTTCAGGGAACTTTGAGAAGCACCGTTAATCCCCAACACCCTGCTAATGGATACTGATGTGGTATGCATCGCATCAGAATTGTGACATTCATTATGGATAAACACTGACACTGGCAGTGTGTTTTATGAAACATTGCTCCTTCCACTACAGCTTCAGGTAGAGCACCATAAGCAACAGCAAGACTGTTAAGAAAATGGGACGAGGCTGAAGTGACCTGCTCAAGAGCACCATACCCTGTTCCACCCTTCCTATGTGCGCATGTGTGTGAGCGATTGAACAAGTATACTGGATATGGGCAGTCTAAAAGCTTCATAACTAAAGCATGTCCATCATTTCCTATTGGCAAAGGCAGGAGACTGAGCAAAATGGACTGCTGGCTTGACTCAGCAGGGATAACCACATTCGTAAGCCCATTGCTGGACAAGTGTGAGCTTTAGAGTACAGGCTGTCCTCGATTTACAACATTTAGTGACATCTGAAGCTACAGAGGCACTGGAAAAAGTGGCTTTTGATTGTTTTCCACGCTTACAACCGTGGCAGCATCCCCGTGATAAAAATTCAGACGCTTGGCAACTGACTCATATTTATGATGATTGCAGTGCTCTGAAGTCATGTGATCACCTTTTGCGACCTTCTGACAAGCAAAATCAATGGGGAAGCCAGGCTCACTTAACAACCGTGTTACTAACTGAGCAGTTGCAATGATTCACGTAACTACTGTTGTAAAAATGGGGCAAACTTCACTTAACAACTGTCTTGCTTAGCAACAGAAATTTTAGGCTCAACTGAGGTCATAAGTCGAGGACTCCCTATACCAGGCAGCTGCATTCAGACAAGGCCATGGGCACAGGATCTGATTAAAATCTGCAGAGCAGAGCCTCTTGCAGGTGGGTCCGAGGAGGAGTGTTCCTGCCTTGAAGCTACTTAGCATGTAGGACAGAGCCGTCCTGCTCCCAGATTCCTTCTCATCCAGCCATTTTGTATGCCGTTTACAGTTCCATGCCTCCCGCCTACAGGGATTCTTTTGTAAAGTCTAAAAGTCAGGGCTGAAAGGCAGGTCTAGAGTCCATCCCCTCTATTCAAATACCTCTCAATAGCTGCCCTGAATTGGCACTCACAGTGCCCACCAGGGCATGGGAACCTGGCAAACACCAACAGTTTCTACTAACAAAGAGCTAGCATTCCTCTCAGAAATTCAACAGAGAGTTAGTCTAGAAACATGCAAGATGGGAGGTCATAGTGGGGGCTCAGGATTGAAGATCTGGTGAGAGAATAAGGAGAGGTGTTCGGGAGAATTTAAAAAGCTACTGAATTCACATTTTCCCAGTCAAAAACATCACCTTGATCCCCAGCCTTATAAAATCATAATCCCGTCACTACCCAAATTATGTGCTGTAATTTTGCAGATAAAGATGCAATTTTCCACCTAGAGATCAAAATGTACACGAGATGGAGACATTGGAGGTGGAAGAAGGGAAGGGAAGTGGGCAGAGAAAGTGGGGAATAACACAAGAGTGGTTGGAGAAGTGCAAGGTGAAGCCACAGTTTTTTTACCAGGAAACGGCTTCCCTAAAGGGGTGAGTCCTGATGAAGAACAAAGATAGAAGACAGAAAATGTTGATGAAAAAGAGCGGTTTTCTAGGTGACGTGAAAATGAAATGGCAGAACTATCAAGAGTACCTTTGCTGGTAGAAATGGTGTACGCACACTGTATTTGTTTTAGAATATGTGTGGTATTAAGGAATGAGTTCTGCAAAATGCCTCTCTCATCTGCTATTTTTCAACATGAAAGGTACGTTTATCCCATAAAGGAGCACTCGGATCTGATTTTTCTCTCTCAAAACTGCAACTCCAAGCGCTTTGTTATCCCAATCCATTGCATCACTTTTTGCAGATATATGGAAGTGCCTCTAAGGGACAAGAGGAACATGTCCTGACACATATAAAGCTCTTTCCCACCACCTATATATGTGTCAAGCCTTTTGCTGGCAGTCACTCTGGGGAGTGAAGTTGGTTAAGAGCCTCATCAAACATTACTTTGCAATCCGTGCTTAAGACAAGTGCTTGTTAAGGACTCACAACCTGGAGGGCTTCCAGATGGCTAGGGCTCACCAGAAACAAATATTTGTAATTACCAGAAATTTAACAGCTAATACCAAGTAACTGAGCTGGGTTCGTTGTACTTGACCCTTTTGATGAAAATATTCTGCATTCTGTAAGCAGTTGTGTAAGGGCACCCTCTGCTGGCTAATTTGGAGCACTAAGTAAAATAGAGGGCATTTCTTACACTGTCATCCTCCCTGCTGTACAGTACTTGCAAAACTCTCCCAGACACAGAGAAACCAACCCGCTAGCTCGGAGAACAAACCTTCAACCCCTATGGCACCAATGCAAGGGTGAGCAACCTGAAACCTGTTCCTCTTTGATTCTCCGCTGATTATATCACTGAGTTTGAGTTTCTTATTATTTTGACATGGGAAACAGAACCAGACCAGAAAGGTAAATTGAAAATAGGCTTAGCATAAATATAAAATGCAATGAAGAAAACTCTACATACCCTCTCCAGAAAAATAAATAAATCCCAATTTGCCCATATGCGTCACACAGTTCCTCTTGTTTTGTACCATCAATCAACTCTCTATAACTTGTTTTGTACCATCAATCAACTCACTCTTAAACCAGGGGTTTCTCAATCTCAGCAATCTTAAAGTGTGTGGACTTCAGCTCCCAGAATTCCCTAGTCAATGCTTAAAGTTGCTAAGATTGAGAAACACTGCCTTAAACCTTCCCACACATCATTAAGTGCAATTCCTGCTTGACCAGCCCTGCCCTAGAGGCAGCACTATGCCTGCCTGCAAGTCACCCACTCTTCTTACCGATATGCTTGTAGTAGATGGGCACAAAGACATTGATGGCACGCTCCATCCCCATAAGCATCAGGCAGAATATCACCATGCCCTGAAGTGGGTAGTTCTTCTTTGGCCACATGTATTGCATAAGGATGAGTATTTTCTGGCCCATATCCTTCCACGTGGAGGTGTTCTGCCTGGCATCTGGAAGCAGGGGCTAAAATAAGAGAAGAGAAATAAGTAAACGGGAAGGGAGGCGATTTGGGGCAGGTTTGCTAGAAATATTTGAGAAGGTTGGCACTTGTTCAATAAGACAGAGACAAGAACTGACAAGTAAAAAAGAAAGGGACTTGAAGGATAAGCATCCCAGACTCACTTTAGATAGTAAGTTGGGCGGCATATAAATAAATAAGGAAAACAGACTTTTCTCATTAAAAGGCATAGAAAATAGCCTTTCCCATCCTGGTACACTCTCCAGAATGCCGAGGCTGCACTCTCAAAATCCTAGGCCACCATCTTGGTCATTTGGAACAGAATTCTGGGAAATGTGTTTTCAACTTACATAAGACTAGGGAAAGAAGAAATTAGGAATGATCAAACAATCCAATGACTTTTCAGGTATCTAATTTCAGGGGAAGAAAGCAACCTAGGAAAATATAATTAGAAAGAGTCCAGAGGGCAAAGGTTTTATCCAGAGCCATATTCATGAACACTGCTAACTAATAAATTAACACACATATAAGTAGGAAATGAGTTACAATGAGCCATGGCTTCAGAGGCTCCTCTTTTTGTTCCTTCTTCCTAGGCAACCAAGCAGACCACAAGCCACAATTCATTGTCTGGCCCAGAATTGTGGTTGCAAATAATCCCTACTTAGTTTGAATAGTTCAACTTTAAAATAAAGTAACTTATTTGAAACTAACTTTAACTTAATCTTTAATAATTTGCTACTGAAAAAGACACAAGTGATGAGTCTAAAAGTGATGAGTGTCTAAAAACAGAGTCTATTCCCAGTTGGGGGAGGGGCATGTGAGCTTAAAGTTCATGAAATCTTTTTCCCTTTGTGTATCATAGTGTAGTGGAAAAGTAGACAACGGTTTGCAGGCCAGGAGATGCAAAGCAGTTTTTATGAGTTAAGGACTGCAGTGGGGAGGTATATAATGCAAACAGAATTAGCTTTTTCCTTGTTTCTGGCGATGATTTTTCTTGTTAATAGCATTATTTTAAAACTATGTTAACGCCTACTATTACTCACATTACAGCTTTTCCACATGCTTCCTTCTGGCCACAGACTGACTGTTCCTCCTTTATGTCATATCCAAACATAGCTTTTGACTGTGTCTATTTCCAGATCTGACACTATGGGGTGGAATTCTTCCTAATCCTGGGAAAGGTTGTAGTCCAGTGGAAATTGTCACTTTTATGCAGAAGGTCCCAAGTATCTCCAGATAGAGTAAGAACAGACTCTGATCTGAAATCCTGGTAAATTGTTGCCAATTAGTCTACAGTATGTGAACTAGATTGACCAATGGTCTACTTTGGTGTAGCAGCTTTCTGTGTTTCTATTACACTGGGACTCTAATAATTTCTCTTTCTCAAGTCATTCTTCAAATGAAACATGGGAATATCTGATCCCTAGTATGCCAGTTGTATATTCACATATACATATATCCACATATTTGATAGTAAATACTCATACATCATCTGCTATATTTCTAAATATATAAATATTTAAAGAATAGATTTCTTATGCAACTAAAGCCTCAAAGTATTTCAAAAGTTGCTATATTCATAATGATATACCATATTTATCTTCAATGTTTTGTTGCAACAAATACAGTACACCTATCCCACTGAGGTTTTTAAAGTGTACTTTTATACATTAGGAATCATAGAGCTGAAAGCGGACTTGAAGGTCTTCTAGTCCATTCCACTGACCAAGGCAGGAGACTTTATACCATACTAGACATATGGTTGTCCAATCTTTTCTTGAAAACCTCAAGCGATGTAGCACCACAAGTCTGGAGGCAAGCTGTTCCACTGATTAATCATTATCACTGTCAGGAAATTCCTCCTTATTTCCATATTGGATCTCCTTTTGACGAGCTTCTAGCCATTGCTTCTTGTCCTGTCCTCAGATCCTACAGAGAATAAATCAACCCCCTCTTCCCTGTGGCAGCCCTTCAAGTAATGGAAGACAACTGTCAGGTCTCCCCCAAGACTTCTCTTCATTAGGCTAAATGCTCTTCATTAGTCTTCATTAGGCTAAATCATGTAATTTAGATTCCAGACCCCTTATCATCTTTGTTGTCTTCTCTGCATTCTTTCTAGGGCCTCACCATCTTTTTTGCATCATGGTGACCAGAACTGGATACCGTATTCCAAGGGTGACCTCACTAGCGCAGTATAGAGCAGTACTATCACTTCCTGTGACCTTGATACTATCCCTCTGCTGATGTAGCTTAGGACTGGGCTGGCTTTTCTGGCAGCTGCAGCACACTGTTGTTTCATACTTAAGTGGTAGTCCATCAGGACTAATTAGGATATTTTTATATAAAGCTATATAAATATTTGACCTGTGATCAATTAGATGCCCTGGAAAGCTAAAACAAGACATAATGATTACTCCTGCTCTAAATAACTATGAAGTAGCAATATAGAAATACTACTTGCATGTTTCATAGAAACAATAACAGGGAACAGCAGTTGGTGGTTGAGCTGCTGCTGGATTTCAAGTCTCACAATCTCTAAGTACTCACTGGTCTATATTATAATAAGATCTAGGTCTAAAATTCCTTATATAATAATAATAATAATAACAACAACAACAACAACAACAATAATAAATAATTATATAAACTCTTCTTTTCAGAGAGAGTCTTATCATACCTTTCAATTTGTTCTACAAATATTATGACAAGATGAAACTAGACATGTATCTATTTTTAAAGCATGTTTTATCATGTTAATATCAGGTTATAATATTAAAATATGCTTATTAACACTTGTCAATCTGTAACACATAGAGGGACCTTAATTTTAAAATAGTGTGCATATGTTGAAGAGTGGAATGATCCATCTTCTTCCCAACCATAACTTAGCACCTTTAAACCATTTTTTCCTAGTCTAGCACACATAACTAGATGTGAACTGAGTGGGAGTAAATAAGTTTCAAAATATCTGAGCACATCAAGGGATAGAGACCAAACTCTTATCTGGCTTCTTTCAAGGGGCCATTTATTGATAAGAAACTTAAATATCACACTACTTCAAATTCTGTAGATAAATAGCCATTTATTAGATAGGCATATGTATTACAAACTTAGCACTCATATTTCCTACGAAGAATCTTGAGCATCTGCAAGCATTATTCTCAGCCTTTTCTCATTAAGTCTGGTTAGTTTCTGAATAGCATGTACAAAGAGATGCTGGTAGATTAACTATCAGTCTGACTCAAAACCACTGGATTAGCCTCATAGTATGTTCATGTCCTAATAACTTTACATTTTTCCTTTATTTTTCTTTCTCTGATACAGTACAGTGGTAGAGGCTCCCATAGAGCTGAATGATTCTGAGAAATTCAGCAGGGGTTGCTGTTCCATTACTGGGTACCTGGTTTGGTATGTTTGCAGTAAGGGATGAATTGATTTTTACTGTAACAAAACCCGATTTAAAGTCCCTGAGATTTCTACAGCGGTATAAGGCTAAAGAATCCACACCTTTTCGTCAAGCTTTCTTTTGCTTTTCAGAGTTTCAGTCAGAAGTCCTCATTGCTTGAGTCAGTTTTAGCTGAAGGGGCCAGGGACTGAATTTGGGATCTTTGGCATATCAAGCAGCTGCTTAGTTACTAGGCTGTCAGTATTTGGGTTCAAGTAAAAGATGTTACTCTATAACATAATGATGTTTCTAATCCCAATCCTATCTCCAATTGAGATCAGCAACCTGGCAACCAGGAAAAGGAATCCTCCAGATGCATTGAACTAAACTCTCATAAAACCCATCAAAGTCGTGAAGAGAATGATGGGAACTGGCAAGATTTTCTACGACAAGTTCATTGCCATCTTCGGAATGGTACCTCCCTCTCACAACCTATTGCTGGCAGATGGCTGGGGTGGAGGAGGGACTAAAAGAGGAACATTAACTGTAAAGATGTTTAGCACATCATTCGCAGCTACTTTAAGGAGTTGGTGAAAGGAGCTACATTTCGGCCCCACGAGCTCTGAAGCACTTCTCTTCAAAAAAAACAAAACAAAAAAACCACAGCAAGATTTATCTTGGATAGAGGAAAAGAAACTCACCTCGCTGATTTCCACATCACGCTCATCTTCATTGATTAAAAGCATGTAGGGTTTTCGGGGCAGCCCTGGGGCCTTGATCCCCAAAACGAAGAGGGTGAAGGTGCTGATGTAACGCAGGAACCACAGGCTGAACTGGACCTGGGAGGAGTGGATTCAGGTCAGTGGCACTCTTCGGCAAGAGCTCCCCTTCTTCCTGCCCCACCCCTCCAATGGCTACAAACCAGCAGGCAGCTCTTCTTCTCCTCCAACGCCCAATTCCACAGTCAAACGGAGGAGAAGCTGGCATTTCACTGGCCAAACATAAAACTCTAAAGCGCGCGGCCAAAGATTGGTCCACCAAGAAATGATGGTCAAAGCACTGAAAACACTAGTTTATGAATAGTGTAGCCAAGAATAGAGAGAACTGCATCAATTACAAAAAGGCCCCACATTTTTTAATTTTGTATTTTTTTTGTAGCAAATCCCAGAGACAGCCCCTCCCAGTAGCTTTAGGGAGCGCTTAGTGGTAATCCTGACACCCCAACCCCCCCCCCAAAGGCACTTGATTCCACTACCTGGGGGAAGGCACTTCCTGTGGCTCCTTCACGCCTCTTCCTGTCCTGTGAGGCCTGCAAGTGCAGCACAGAAGCCCTAGGAAAGCTCGGTCATGTGAAGGGATCAGGGCCAGGAGAGGCTAGCATTTAAATGTGGGCTATTAAACAGATGGGAGATGAGTTTTCGGGGACCATCTCACTGGCAGTTTGCTCTCCAGGGACAAGCTGAACAAGCCAAACATTATTACTGTTACTTCTCCTTGGATCCACTTGTGCTAGCTAGGGCATTCTTAACCTACAGTGACACACACATCCTTTGTTCCAGAAAGCTGTCCTTTAGATAGGATAGGATAGTATACCTTGTTTCCCCGAAAATAAGATCCTGTCTTATATTTTTTTTGAACCCTGAAATAAGCGCTTGGCCTTATTGCCATGCGCTCAAAAGCCCGATTGGGCTTATTATCAGGGGATGTCTTTATTTTGGGGGAAACAGCATAGTGTAGTATAGTAAGGTATAGTATAATATAGTATAGTGTATAGTATAGTATAGTATAGTATAGTATAGTATAGTATAGTATAGTGTATAGTATAATATAATGTATAGTATAGTGTATAGTATAGTATAGTGTATAGTATAATATAGTGTATAGTATAGTATAGTATAGTATAGTATAGTATAGTATAGTATAGTGTATAGTATAGTATAGTAGTATAGTATAGTATACCGTGTTTCCCCGAAAATAAGACCCTGTCTTATATTTTTTGAACCCTGAAATAAGCACTTGGCCTTATTGCCATGCGCTCAAAAGCCCGATTGGGCTTATTATCAGGGGATGTCTTTATTTTGGGGGAAACAGCATAGTGTAGTATAGTAAGGTATAGTATAATAAGTATAGTGTATAGTATAGTATAGTATAGTATAGTATAGTATAGTGTATAGTATAATATAATGTATAGTATAGTGTATAGTATAGTATAGTGTATAGTATAATATAGTGTATAGTATAGTGTATAGTATAGTATAGTATAGTATAGTATAGTATAGTATAGTATAGTATAGTATACCGTGTTTCCCCGAAAATAAGACCCTGTCTTATATTTTTTGAACCCTGAAATAAGCACTTGGCCTTATTGCCATGCGCTCAAAAGCCCAATTGGGCTTATTATCAGGGGATGTGTTATTTTATTTATTATTTATTATTATTTATTAATTCAATTTATATGCCGCCCTTCTCAGGAGACTCAGGGTGACTTACAATGCATTAAAAAAAAACCCATTATAAAAACATCTTGGGGAAAACAGTGTAGCATAGCATAGCATAGCATAGCATAGCATAGCATAGCATAGCATAGAATAGAATAAGCTGGAAGGGACCTTTGAGATCTTCTAATCCAGTCCCCTGCTCATTTATTTAATTATATATTCACTCGGTGTTGCTCTTGAATTTTCCTTTGGAAAGCAAAGTTATAAACAGAAATGATTGTTTTTGTCCTAATGAATCTCTTTTGGGTTTGCCCCCCCTCCCCCCCACTTTCAGGTTTGCTTTCTATTTTTTCCAAGAAAATATGGTTACTATACTTTAACCTCATACAATATGCAATGGGATAAGAAACCAATAGCTGCTACTCCTGCTCTTGCCACACCTTCTACAGGTAGTCCTCGACTTACGACAGCAATTGAGCCCAAAATTTATATCGCTAGGTGAGAAATTTGTTAATTGAGTTTTGCCCCATTTTAGGATGTTTCTTGCCACATTTGTTTAAGTGAATCAATGCAGTTGTTAAGTTAGTAACATGGTTATTAAGTGAATCTGGCTTCCCCATTGACTTTGATTGTTTGGCAAAATGTGATCACATGACTCCGGGACACTGCATCCGTCATAAATATGAACCAGTTTTCAAGTGTCCGAATTTAAATCACGTGACCATGGGATCCTGCACCACTGCCACAGTCGTAAGTGTGAAAAAGGGTCATAAGTCACTTTTTCAGTGCTGTTGTAACTTCAAATGGTCACTAAACAAACTGTTGTAAGTCGAGGACTACTGTAAATTTATGTGGGGACCCATCAGTGATAGTTATGCCCAAGTTCCGACTTTTAAGGTGATTGTATGAACTGGCAGTGTGGAGTGGCAAAGCTGCCTACTCAGAGAAACAAACCTGAGGTTGGCCTATAGTAGTACTGTAATTCAGATAAGTAGCTTAGTAACAAATACAAATTAGAAGACCCTGTGACCTTCCAGATATTTTTGAATTCCAACTCCCCATTATCTCCGATAATGGAAATGCTATAAAGCGTAGAGAGCCACACTGTGAACCCAACATAAACCCAATATCATTTATTCTGATGTGTAGTAAAGAGCAGGGGGTCACAAACATGCAAAGGAAGCAATGGGCAACTCATTAATAAACCAATAAACCATCTGCACTACAGATGGAATTACATTCTGTCTTGTTTTTCAAGTTTTAGGGCCAGTCAAATTGATCTTCAGAGAGATGCCCTTTTCTCTCATGGTGTTCCTAGAGGGGAAGGGAGGAGGAAGCAAGCCTTCATCTCTTGTATATTCTTGCCAGAACAAAGAAATGAGAATTCAGCTTGTGGCTAGACCTGCTTGGTAAGTGAATATGCATAAAGACTCCTCCCCTATTATCAAAATTTAAAGAGAAAGTGGTTTGCCCTCCTTGCCCTCTTGTGAAACTGTTAAGCAATGATGACTAAGCAACAATGATTCAGCAAAAACATGCTGCCATGAGGAAAATGAGAGGAAAAAAGAAATAAGCAATAGCTTGCACCAAGGGCAATTTCTGACAGATTCATTCAATGCTAGTCCAGTTCATTCAGTGCTAGCTCATCTCCTTTATTTTCTATAAAATTTCAGCCTATAAATAATCTCTTTATAATTCTCAAACTTAAAAAAAGAGAATGCCTGTCTCTGATATAGGATGTCTTCCATTGCCTCCCAAGTCAAATGTCTTCACTAGGTGAAAAAAACACCTTATTTCCCTCCCGTATTAATCGTAATACAATTAAAAGGTACACCAAAGTTGACATTTATATTACTGACAATAGCTCCATATATATAAGGTAGCCTAAGGAGCATAGTATCACCATGTCTCAATCAACATGTTTCTGTAACAAATCATTTCTAATTTGTCTGTCTTCATTTGAACTTCAAAGTTACAAAGCCTTCTCTATTATAAATATGGCACGATCTAGGAAGGATCAAAGGAAGCTCAAGTAAGCAACGCATTATTGACTAAAAAACTCCTCTATTCTACTTTCAAAATAGGTTACCTATATTTGTTTAGTATAATTGATTTTCATAACTCAGTGCTGCACATGAAATTTATTTTCTGCTTACTAACACGAACTATGATTCAGATGGGCTATTTCATACTCAGTCACAACTTGAATGAAACAGATAAGGCTGAGTTATAAATTAATAGTAGAAAACAAGTTTTCCAAGATGATGTTTCCAACAACACTCTTTGGCACTAGACCCTGCTATAAATTCTGTGTGTACAAGACACACAGAAATTAGCTTTACTTACTGCCAGAGAAACTATATCATCTTCCTATAACATATCATCCCCATGACCTTATCACTGACCCATCCTACCTTTTGGTTAGTGTCTTTTAATTCCCACCACCAAAGTGGGCTGTTCCATGAGATGAAGGCCAAATTCTCAGAAGAAAAAGCCAGAGCCCAGTAGAGGAGGAGGATTGCTCCATGGCCTCTGATCCGATCCTGCACCATCACCCTGGTGCGTTCCAGATGCAGCAGCCCAATCGAGGCAGCCCAGCTAATGGCTGACAAGCAAACATTCAGCACCATATATCCATAAAGTTCTTGGGTGCCCACCACTTGCCACAAGAAAGTGCAGAAGGGCATCAGGGCGAGGAATAGAGAGACCAGGATTTGGGTATAGTACAGGCGGGAGCGAGGGATATACTTTGGTTCCATAGTGCGGCTGAACTGAGCATAACAGGTATACTGTAGAGCACCCAATAGGAGACAGACACTGAGTAGCACTGCAGGGACTAGTGTGAAGTAGAAGCAGGGGGACAATCCCTCTTGGGTCCATGCTTGTGCCAGGGACTCATTTCCCTCACAATAGCTGTGTAACACCACCATCCTGCTGGGTGAGAAACTGTGGAGACATCAATAAAAGAAACAGAAGAAGAAATTAGGAAACAAGCTTAGACACATTACATAGAACTTCAACCCCATTGACATGACAAGTTATTCACATTACATATTCACAATGTAGATGAGAATATTTATTTCATATTCATTACACATAGTTTATATGGGCCAGGTGGTTTACAATTATAGAACTAAAACCATAATAAAACTATAATTTTTTAAAAAAATCCCTCAGCAACTGTCAACAAAAAAAGGCAGCAGACCAGTCACCCCAAAAGCACATCTTGGGCATAGCAAGAGTTTCAACTCTGTGTTTACATTTGTTTTAGATGTTATTTTTTATATCATCATCAAGTATAGGTATTCTGTATGTATTGACCACGCTCAAATTATCCTACTTCACATACTTTATGAGAAGGCCTAGTTCTTTAGAAAAAGCTCTAATGCTGGAAAGGTGAAAAGAAAAGAAAAAGAGGGTGACCCTTGGGATGGATTCAGTGGATGGATTCAGTTCCAACAGCGATGAGTGCCTATTGAAAGACCTGAAGGGCCCGGTTAGGGACAGATCATCATCCATGCTGTTGCTAAGTGTTGACACAGACTTGATCACATATAATATTATGTGTATGATCCCCAACCTGGAATAGAGGCCAAGCTACTGTGATTACTCCTATTTTTGAGAGATGTAGTCTCAAGACATTTGGTGAGCACCTGCTGGACAGAACTTCTGGGAACTGCAGAAAGTGTATATCTCTTATTGAAGAGGAAAAGAATATCCTTAATAAACCTATTTGAATGTTGCTTTATATATATATGAACTATATATTGTGCTATCCAAGCTCAGGAACCTTGTTCCAGAATCTTTTGACTTTTCACTAACTTCATGAGGCTAATATCCCATTGCCCAAATTTCTTGCCCAATTAGGATTCTCCTACCGTGTTTCCCCGTAAATAAGACCCTGTCTTATATTTTTTTGAACCTTGAAATAAACACTTGGCCTTATTGCCATGCGTTCAAAAGCCCGATTGGGCTTCTTATCAGGGGATGTCTTATTTTGGGTGAAACAGGGTACTTTCCCTGAATATCCTCTTTTTAGGAGTCAGAAACAGATCTCTGCTTCTGCTCACAAGACTGACATTTGTATGCCTATCCGGAGTTTGCTTCTCCTCCTTTATTTCACTCTGTCCTTTCAGAGGACATTTAAATGGTACTCGAATGTTATGTTGTTATGACTACATTTTGCAGGGGGGGGGAGAGTTTATAGGCAAGGCACAGACCAGTCCTTTGCAATTTTCCTCAGGGCCATCCCCACAACAAGTATCAGCTGTTTCTCCAAGACCTGTGAACTTTCACAGAGAAAATGGTGAATCGACCAAGGAGACTCCCGGGAGTCCAAGGCTAACAGCGGGAGCTCCAACCCAGGCCACGTGGATTACGGTGACAGACCCAGGACTCCAAAACATGCCTGATCCCCCGCACGCCGCCGAATTCCACTAGTGCTGCAAATAGCCCTTTGCCCAGTGTTTTCAATCCGGTCTCCGATGCTCTTCCACTGGATTTATTGGGAAAACAATAAAACCTGGGTACTAGGTGGGAGGAAAGGAAAACGGCACGAGGCTCTGCATCCCACCCTAAGGCAGCGATGCTTTGCTGGGCTCGAGATCTCCCATCGTCCGCAGCCACCACGGCCAATTGCACTCCGACGTATCTGAAAGTAACTCTAACCGACCTTGTGCGGGTCTTGGAAAAAAAGCAGGTCCTGGGTGGGTTATGAGAAAAAAAAAAAATCAACCCAGGGAGTGCCGTGCTGAGAATTGGAGGCGAGGATTTTCGGTCACCTGTACAGGTGGAAACGTTGCCACCACCCACCCACCCCTCTTCCCCGTGCGATCCCGTAGATGGGGGTTGCGCGTCTCCGGGCGCAGGAAGGATTTGGCGAGAGCTCCGCAGAGAAGCCACTCTCGACCCTTCACCTCGCCTACGTCCCGCTTGCCGGCACAGGGACTCAGACGCTTCTGCTTTAACCCATCCGGCCCCAAAGATTTTCAAAATGCCCAACCTACCGGGTAACGTCCACTTGCTTGCACGAGTGCCGTCCGGCGCAGCGCGTCTCAGCAGCGCAGCAGAAGCCTCGGCAGGCTGTGCGGGGCTCCTCCGGGCCTAAAACCCCGCCCATGCATAGTACTGTACATGCTAGGAGACTTCCACTGGGTCCTAACTGCCGCTGATTTTGTTCTCAAGCAAACTAACTAAGCTGAGCTTCCCGCGGACTGAAGCATTTCTGTCGGAAAATGAGTGGTGGTGGTTGGGGGGGGGGGGATTGTCGTGAAAGTAGCTTCTCTCCCCGATTTTAATAATGGACCTATTTAATAATGGACCTAGGAGCCTGGTGGTGCAGTGGACTAAACTACTGTTAAAGTAATATTTAGCTGCCAGCTGCCTGCAATTACTGTGAGTTCAATTCTCACCAGGCTCAAGGTTGACTCAGCCTTCCATCCTTCTGAGGTAGGTAAAATGAGGACCCGGTTTGTGGGGGCAATAAACTGACTTTGTATAAAATAGAACATCACTTAGGGGGGGCCAAAAAGCCCTACTAAGCAGGTATATACAAAAGTATGAAGGCTATTGCTTAAAAGCATTGTAAGCCGCCCCGAGTCTCTGGAGAAGGGCGGAATATAAATCGAACTAATTAATTTATATATTCCACCTGCTCCCTTCCCATTGCTCCATAATAAAAAAAACAAGCGTGTCAAATGTTATGCAGCAGCTGATTTAATGACCAAAGTGGAGCACTTTCTACAGAAAATAAAGCATTCAAGCATGAGTTATACTGAACTCAAGACTTATTCGATAAACATATGCTACTGTGAATGTTTACTTTGTGTCATAAAGTAAACATTCATAGCAGCACCCGTTTCAACTGTGGAAACGGTGTGACCTTGGGTTCAAGGAGGCTGTGAAGGTAAAATGGGGTTTACGCCCAGCGTGCCAGACTGAGATCATTGGTGAGGAATAAAAATATTAATGTGATTCATGCCCAACTCCTATCTACTGCTCATTACTTAACTGAGCCAAGGGCCCAGTTTCAGCTCCGAAATACTAATGAAATGAAGATGTGTAGTTTAACATAGAGATTAGGGATGCAGATAGGGATGATCACAGGATGGCAGCGATTAACAGTATGATTGAACTTTTGCAGGTTAGTTAATGTGTGTTGTACATATTATACACATAAAAAGCTCTAATTACATCGTCACGGCTGCCATCGTGACTTTTTTTTTTTACCACAACCTGCAAACAACCCTGGCTGCACAAAGATCACCACAAATTGCAGCAAAGAGGCATGGTAACTTCCTCCCGTTACTTCCATCTGGTAATCAGCCAGATTTGTGAAACAGAGTTAACCATGCTTAGGGGAAATCACATTTTAAGAGGCAGAATCTACTGATATTATGGGTCTAATCTTCCCAAAGTAATTCCATACATTAGGACTTTCTAGAAATAAACATGATTTATCCTACTATAAACTAGGAGAGAGCTTGCCTAGGTTGACATTTTCAGTCAAGTGCATTGCTGAAAATGTCTGAAAAAGCAGCAAAAAGGAGTCCTTGGTGCTCTCTGAGCTTGCTTGTGCTGATGATATTACCTAGTTAGGGTAATGAAACATCTGCAAGAAAACAAGCAAGCTCAGCGAGCACCAAGGACCGCTTATTTCAACCCTGGGCTACAAATATTCTCCTTTATAAGCAGCAGAAAGTTTGTCACCTTCTGTAAGAAGTCTTAAGGTGCTATTTACTATGGAATCTCGCAATGGTTTCAATATTTTAACATTACAAGCTAGCTATGGATATATGCCAGTGAAACTTGTATCACAAATATTTCTTAAGTGACTTTCTTCCAAAGATGGCGAACTTTGGGCAAGTACTGGCTCTTTTGAAAAGTCTGTTGGACCTGGAGTGTACAATATAACAAGGACTTCAGTCTCAGAGAGCTCAATATTTATATGGTTCCCCTCCCCTTTACAAATGAGATAAAGATTTGGTTCAGAAATAATGATGCTAACAGTAAGAATGAGCAATCCAAGTGCATTTTTGAATGCCTACTGGCATTCAACTTCTATTTGGATTCAACTTCTATTTCAACCTAGTAACTAAAACAGTTAGTTTGATGAACTTCAAGATCCTTGGCTTAATTTGCAGGGCATGTCTTCTAAGTGCATTGCTGTATTGCATACAGTTCCCACTTCCAGTTTTGTGGCATTCATGGTGTCCATAGTTTGTATGATTTTCTCTAAAGACGTGCAAAAACAAAAACAAGGCATTCCGAAAGCAAAACAGGAAGGCAACATTTTGGATGCCCCTTTCCCAGTGATTCCACTGTGTCACTAGACATGTCCCTGTGCCTTTCAGAAGCTGGTAGGAGGAAAGAAAGTCACAATGCCCACCAGTTTAGAAAACATTTCCCCAAATTGCAAGGTATCTGTATTTGCATCCTGGAAGGGAATATCTGGTTCATATATTTCAAAAACGAAAAACCAAACACACAAAAAATGAAAGGTCTAAGTACCTCTACAGCCCCCACCCCCAAATAATTACATTATTTTTACAAAGTTTTCCCAAGGTTATTCTAAATATTCAGATTAGACTCAGCGCTAGAAATTAGGGCTAATATTCAATTCTAAAGTATCCCCATGATGCGCAGCAAATGTGCTAATCCTTTCACCATGGAAATATTTCACTATTTTTTCCCTTCCTGTCATGATTATATACAAAACTAAAATTCAATATATATTTTAAAAAACACTGAACATTTACTCATTTCAGCATTCTAGTTCTGAATGTAATATTTGCAGGTATGATACAGACTGTTATTATTCTTTGTACAATACTACTTCTGTAATAGTACATAGTACCAATAAAGGGGAATATTTGTAGTTCAAGGTTGAAACGAGGGATCCTTGGTGCTCTCTGAGCTTGGTTGTTTTCTTGCAGATGTTTTATTATTCAAACTAGGTAGCATTATCAGTGCTAGTGGTGATGATGTTACCTAGTTTGGATAATGAAACATCTGCAAGAAAACAATCAAGCTCAGAGAGCACTAAGGACCCCTCATAGTATCTTTTCTTTTATGTACACTGAGAGCATATGCACCAAGACAAATTCCTTGTGTGTCCAATCACACTTGGGCAATAAAGAATTCTATTCTATTCTATAGTACATGGTAACCTATGTCGTCAATAAGCACCAACATCACTCTTGATTTGCAGATGTAACATTCCACCTTTATAAGGTTTAATAAAACTGATGTGCTTTTTGACTTCTTAACTTGTAGAAGAGAGTTAACTCAACACTAAACAATTAAATTGTCTTAATGTCTCAAAAGTGATGACATACAATCTGGGATCCAGCTTGGTCCATTCTGCAAGCAGTCGATATTGAGACAGTGGCTTTATGCCAATAACACCTTTGAGAACAAGCGCATGGAGCAGGATATCCAAACCCTCACAATGAGGATCATTTGACCTGAGCACTCACACTCACTGTGTCTGCTGCACTCAAAATAAATGTTGTATTTCAACTACTGTACATGGATGAAGTGATTTAAGATGGCATTTGAAGAGGCATGTCATGATGAGTTGAAATCCTGGCTAAAATGTACCCTTTGCAGGTGGCTAACATAACTCTCTTCCATTTCTAATTTAAACTTGGGTGTATTGGATAATCCCACACAAATGGCCAGACCCCTCAAAGAAGAAAACACCTCCTTTATTCAGTAGATACGGCACTGTACAGGAAGCTGGACAATCAGCTCTGCTTTACAAACCACTTGCATTATTCACATACAAACTGGCCTCCCTAATGCCACAAATAAATGTGGAGGTAGAAGGTGGCCATTCCATGCAGATGCAGATGGAGCAAAGATAAGAAGGATGCATGACTGCTAGTACTGCCTCCCCTACTATCCTTTTGGCTAAGCTATATCAAGATGGATGCTGAAGAAGAGCCCATACTTGACCAGCACAATTCAAAGCAGCAATCTACAAAGTGATTCTGCTTTCTACAGGGATATGTCAATATTGCTGGATTTCTCCATATACTAGTAAGGAGTAGGCATAATGCTGATGCTAGCTGTATCTGTAGTGTTAAACCATCCTGACCCAATTTGGAGCACTAAACCACAGCCACACGAAGGTGAGCGAGTTGTGCATTGTACAAAGGCACCATGACACTGGCGGGGGGTGGGAGGGAATTATGGGAGCAGTAGTATCCCAGTGCCACACTGCAGGCAATTGGGTTGGAGGAAGAAGTTCTTTTAGTTACTATTCTGCGCATGTGCGCATGTGCTATAGAAGAAAAGAGAGACTGAAGCACTGGGAAACCACTGACGTGATTTGATGCTCTGGTGGTAAAAAACGTTTTGCACAAAGGCACCTTACAGGTCAGCGGTAGTCCTACTCCAGACATCCTGGACTACAACTCTTATCAGCCCAGGAAACAGCACCTGCAAGGTAGCTACTGAAAGTTCTTTTACTTCTTGGGAGACAACACTCTGCAGTTGCAGCTCAACAACATTTCCCTACCAGTAATGGGTTTCAATTTAGTTTGCTACTGGTTTGCACCTGTGTGCGCTCACGCACGCATGCAACACTTCTGCGCATGCGCAGAAGCGACTGGGTGGGTGGGCGGAGTCTCCCACTGCCGCCACTACTGGTTCACCCGATCTGGGGCAAACCAGTAGCAACCCACGACTGTTCCCTACCCCATAGATACTTGATAAAACTACTGGGAGAGAAATGATGAGTAGTACAGGAAAATACTGAGCCATGAACTAGAAACAAGTCTGTGGAAACTGAGGATACATAATCTGTTTTTGTTTTCCTTCAAAAAACCCCAGGAAAGCATATAAAATTCAGGAGTCTGGCTTCCCCAAACATGAAACATCCCCAGAAAAATCAGCTATAGGATCCTGCACAGCTTAGTCTGTGAAAAGCGAAAACAGAATATATTATCTGGGATAATTTACTTCATTAACAGTGGTTGTCTGTGATCATTACCTAAAAGGCTAATAAGAATTTAAAATACGGCCCATTGTGACAATGGGCTCTCCAAAAACAAAATTCAGAAAAAATAAGTGGTTTAAAAAGGAACAAACCACAGTAGTTCCTACTACTTAACTAGGCCCAGCTAGCCTACAAATAATACAGAAAGGACAGAAGACCGAGGGCAAGAATGGAAAACCAGTGTTTCTGCAGACAGTTTGAAATAGGGTTTTATCAGTTGAATTGTGAGCTTAATTAACTCTTTTTGTAAAAACATAAAAGTCATCCCTTCTTGAGTTTTTAAGATAGCTTTTTTTGGCATACAAAATGTGGTATTTCCATAAGAGCTGCATAATTACTATCAAGGCACCCAAAGGGAAAACAAAAAGAAAATCACGAATGGGGCAGCACCAATTTGGAGAAGCCAAGCAGGATATTAAAGACGTACTTAAATATGATATGCCTATCATGCCTCTGATAAGCACTGGTAATCTCCACTCATCTCTCTCTCTCTCCCTCTGCCCCCCCCCCTCTCTCACCACACACTCACTCACACACACACAAACATACAGAGTACAAAGTCTTATTCTTGATTCTGAGTCTCAGCAGGAGAACCGAGGGCTTTTAGAGCAGAATTTCTTTCAAGGCTTTTAGGCTGGGCATTATTTTATAAAGCTGACTTAGATCAGTTCAGATCCTGGCTCAGGCAAACATTACCATGATAAACCTGTGATCTGATATGGGGGTAGGACATGAAATGAATATGGCCCCCCAAGCAATGAGAAATCAATTATGCCCAAAGAAAGGCAAATCCTGTGATAGAAATGATGGCACTGCAAGGGTATTCTTTTCTTCTAGTCTGGCATCAACATGGAATGGAAAAATCGAAGAAGATGTATTCCCTTGCTGTGTGCAACCGCTTCAGTTGAGTCAGGCTGTGTCAGTGGGTGGAGGAAGCCTGGCCCTCAATTCTTGTTACAAAAATAATCTTTCACAGCCCTTCTTTTCCTGAGTCCAAATCTACATCCTGATTGCATCTTTGATCATGTTGCAGTCTAGACAACGGAGCAGCTCTTCTGGCTGCTGAACAGGATCCACAAGCAGGTCCTCTTCCCAACTGAAGAACATTTCATCAGGCAGGGTGAGCATTGCCTGTCTCTCCCATCTCTTGTGTGCTCTGTGGCATTCTGTGCAGGTCTTGGATGGTTCTCCAACACGGACAACACGTATGTAGATACAGACAATATATGTAAATACACACACACCCAGCCTATGCACAGCTAATGTGTCACCGGTATGATGCATGTCTGGATAGAGTTCTGCCCACCCCAAAGGCACCACTGACACCATCACATCGGTTACCCCTGTATTCTGATGTCCAGGCCATGGAAACTTGAGCTAACCCATATCTTCTAGGGTAGGGTAACTCACTGCTCCACCAGCCGAGACAGGCCCCAGGTCTGGAACCCCCACTGGATCTTCAGCCTTTGCAGTTATACCTGGAGGGGGTGATTTAAGACAGAGGTGGTTATTTTGAGAGGAAGGATACTGATTTAGTCAAAAATAAAACCTAGTATACATGCCCTTCTAAGGTCGATGGCACACCCGTTTCCATATCTACCTCAAAATCAATTAATATATTCTATGACAAAACAGTTCTTTGATAGCAACATGCAGCACTGCATTACCACTGGGCAGTAGTGCTGGTGTGTGTGTGTGTGTTCAATTATGTGAAATTGGCAGCCACATCCAGGCAATTAAAGCATCACTCCTTTTCATGAACATGGAATGTGTAGGATGCACGTCAATAAGAGATGGGTGGGTTTTGATATATGGTCATGCCAGCTATTTTGCTGTTCTTGACCCTCCTGTTAATAGCAATAGCACTTAGACTTATATACCGCTTCACAGTGCTTTACAGTCCTCTCTAAGCGGTTTACAGAGTCAGCATATTGCCCCCAACAATCTGGGTCCTCATGTCCCCAATAACTACTTATTTAAGATGGAAGATTCCTTCTTTTTGGCAGATAACACACCACACCCATTGCTAATCCCAGGGAATAAAACAAGCTGCACCTTGTGTAGCTGAGGTGGCAACTCATCTTCTGAGCTCTCTTCTGGGACTGGCTCTGGGTGTCGAGCAGCTTGGCCATCTTCTGCCCAGCCCCCAAGTGGCAAGCGAGCAAAGTGTGATGGAGCCCTATTCACTGGACCAGGGTCTGTAATAGGACAGAAGGAATGGAATGGAACTCGCCCATTGCTTGAAGAAAACATTCTAACTTATTAAGAAGAGAAAATAAGTGTAAATATTACAGGATAAAATTAGCTTTCAGCTACAGAAGCAGTAAAGGGAAATGTTTGGGGAACTTTTCAAACTTACGATGGTATCATTGTTACTCTTGGCTAGTATTCTGTACACGATCATGTTCAGCTATAGTTCACAATTGTTAACAAAAAACAAAAGCTAAGAAGCTGACAGGGTGTCTCAGGGCAGCCTCATCTTATTACAAGGACAGCATCTTCTACTTGATGTATTTGCCATATTATTATGTATAAAGAAGTTCTCTATAGGATTTAGCATTTAAAATAACTCCTACCCTTAGTAATCTGGGAGTAATGAAAGAATAAGACCCTAATGTATAATTGATAAACAATGGAGTTAATGCAAGTCCTACTCACTGTGGTTTACAAATCACGGTTCATTGCATCATGTGAACTATTTTCTGTTGTGGCTTATTCAAAAGCCCTTTCAGCCCACCTGGCTGAAGAATGCAGGCTGACCATGGATTTACCAGACTTTATACATACCCGAGACACCACCATAACGGCGCTGGAAGCCTGCCTGTAGAGCAGATGCCTCATCACCAATTTGACGTGGGGAGGCAAAAGGATAACTGGCCGAGCGTGGCATGGTGCTGCTAGGGGTGTTCCTCTGGGCCTCTGGGTCTTCCTGGGCACTCTCACCACTCTCATCACTCTCCCGCCGGTGCCACAAGTGTCGTTCAAGGTCCAACTGGGCGTGCTGCTTGTGCAGCTGTGAAAATGAGTTAATAAACAATGTTGTTTAGCCAAGTAAAGGTTATTGAGAGCTCCCAAGTAAATCTAGCTCCAGACCTAAAATTAATTGCCCTGCAGTCCTACATATGTGTGTTGAGTCCCCACCTGTACATACAGAAGGATCAGTTCTATTTTGTTACCTAAAATGTGAATGCAAATGCACCTAGCTACACTGTATGATGCAGTTTTGCTTGAAGTTTTCTAATATGATCCAACTTGATCTCTTATATGTTTCCTATTTTTCAGATCCTGAATTCGGTTTGATACTTCAGGATAATACGAGTGCAATTCCCTATGCTAGCATTTTACAGGAAGTTTGAGTTTACAGCAAAATTCACAACCTACGTCCACAATTATAAAACGTCCTACCAGAAATGTGGATACAGTTCTAAAAGTTGCAGAAATGACTTGAGAATCATTATTTAAATACATGAGTAATCATCAGAGCTATGCAATGATTTGGCTGTAACTGAGAAGAAGTTCTTTGAAAGCATGATTGAACACCCATCTGTGATTCACTAAAACAGCCACCCTTGGGTCAAGGACAAGATAGCTATGGCAGAAGCTCTCCTGCACCAGTTGAGAATCCTGAAACAGATGTGCCTGTTGTGACTTCCCGGATGAATCCAAAGTACTGCACAGCCCTAATAACAGTATAAATCATGCTGAAGCTAACTTTAAAAATTAAGATTAAATGTAAAATAAATCCCATATAGTTTGTGTTTTCACCGTTATATCTTTCACCGTTCTGCCTCCGTTTCCTTTTTGTAATGCAGCGTTAGTATACAGAGACTTTTCTGGCCTCAAACCAAGACTTCATAATCATTGGCATCTCCAGCAAACTAGATGCCAAAGTGTCAACATGCCATGTGTACTTTTTATCTTTATTATTATGTATTGTTTTGTTATATGTTATGAGCCATCAAATCTACTTATGGTTGGAGCAGGATATTAATGTGACTTACAAATGAATAAATAAAACATGCACATAACAATACATATTCACATCTTTTAGATTTATACATCTTTACATATTAATATTTATGCAATGCCTTAGGCAAGCTCACAAGTGATCACATATGTACAATGACATTTTCACACCACTGTCATTTCTTTCACTTCCTCCTCTCCCCTGTCCCACAAACACCCCTTGCATAAGTCATTTTGATCACATTACCTCATGCATATAGAGAGCATGCAGACTCATCTCAGTAGAGGCATATTCCGAAAGAATTAGGCTCTGAAGCTGACCTTCCCAAGCACTGCTGCCAGAGCTTGCTGTCCTGGCATCCACCCTGCAGCCAAAAGTGAAGGAAAGAATCAAGATGTGGTGTTAGAAAAAAAAAATCCACTGATGTTCAGAAAAACTGCCTCCCCTTCCAGCACTCGTATGTTAAATAAATCAACTTTTTATCAATCATATGTGTGCTTTGCAGCTCTATTCTAACTGGGTACACAATCATGGCTTATGATTCTACATCATCCAGAATGGGACTGCAAAACACATATTCAAAATACAAAGCAGTTTTTGTAAAGCCTTGGAGAAGTGACCAACTTTATGAAGCTTCAATCATACAAAAAAAAAAATCTAGATGGTGCAGGAAGGGACAATTAAAGGCCTTAAAATGTTCAGTTTAGAGGGGAAAATGACATTGCCTTCCCTCCCCTCTACCAGAAAAAGCATCAAGTAAAATTACACCTCAGAATATACTCTCAAAGCATCCCAGATAAAATACTGATGAGATGGTTGATCTCTAAGAATTTTTCCAGTAGATGCTTACTACACACTATTTCTTACCCCGAGCCTGTCATTGCACCATGTCTCCGAAGCTGGGCATCATCAGCATGGGAACTACCATGTATTGTCTGGGTAGATTGAAGAGGGGAGAAGGAACGCAAAGCAGATGCCACCTCAGAAACAGCAGACAGATGCCGTGAAGTCTGTGCATCACGGATTGTCTGGTACCCAAGTGCCGAGGAGCCAGCAATCACGTTGGCAATCAGACTGTGTGGCTGCAGACAGAAGAGAAGAGGGATTTTAATTCTGCAGGAACGGGATTCTCTCCCCATGTTTGTCACTAGAATTTCACCACCCCTTTCCAGTTTTAGCTCTGAACCTGCAGTGGGCAGAGCTGGAACCTCTCACTCTGGAAGCTAATCCATTCACTTAAAATCCCAACCCTAGAAGGCATGTAGGATTTTCAGGAAGAGGTTAAAACTGGATAGTTGACTCTTTACATAGAGAAAAGAAAAGCAAGAGATTCAATGGGAAACCTTTATAGAAATTCTACAAAAGGCACCTGAAATTGGTATGAGTGTGTCAGTAACAGAAATACTGTGAGGACTGGGGTTGGCTACTTCTAAAGTGTTTGGGACAAGGACTTTGTGATTTTCCGAGAGCCACATGAGGCCATTCACCGATGTCACTAGAAGATATATAGCAAAAAATATTTTATATTTTTCATGCTTTTGAAAATGAGGTGAAAATCATCTGGAAACAAAAACAAATTGCTATTGTTTTTATCCTTAAAACTCCTCAAAAAAAAATAATGGGCAAAATGACAGTGTCAGAATTTGGGAATATTACTGAATTGAGGCTGAATTATTTCGGACTGCTAGACGATGTTGCTTGCAGCTCCTAGGTTGCCTGTTTCTATTTTAAGTAATGCAAATGAAAGATGGAATACAAGAAACTCAAAGCAGGGCATGGAACATTTCAACCTATACAATGGTTCTCGCAACAAAGATGGCTTCTCAGGAACTGAGTTAATGCTACTCTGGTGAAAAGAGTTCCAGAGGTGTGAGAAAAGCCCTTATGCAGAACTGGTCAAGTCTTCTTGGAATACATAGAAGTGTTTGGGAGCTGTAGTCCCATTGGAGCCACTGCACAGAGCAAATGACTATGCCTGGTTGGCATCGTGCCTCAGTTCTTCTCAGCCTAACCAGCTAGAACACTATTCTTGGCTTAGATTCCTAAACAATTCCCCCATTCTCAAAGCCCTATAAAGTGACACCAATTTTCTCCTTTTTTGGGGCAGGACATCTCACAAAAGTAGCTTTGCCATTTGTTGGTTCTCATCATCTTCTATGTGAGTACCTCAGATTCAGACTGTAGTGACTGGATAGAGGTGAAAAGTGGATTGTCAGGCAAGACAGCCTGCTGGGCCAATGCCAGGCTGCTATCACGGTGCACCCGCTCCTTAAGCAAACTAATGAAAGCTGTGCTCTCCCGAGGCGGTTGCCAGTGTGGATTGGTGATGGCAAAATGCATGAGGGACAGCTCTGTCTTGCCATCCTCAGCCTGCTGATAAATGGAGGCTTCTGTCTTCCCAGCTGACATCCACTGCAAAACAAAGCAGAGCAGAGCTCAGGAAAATATCAGAGCTAACTATTCCCCCATCCTTACTTACTTGATTTTGTGCAAGTAAAAAAATAATACACTGACTTCTCCTTTGAATTATTATTTGTTCCAATATACAGTTATTTCTTTAAAGAAATTACAAACAAGGTACATCTGATATCTAAATCACATTTCATATTGTGAAAATGAAATTCTCAAGTGTACTATAAGCCTAAAATGGTGATTCGGCTTTTACAGTAATTTAAGGCTACAGTAGAGGAAAAAACTATTTTGTACCTTGATAACTTGAAAGCAATTACCACCAGATGTAAACTGCATTTTACTATTTGATCTCGTCACTTCTGTGCTCCGTGACTTAAACCATTTTTGTGATATACTTTCATTCAATTAACATCCTACTGAAGAATGCAAAGTAAATGGCCTTTTCTGAATTAATTTCCAATTTTTTTTCATTTTTGCTGGGACTTACTGCAGGATGCCCATGCTGGCGCACATCCATTTGGGCAAAGGAGCAAGTGTCTCCCACACCCACCACCTCCACTGTAAAGTTGCGGAAGAAGTCGATGATCTCCAAAGCTTTGGGCCTCAGACAGAAAATGAGAATCAAGGGCGTCACAATGGGACTAAGCAGCTCTTCCAGAATGAACACCTTTGATGAACACAGAAAACAAACCATTAAGTCTTAAAAAACACCACAGTGAATATTACCAACATAGCTCAGGATGACTATAGGCACGACTGTTGTTCCAAATGTTGTACACTTAAGAGAAGTCCCCAAATTTCTGGAGATTCTTATATAAACATCTTGTTTATAACTAGTCACTACTCAGGACCTCTCTTGATTGACAGTGCTCTCCCATCCTCTAAACTATCTTACCGCCTTGTACTGGAAGAGCTGAGCGAATTCATCTCTGGTTTCATAACGATGGGCATTTCCTTGCCAGTGGTCAGGCATGTAATGGATGTGTGCCAGAATCACCCGAAGCAGCTGCTCTGGGCAGAAAACCAGGTGTTGGTCTGGGATGAAGGACCTGCAGGGACAGATAGGGTGCACAAGCCACATCAACTGGAGCCAATGAGCTCTACATCCCTTGAGGAGAAGCAGCAGACAGGAAGTAGCTTGTTGGCAAAGGGTCATATTGCTACTCTCTACGCTTCTTTTTTTTATATAGTAAAGGATAGACTACAGATAAAGATTATATAGGAACTCTTAGTGGAGGAAAGCAATTAATCTTACAAATTTTCACACCACATTCTACTTTGAAGACTTTCAGACTGAATTTCTTTTCTTTCAAAACGTTTTATAAAGTGCAATGTTAGTTTACATGTAAGGCAATCTTGTAATAATTCCTCCAATGCCAATTGTTAATTGACATGACATTGGCTGCAGATTACATCTCTCCAGAAACCTTTCAACCGTTGAACAACTTTATGTTGTAACTCATAAAATGTCAGGTTGATTTAAATGCTGATCCATAAACAACAATGCAAAAGAGAAATCTTTAACTTGCAATTATTTATACCAATAAAGGAGAATATTTGTAGCTCAAGGTTGAAATAAGGGATCCTTGATACTCTCTTATTGTTTTCTTGTAGACGTTTCATTACCCAAATTAGGTAACATCATCAATGCTAATAAGGAGTGGGGTTTGCTCTCCATTTATAGCAAGTCACTAGAATATAATCTGAGAGCAAACCCCACTTCTTACTAGCACTGATGATGTTACCTAGTTGGGTAATGAAATGTCTGCAAAAAACAAGCAAGCTCAGAGAGCACCAAGGACCCCTCAAGTCAAGAGCCTTGGTGGCGCAGCAGACTAAAGTGCTGTTAAGTAGCACCAGCTGCCTGTAATTACTGCAAGTTCAAATCTCACCAGGCTCAAGGTTGACTCAGCTTTCCATCCTTCTGAGGTAGGTAAAATGAGGACCCGGATTGTGGGGGCAATAAGCTGACTTTGTATAAAAAAAGAACACCGCTTGGGGTGTGTGTGTGTGAAAGCCCTACTAAGCAGGTATATACAAAAGTATGAAGGCTATTGCTTAACACATTGTAAGCCGCCCTGAGTCTCTGGAGAAGGGCGGCATATAAATCGAACCAATAAATAAATAAATAAATAAATAAATAAATAAATAAATAAATAAATAATTTATATCCTATTTCTTTCTTACTATTTCATCTCTTTATTTGCTAACTCTTCCACTTTCTTTCTCCACTTCAATTCCCTTAAGTAAACTGGTGATTTGACCACTAGTACTTTTTTCCTCTCAGCTATAAAGTTACTGTGTCTGTGCACTCTGTAGACAGTGAACAACTGTACCCCTGTTAGATTCAGTAAAAACCCCAGTAACACATGACAAGTAAGTCTAAGATTCCTGAAAAACCAGATTTTGTCTCCTGACCTCTCAAAAGCTTTATGACGCAAGCGTTTGAATGAACTCAACTTCAAAGCATCCTGCCATCATGATTAATGAATTAGGAAAGGCCTTGCTTAACTGAATTGAAATACATGAATTGTGAAGCTTAGTTAAGTCTCAAACTCATGGTACTCTAAAATGTCCTAGACAGGGGTAAAATGTAAAATTTGTTACTACCAGTTCTGTGGGCGTGGCTTGGTGTGTGTGGGGGGGTAATGTGACTGGGTAGGCATGGCCAACTTTTTTTTTTTTTTTAACTTTTAAAAGCATTTTTTCTAATGCTTTGAAAAGCCTCTGCCGATCAGGCAACTCAGCTGGGATCGTCCGAGAGGCTTTTTTAAAAATACCTCTCTGCCGATCAGGCAACTCAACTGGGATCGTCAGAGACTTTTCAAAGCATTTTTTTTAATACCTCTTCGCCCAAGAAGTTGCAGAAAAAAATGCTTTGAAAAGCCTCTGACGATCCCAGCTGAGCCATGCGATCATCAGAGCCTTTTTTTTTTACTTTTAAAAGAATTTTTTCGTCGGAAGAGGTTGTAGAAAAAATGCTTTTAAAAGTTAAAAAAAAAGCCTCTGATGATCATGCGGCTCAGCTGGACATTGGGGAGGGGGCGCAGGGATTTTTGCTACCAGTTCTCCGAACCACCTGCTGCCATCACTACCGGATCGGGTGATCCGGTCCGAACCGGGAGCATTTCACCCCTGGTCCTAGAGATAACTGCTAAACTAGAAATGAGTACCCCTGGTAATTTGTCTTCTAGCAGTAAAATCAGAGAGGGACCAAACATAAGAGCCCTTGCTGTTTAATAGATTTTTAAAAAAATTAACAGATTGCTTTTAATTACTACCTGCATAGTAACAATTATTATTCTCCAAGCATAAAGAAAGCCTCCTAAACCATGAAAGCTTCAATCCAACCATTCCCACTCACCTGCAGACAGTGACAGCCACTCCCAGGATGGTGACAGTTGTGAGAACATGTTCTACGGCTAGTACATCTTCATCATAAATTGTGAGGGCAATGAGGACAGCAAGGATAGAACCAGCAAAGAAGGCCACGTTCTTTGCCACAACAGTAAACAGGGGAGAAATGAAACAGTTCATGTACTTGGAAGCTGGTTTATAGCCTTTGCTGAGTCTCGAGTGCAACTCGTGGTCCAGCTCATTGAAATGTCGCAGGTAGCAGCGGCCATAGAGAGACCAGCAACGGGCACCCAAGCTGCCTGGTTCTCTCTTGAGAATTTCAGTGTAACTGAAGAAAGCATAAAGAATCTGCCATATAAGTATAAGAGGACAAAGGAGAAAATTAGCAATGCCAATCCATAAGATACGGGTGCCCAGTTTTTCAGCCAGCTCCATGCGATTGCTACCACGCTTGTACTCAGTCTTCAGGCTCCATTCGTTCTCAAAGAGTGAGCCAGGGCCCCAAAAGAAAATGAGTTCAAAGTTGTACTTGAGACCACGGGTGTAGAAGACAGTATCTCCCAGGAAGGGAAGATGGAAGCGCACAGGCAGGAGTGATTTGTTCACTATGGCTACCATATAGTTCTTGAAGCGCAAGATGCGGTGGTAGATGTCCAGTTCTGTCAGCTCCTTTTTATGAATGCAGATCTGGTGCTCCTTTTGGATTTGTATAATCCGTGCTTGTACCTCCTGCCACGTATAGTAGGGCAAATTGGACTGCAAGTAAGTAGACAGAGGATGTGATCAGTGGTATGATAAGGACAATGGAACAACTTTCCCTGAACTGACTGGAAGAAGGCAATAATTTTACCACTTCCATGCTAATTCCTATAAAAACCCAACATATCCATGTAGGCTTTAGGAATCAAGCTTCCAGGTTGAGAATTATGTACAGAACAAGTATTTTTAGTCTTGCGTCTAGTCAATTCTTCCATCCTCTTCCTATATCCCAATGTAAAGATAACACTTATTCACTTATTATTTGTAGAGATCTGTTCCTAAAATGCCAACCACTTCACAAGCATGTAATTCCAAAACCTCTTGTATATCTCATGGAACTCCATTCACTTTCTTTTGAACTGTCAGATTTAACTATGTCAAAAAAACCAGTGCAGATTCCCAGTCACAAGTATATAAAATGAAGGCATCTAATTTTAAACTTGAAAGGATGACACCATGCACAGCAGCAAAGAAAAAAACCATACAGACAGCTTTTCCGCATTAATTCATTTGCTTGCTTGTTCCTATAATTCTGACATTACACAATTAAGCTGAACATTCCGAAGACCTCGGGAAAGAGAAGCAAATTCTTAATAAAGAAACTCAGCTTCTAACAGAGCTGGCCAAGGATCTAGAAATAGATACCGGCAAACCCAGAAAAGCAGCTGCAGAGAATAAAAGCCCTGCCACTCAACTAAGCAAATCAGAAGAGCAACATGGATCAATGGGCAGAACTAAGCTTCTTTCATGGGATTGTCACCAGACTGGAAAAATCAGCAACACTGCACAACTGCAAAGAAAGGTCAGTAAGGAGTAGCACATAGCAAGTAAATTCAGATAGACTAGCAAGGCCTCTTGGGAGAGCAAGGGTTTTAAAACATGGAGAAAGTTCTTATCTCCTCTTTATTGCTTTGACAAGAATCATATATCTACTAACTGATTATAAAATATTTGCAACAATATTGGCTGATATACTAAAAAAGATTTTTACATAATGATCAATTTTACCCAAAAGACAATGAAAAGATAATATGAAAATTGTACTGGATGTAATAAAGCAGCGGTCCTGAACTTTTCCGCCTCTGTGGATCAGCAGCGGCGGGGAGGGGGATAAGCGTGCTGCTTGCACAAATGCAGCTTTGCGCACACTCATCCGCCACTTACACAGGCCAGTTTCCAACAGGCTGCAGCCTGGCACAGGGCCAGGGGTGGGGGATCCCTGTAATAGAGTATTTGCAGCAGCATAATGAGAAGCAAGTGGCATTGATTTTTCTTGAAGCAGAGCAAACTTTTGATAATTTGGTCTTTTGTGTTCAAAATTTTGGAAGATCTGGACTTTGGGGAGAATTTTATCCAAGGGATAAACTAGTTACATCTCAAAAGGCACATATTATTGTTCATGGTGATCTAACTAAATCATTTGACATACAGAAGGGTGAAATACACAAGGATGTCCTTTGTCATCTTTTTTATTTTAGTTTTAAAAGTGTTAATTGAAGATATTAGGATGAGAAAATAACAGGGTTGAAAACCAAAATTTGCAAGAACCTCATAATAGTATTGAGCACTTCATGAAATGAAGAAAGTGAAAGAATTTGTTGCATTAGATGGATATAAGTACATCCAAAAGTTTGGTTTTTAAAATAAAAAAAATGTAAGCAGACAAGACCAAAAGCTTCTGATGAAAAAGATGGCTTCTAAAATTGAGAAGAAGGTTAAATATCTGGGGGTTACATTGACTAATGTGAATTGTATGCAGTTTCAGAATAACTATGCTAAGGTATGGAATGATATTAAAAAAGACAGTAAGTAGGTAGGACAAACAACAATTGCCACTGTTGGGTAGAATTTGAATGATTAAGATGAATATTTCACCTAGAATGTTGTTTCTATTTCCGACAATACCAATATTGATGACTGATGTACCATTTAACCATGGCAAAAAGAAACAACATTTTAACTTTGGGGTTTGATTATTAGAATTGTTTGATTATAGAAATACTGTGCGTTATAGTTAATCTTATAAATAAAAGATTGTTGTATTTATACTTGAAAAAAAAAAGAATATATCTACTACCTTGCTGGTAGTAGAGTAGGATTGTTAACCCAGCATTCCCCCTCCCCGATTAGCCAGATGTCTCTGGGATGCCTAAAGAAAGACACTGAACTCTCTGGTAATCATAAGGCCTCTAAACAAAAAAGTCTCACTTAGGCACCTTTTTATTTGAATGAACTGTAAGTGAAGTGAATCTCAATAGCTTACCATGGGAATCTTGAGGGCATTCACATAAAAAGAATGTATTTCCCAGTAGCAGCAAATGTTGTAAATGAATTTAATCAGCCGGTGAATCCAAAAGACCCCTGCAATCACTAGGATGGAGAGAAGAAATCCATTGGCTTGTATCCTATGAGAGAGAGAGAGGGAAAAGAGAGAGTCTGAGTCACTGGTGAGAAAGAATAGCTACTGCCTTTATGCTTTAGAAATATAAATAAACTCTTTCTTCTCCCATTACCAGAATTCAGGCAACTCGGCAAAGTTTGGAGAATGTATAATACTAAGATACCAATTACCAAAACAACTGGGCTGGTAAGACTAATGGGAAAAATCAAGAACATCATTACATAAACAAAACAAAGCTCTATTAATCATATGACATCACCTACTCACTCCCAGTCAAACCGGTCCTTGATGATTCAAAACATAAATCAAAGCATCATAAATAAAATTATAATTTATAATTATAAAATTATAAAAAATAAAAAATAAATTGAATGTACAGCCAGATAAACAATACTGCATACATTCAATTTTAAAAATATGAAAGTGGTCTTTTTAAAACAGATCCCCCCCCCCAACTCTATGGGTGGCTAGTCCATTTACTGGGAACAGAAGATCAAAGATGGGCCAGCTAATCTTATTACAACTGTTGCAAGTAAACAATAAATGACAGGTTAAGGTCCATTACAACTGCTATTGAGGATCACAAGTTAGCCAGTGTACAAGCTGGGACATGTAATATTCCATTTCCCAAGTCAAGCAACAGAAAATATTTCTAACTAGAAGCTAAAATTCTCAGCATGCAGTACTGATGGAGTATTACCTATTATGAAGCTCAGGAACTTGTTTATCTAGGAGATCTTGTGTTAAGCCTCACAAAGATGAACTAAGGATGTGGCTGTATTTAGTCACTGCTATCTTTACCTGGCACTGCACTCATTGGGAGGCAGGAAAGCATCTGGCAGAGTCACCTTGACTGGGTCACTGGAATGTTGACTGTGATTCACCAATTTGTTGGCAAAGAGAATATCATAGTCAACACAGCTGACAAGGAATGTAGTAAAGGCCACAACAAAGATGAACTGCCTATAAGAAGAAAGAGGAAAAATTGGGTGCATTTTACTTCCTTCCCCTTCAAAGGACCTGGGCTAACAGGAAGTATCAGCTTTCCCGTTATCAATTTTCGAACCAAGTCAGGACATCAAGATAGGATTTCTTTCAACTGAAATAATTCGAATTGAGCATTGAGAAGCATCACCAACCTAGGTGAGATATTATTATATTTTTCACCTTCTGACCGACAAGAGGGCTTATAGGAACATAAAAACGAATTCTACAAATCCCGGGAGCAAAAAATTATACTCACATTAACTCAAAGATCTCACTGATAAGCATGCATGTGAAGCCATTCTTCTGGTGCAGGTTATAGACGTGAAGATTACAGTCAAGGAGAATTGCCAAGCTTTTTTGGAATCTACCCCCCATTTCATCTGTGATTTACAAATGACATTTTCTCTTGCACTTTAAACTGCCTTTGTATAATACTAAGTAGTTAACACTTGAGGTAAGGAGTCAGTAACTTTCTTCATAAAGAATTTCCTTTAGAAGTGCAGGTAGTTCTCGCTTAGGAAGTTACGACAGACACCCCCCTCCCTTTCCCAAAGTTACTTATGACCTTCTTTTCAAAGTTATGACTGCTACATACTACCACAGTAATGTGATTGCATTTTGGGCACTTGGTATCAGACTGGTTGCAGTGTCCATCAGTCACATGGCATTTGAAATTATTTTGCTAGTTTCAGGCATTTATTGCTGGTTTCTAATAAAATCTCATCCATTCAGAAGAATGGACTCACTTTATAGTCACCTATAGTTCATTTAATAATCGCAATGACTTCTTAATGACTGTTCTATAAAAAGGTTGCAAAATCAAGTCAGGTCACCTGGTGACTCACTTAACAACTCAAAGACTTACAAGCAAAATTCCAGGGTCAATTGTGGTTATTAAGTGAGGATTATCTGTAGGTACTGTTAACATCTTTGTATCTTTTGTTATTTTATCTGTGAGGAATATATCAGTTGCAAGGATCATTTCTAAATGAAATATACAATATATGTGTATTTATACATATATAATTTATATGTTAAGTGTAATTGAAACTGAAACACACTGAAGTTTTATTCACTTATTAATAGTATCCTGTTGAATACAACTAATCTATCAATTATTTCCTAATTTATATCACTATGGTTTATTATTGTAATAATTTCTTAATCCTGAAATTAAAAGGCTTCTTGTTAAGCGATTTCCAATTTGGTGTAATTTTGTCCCTGTAATCAGGTAAGGATATACGAGAGAAAAAAAGATCCAGATTTTCAATGTGATGCCAGGGAGCTACAAAACAGAGACAAAATATCAAAAATATTCATTCCAACATTCACCATAGAAAATTTTACAGGACAAGGAGAAAGTCTGCCAAAAGAGCTGCAAATACCAGTTTCACTTAAACAATCTCATCCAAAGGGAATTGAGGCATTTGTGTTTCCATTTGGGTTTTGGATTATGAGATGAAACATTCCATTTCCAGGAGAAACGGACTGTAAGAATAGCATCTGAAATATCTAAAACCAATTATGGAAACACCCCTCCACTAAATTTAATGAAAATTAGGATCATATTGTATAAGAAATGCAGTTCTTCCACCAACATGGGGCACAATCCCCAATTTTCCTTTTCAACATGCATACTACTAGAGCAAGGGTGTCAAACTCGATCGCATCACGTGACATATCAAGACGTATTGAGACATTTTTTTGCCTTTGCAAAAAAGACGGGGTGGGTGTGGCCTGCGTGTGACGCATCCCGCCTACAAGCAGCCAGTTTGACAGGCCTGCACTAGAGGTTTTGACACTGAGGTTAGCAGTCCATCTATACTTACATTTGCTGCCCTCAGGGACATGAACCATCAGATTCTCTTCTCCAGGGGGGGAGTCATTATATGAGGCCTCCAATCGCTGATACTCAGTATCAAAGTGAGCCATGTTGTCATCTAAATTCTTATAAACTCTGACATAAAAGGGCAGTGAAGGACAGAAAGATGAGGGATCAGCAATTTGATGTAATTACGAGCCATCAGTCAAATAGGCAGTTCATAACTTCTTTTAAGCTATACTTATGTACAGAATACCAAACAGAGTAAAAGAAGAGGAAACTATTAAGAAACGATAGCAACAAGCGGGTAATAAAAATGAAAGGGTAGAAAATTATGGATTACTATTTTTTCTTTTTGCCCCCTCTTTTTCCTGAAGTCTGAGAGCTTACCTCTCTGATCACTACTTGAGGAGAAAACAACAAGGAAAAACACTTCATTTCATTAAAAATCCTGTTCATTGTCCAGCCCTTCAACTTTCATTGACTCCATGTTTACGAGCTGCAGTCTGTTACAAGATACACTCCTAAAACAAAATAACATATTACATAAGCACAGATTTGACACAAATAGTTATGCTGTATCAAGCTCTCCCTAAATGCAAATGAAACTACATTTTCAGCTGAAATAAATATACCACTCCCCTTGGTTTTCATAATAATGTTTTTCTAGTTTTATTTTCAGTTTTATTACAGCATTAAAATGCACATAAGTGAAAAAAAATACATGCTAATTAAAAATAAATCTTGAGTAATGTAACAAATGTATGGCATAAAATGCTATCAAGCAACCCTTTTATTTAAAAACAAGCAAAAGATTACAGTAAGAAGTAGGAAAACACAACAGAAAATTGACTGTCTCAGAAAACTAATTCTGCCACAAATGCTAAATTCTGGACTGTGAAGTTAACTCAAATTCACTGAGTACACAAGGAGAGGATTAATCTATAGTTAGCACTGCTGGTAAACTACGTTCTATTAAAAATTGATCTGTTCAACATGCACAAATTAATATAGAATTAAAGCTTCATGCTAGATCAGATGAAAGCTTATTGAACCTGGAATTGTGGGTTCAATAGACACAATACTCAATAGTCAGATAGACCCTCTAGGGAGACCGCAAGCAGGACATGTCCCTAACCCTAACCCTAACCACTTTCTATCATTGTCCTAAGAAACCAGGATTCAGACCACAAGGTTTCTGATATTAGAAAGCCAAGATTATTTGTGACCATTGGAAGACTTCTTCATGAAATTTTAATGCTGTCCGCTTTGGACAGTCACTACATTCCAGGGCAAAGAATCTTAACAGCTTCATAGTTTGCCATACCATGCATAATTTTATACACTAAATTAATTTCTTGCATATCCATCCTTTCTGTGGGACAGTCAATGTTACTGTTGTTTTCTTGCAGTGTCCTTTGAGAACCCATATACTGGATTTCAAGTATCAGCACAACACTGTTTATGTCAATTCATTATTTTACAGTACTGTATTAGCAATTTTTAATCAAGCATGGGATTTTTCTTTTTCACAACTGCCACAAATTGAGTCAAATTCCTTTACAGAGCTACACACCAGAAATCCCACGAAGAATCCATTGGTATATATATATTGCTTCCTTTGATTATTTTTTTTTGCTCCACTGTATATCGTTTTAGTATTACCTATACTAAATTATATTTGCCATTTTAATTCCTACACATTCTTTAAAAGAGATTCTTTTAAAGTGCTTCACACTCCGTTTTTCTTTCAATCACTCTTAACTGTCTAGGTTTTCATAGATAGAGATCACTATGGATTTTGTGATAGATTGTGAGAAAAATGTTTTTTTTTTCCCTAAAAAAAAAATCACACATTTAGCAATCCTAGCACTTCTAGTGAAGGGAATTTTTACATACTGTGACTCAGTTGCTAGCATGCAGCTTTGTTGTTGCTGTAAACATAATTAAACCTGGTTTGTGTAGGTTAAAACTGAATGGTACAGTTTTTGAATTTTTTAATGGTTTTAATGCAGGGGTTCCCTGACATATGGAGATTATTTTTGTTCCTCCTGAATAAAAAGGGTGAGAAAGGTTGGTCTATATAACATGAAATGTATTATTTGATTTAATCCTATTACCATAAAATAATATATTCTTTTACTCCATCATTGTTAAGTTTATTTGGAAGTTTTTGTTAATCCTGTTAATTAATCCTGTTAATTAATCCTGTTAATAGTACCGGCAATTATGCAATGTCTTTCAAATCAACTCATATGCATGTATATATAATGTTAACTAAAGAGCATGTTATTTAACCTGATATGTTTTCTAAATAGAATATAATTCTGAGCTCTCATAATTTCCAAGTATCCTTAACCTTTTAAAATTTATTTCAGTTTACTGATTGTTCTTATTTATTTTTTATTTATTTCACTTTTTAAAAAGATTAGTCTACTAAAATCAAACTTCCTTGGCTATTATATGTCTGTGTGTGTGTCACTGAATCTAACAGGATTATTGTTACTATTTCCAGTCAGTTCAACAATATTTTGTCTCATATTCATTTAGAAAACTTGTAACCACAACAACAGAACACAAGCCTGCTTCAGTCTTGTAATATTATCACTCACAGATTTTTAAACAGAATTACTGTAGTTCCAAATGTATTTTAATTACAAAAAGCAATTTGTGCATACCTGGAACTGATCAATGCGCCTGTTATATATGTATGCATTCATACATGTCTTATTGGATAAGACCACAATCTATCTAGTCAAGAATTCTTTACAATAATTGTACCAAAGGGCCCTGTTGGGTGACCAACTGAAAATCAACTAGTGGTCCCTTACCAATATTCTGATGCTGCTGGGTTAAAAGGTCCCAGGAATACGATAGCATGACAGACGATGCTCTTGCCTTCTGAGCACATGCTTGCATTGTTGTCAGTTCTGCAAATAAAAACAATCACACCGAACTTTAGATGTTTCTCTTGGTGTGCTTAGGATAAAATCTATCTGTCCTTGTCCTGCAGAAAGGCAACCCAACCCACCAACAAGAAACAGCAGCTAACCTGCTGCCCACTATTATTCTGACAAACTGCTTTCGTCTGTAGCGTGACAAAATTAAGGAATTAAGACAGTGGTGAAGTCCAATTTTTTTTACTACCGGTTCTGTGGGCGTGGTGTGGCTTGGTGGGCGTGGCTTGGTGGGCGTGGCAGGGGAAGGATACTGCAAAATCCCCATTCCCACCCCACTCTGGCAGCCAGAGGTGGCATTTGCCGGTTCTCCGAACTGCTCAAAATTTCCGCTACCGGTTCTCCAGAACCTGTCAGAACCTGCTGGATTTCATCCCTGAATTAAGGAGAAACTTCCTAACAGTGAGGACAATTAACCAGCGGAACCAGCTTGCCTTCAGAAGTTATGGATGCTTCATCACTGGAGGTTTTTTTTTTAAGAAGAGACCGGACAGTCACTTGTCTGAAATGGCATAGGATCTCCTGCTTGAGCAGGGGGCTGGACTAAGAAGACCTCCAAAAGGCCCCTTCCAGCTCATTCATTCTGTTCTAAAACAAACCCTCCCCAATGCATAAGACCAAAAACGGGACAAAAACTAACCTGTGCCATCTTGCCCTAATGCTGATGAAACATTCTCTTTGCTTTGTGGCTGGCAAGACAGAGCAGCGTGGTGGTGGTGGTGGTGGTGGTGGTGGTGGGGTGTCTCTCAGCCTTGAATCTCCACAGCGTTTTTCTCACCTGGTAGGCTGACACCTGGGAGGGAAAACACACACACATACAACCCAAAACACATTTACAGTGGCGGTTTCCAACAGGGGAAAGTGGTGATGGGGGTTGGGGAGAGAACCCCTTATGTAAGCATCAGGAGAGCGAGAACCAAGAGCCGCCTCCTTTTCAGCAATTGCACCAGACCCGCAGAGCGCAGAAGCCGGCAGAGACCCGTCCACCCGCGGGGGCTCTAGCCAGGTGAGCCAAGGTGTGTAACCCACCCGGCGGACGACCTGGCCATTGGGACTTGCTACGTGGGGATGGGGTCGGGGTCGGAAGTCTCCGTTGCCGAGGGCCACCCCCCCCAACCCCCTCTTTTCCCCTTTATAGATCGGGCACGGCTGAGCTCCGGACTATATTCAGGCAGTCCCGAGATGTTGTTTTGTTTTGGCTGCGGGAGCTCCGGTAGGGAGGAGCCTCCCTTCCTCCGAGGTTGTTTACACGGGAGAAGGGAAGCCCGGTTTGGAGGAAGACGCGGGGCGCTCTCCTCCTCTTCCTCCTCCCCGCCGGCTTTTCCCCGGAGCTAAGGGAGGCTCACCCTCTGCGGTCGCCCCTGGTAACCTGCCAGGGGCGCCGCCGCCGCCGCCGCCGCCGCCGCCGCCACCGCGACTTGGGGGAATTGTCACTCACTCTTTTCTCCTCCGCCGCCTTTCCCTCCGTCTGGCGTCTTCCGCTACCAATCAGAGGTCACGACGGGCCGAAGAGGTAGAATCAGGGCGGACCAATGAGAAAGCCGTTGGGCAGAAGGAAGTGAGAAGGCGAGGATTGTCTTGTAAGGGAAACCCACGATGACGGGCGGAAGTGACGTCTCTCACCCGGTGACAGAGTCGACGAGCTCGTGGAGCGGGGGACCTTCCTTGCTCCGGTGGGCTGTGCGGAGGTATCGGGGGTGGCTTAGGGTGTCGCCTCTCCCCCCCACACACAACCGAACAGTTGTGGCGCAGGGTAGCTGAGCAAGAAGGGGGTTGTGAGGGTGACAACAGCCAGTTTGGTGGTCTAGAGGTTAAGAAAAGTGATTACAGAGGTGTTTTGAATGTTGCCCCTACACTTATTGTGTCTTGATTATAGGGAATACTAAATGGTTGATACAACACGCATAGACAAAGGGTCACAATTTCGACCTGTCTACTAACAAGTGTAAGCTCTTTCAAGGACATTCCCAGCAGTCTTTCCGATTTTGTCTGTTTTACCTGACCTACTTGTTTCCTCCCACCCCCCCACCCCATTTTCTACTTATCTCAACTTTGCCAAACAGTTTTATATAGTCCAACATCTACCCCGCATCACGTTATGAAATTGTGTATATTTCTACTTGCAGATTATTGACACAAGGGAACAGTCGGGTTTTTTTTTTATCCAGGATTGACTGGCTCTTCTTGCAGTCCACAGTTCACAATTTCCAGCTCCCTAAATCAAAGGTATATTGTCTTTCTTTCACTCTTTTTCATTATCTACCTTTCATAGTTATACATTATCACTGAAAGATTATATCATTTAGCGATTCTTTTTGTTATAGAAATGCTTTTTCATCATGTATGTTTGTCTTCCTCTCTAGGGTTAATCTTCTTTTACATCTCAGACACAGTTAGTCTTGAGCCAAGGAAAATACCTCACCATCAGCTGTAAGTTCACTGAGCATGCTGCTCAACATTGTTTAATATTAACCCAAATGTTTTACTTTCCATTTTTTATTTTCACAACCAAATTTGTGTTATCTGCATTTCTCAAGGGTATTTTGGCAGTCTTGTTAGTCTAATTGTATTGCATACCGTATGCTGCTATGACTTACACCAGGGGTGTCAAACTCAACGCGTGGGGATTGGATCTGGTCAGCGGGGTGCTTAGATCTGGCTCACAGGGCCACCCTGGAAATAGCAAAGGACTGGCCTGCAGTGCCTCTGCCAGTAAAAACGGAGCTTGGGAGGACCGAGCTCTGTTTTCACTGGCAGAGGGTAGCAGGAGGTTTTCACAGCCAAAAATGGAGCTCATGAGGGCCGTCTGTGGCTCTCCTGAGCTCCGCTTTCGCTGGCAGAGGGTTGCAGGAGGCCGTTGCAGCCAAAAACGGAGCTCACAAGGGCTGCCTACAGCTCTCCTAAGCTCCATTTTCGCTGGCAGAGGGTTGCAGGAGGCCATCACAGCCGAAAACGGAGCTCGGGAACCTGTTTTTGCTGGCAGAGTGCTCAGGCCACCACAGGCACTTCCAACATAACTGACATTGAGTTGGCCACGCCCCCTGGCGCCCCCACCCCTCCAAGGTCAAACACAAACCTGATGCAGCCCTCAATGAAATCGAGTTTGACACCTTACACAATCAGTGGCCTAGATGTACTCATAAAAGCAATAACTTCCTCAAATTTTCTTGCTCTCTTCATTATCCATCTTGTTACAGTCATCTGATTCCATGTCCTTGCCTTTTTTGAAACTCGTTTGACATTTCCCTACCTTCAATTCTTCTTTTAAATTTTAAGCAAACATATATACATTCTATATATATAATGTTTATTTTCTCTCGATAAATATGTATCATTCTAGAATCCTGTATATAAAAAGTTTTGGTATTGTATATTTACTTTTAAGTCCACTTGTTTATTACAGCTCTCCAATGAATACTCCTATGTAGGAAATAATGTAGGAATACCTATGAATACTCATAGGTATTCCTACATTATTTTTAATTTTTTATTGGTTACCTCTAAATATTTTTCACTTATCCTTTTCCTTTCAGTTTTTTCAATTTGTTGGTATTCTTAATTGAGATGATTGCTTGTTCTTTCTTGCAACATATATGCATATTGACTTACAACCATTTAGTCACCATTTGAACTTACAGCAGCATCTCAGAGTAATGGTACTGAGAGTAATGGTAGGTCATCCTACCATATCAAGGTAGTGTGGAATAGCATCTTAATCTACTTAGGTAGATTAAGATGTTAGATCTCCAACATCTTAGGTAGATGTTGGAGATCCAGCCATTCCGAGTCTGACAGAGCACAGTTGAGGTCTTTCACTCAATCTTATCTGGTGGCGATGAAGGCGGCGAAACATGTTTACTTTTCCGCCCTCATCGCGTCCGCAGATAATCGCCCGGCTGCCCTATTTAGGGTGTCCCGCTCCCTTTTGAATCGGAGCGGGAGATGAACCTATGCGGGGGCGGGTCAAGAAGTATAGTCATCATCTGCGTGACAAGATCGCTCAGATTCGGGATGGGCTGGACTCCAGCTGGGCAGGGTCGGTTGGGGAGATGACGGCGGGACTGGTGATTTGGGACAAGTTTGATCCTGTTACTCCCAAGGAAGTGGACGGGATCATGGGGAAGCTGAGTACCTCCACGTCTTTGTTGGACCCGTATCCCTCCTGGCTCGTTTATTCGGCCCAGGAGGTTACACGTGGCTGGATCCAGGCAGTTATTACGGTTTCCTTGGGTGAGGGGAGTTTCACGGCCGCCTTGAAGGAGGCGGTGGTGAGACCCCTCCTCAAGAAACCGGCCTTGGGTCCAACTATTTTGAATAACTTTCGTCCTGTCTCCAACCTTTGCTTTATTGTGAAGGTTGTTGAGAGTGTGGTGGCACATCAGCTCCCGCTGGCCCTGATGAAACATTATATCTGGACCCGTACCAGTCGGGTTTCAGGCCCGGGTACAGCACGGAGACGGCATTGGTCGCACTGGTGGATGATCTCTGGAGGGTTTGGGACAAGGGATATTCCTCTGTCCTGGTCCTATTAGATCTCTCGGTGGCTTTTGATACCATCGACCATGGTATCCTGCTGCAGCGCCTTGAGGGGTTGGAAGTGGGAGGTACTGTTTTACGGTGGTTCTCCTCCTACCTCTCCGGGCGCTCGCAAGCGGTGTTGGCAGGGGGACAGAGGTCTGCCTCGAGGCCCCTTACGTGTGGGGTCCCTCAGGGGTCGGTCCTCTCTCCCCTTCTGTTCAATATTTATATGAAGCCGCTGGGGGAGATCATCCGTGGTTTTGGGGTGGGGCATCATCAGTATGCTGATGATACCCAACTTTTTATAGCCACCCCGAATCAGCCCAGTGATGCCCTCAACGTGATGTCCCGGTGCCTTAAAGTGGTGTAGCTCTGGATGGGGAGGAACAGGCTTCAGCTCAACCCCGCCAAGACAGAGTGGCTGTGGATACCGGCATCCCGGTTCCAAGGGAATATTCCATCGTTGGCTATAGGGGGTGAGGTGTTGCCCCCTGTTGATAGGACGCGCAACTTAGGCGTCCTCCTGGATTCACGGTTGACTTTTGAAGATCATGTTATGACCGTGACCAGGGGGGCATTTGCCCAGATTCATCTGGTGCGCCAGTTGCGCCCCTACCTGGACCGTGATGTCCTACTCACAGTCACCCATGCCCTCGTCACGTCCCAGATCGACTACTGCAATGCTCTCTACATGGGGCTGCCCCTGAAGACCACTCAGAGGCTTCAGTGGTGCAGAATGCAGCCGCGCGGGTAGTAATGGGAGTGTCCCGACACTCTCATGTTACACCTCTCCTGCAGGACCTGCATTGGCTACCGGTTGCCCTCCGGGTGAGATTCAAGGTGCTGGTAATTACCTATAAAGCCCTACATGGCTTAGGCCTGGGGTATTTGGCGGACCATCTGCGGCCAGCGACAGCTCCCCATCACCCGGTGCATTCTCACAGGGAGGGCCTCCTTGGGGTGCCATCGGCCAGACAATGTCGGCTGGCAACCCGTAGGGAGCGGGCCTTCTCTGTGGGCGCACCTACCCTGTGGAATCAGCTCCCCCTGGAGTTCCGGGTGGCCCCTAACCTTCGCTCTTTCCGCCATGACCTTAAAACATGGTTATTTCACCTGGCTGGTTTGGATTGAAGGGGTTTTAAAGGGGATTTTAATAGTCTTTTTATAATCTTATTTGGTATTTTTAACATTGATTTTGCTTGTTTATTGTTGTGAGCCTCCCTGAGTCCTTCGGAGATAGGGCTGCATACAAGTTTAAATAATAAATAAATAAATAAATAAATAAATAGGTAAGAATGAAATTAGTAGCTCTAGGCACGCTTCTTCCTGTCCTTTTCTACTCCCATTGGAGATGGAGAGAGGTAATTTGTATCACTTTCAGAAGCCCCTGTTGAATTTAAATAACAATTGTCTTTACTGTATATCTGTTCTTGAAATTTGCTGATTTTTCATCTTTTCAGATCATGCAACCTATTGAAACCTTATCTGTCTTTGAGGCTGTTCAGAATACAGCTTTAATGAATGGACTTTGTCTTGTCACTGAATCAACAGAAGATATCACTTCTGTGGCAGTTCCAGGTGCTGAATTTATTGGCAGTAAATGTTATAAATGTGGGTGGGGATATTTGGCAAATGGCCACTTTGTTTACCTGATTTTGGTTGGGACAACCATGACCTGGATGACTGAGAATCTCCATAGACATTTACCAGATTTAAAGTCTTCAGTTTCAAGTTGAAATTGGTTGTGTTTTCCATTTTAGTTTGCTTATCTAAAGAGGTTCTCTAGAATCCAGAAAATTAATGCTAGAGTTAGCTAGCCAAATTTTATTAGGCCACAGGTGTGTACCACAAATAAATAATTGACTGTTGTTCATAGCTTGACCTTACAGAAACCTTGGACTGTGGAACATTGTGATATACTTGACATTCTTTGAAGTGTTGACCGATTTTTTTCCCTGTTGCCATTGCCTTGTACTCTTAGAACTACCATGTTTGGATTCAACAGTCTGGATGACCACTAAATGGCAGCAAAGAATTTGGTTAATAAAACAAAGTCTTTGAACTGGTCAGCTTTACCAAATCCATATCTTATATAGTGGGTTGCAATATAGTTTGACATACAGGTAGAATGGAATATGATCCAGGTAGCTAAAAATTTCCTGTGTTGTCCTGAAATTATAGCAGAAAGAATAATTCTGTAGGGTGTTCCAGGGAAAAGCTTGTTATAATGGATCCTTCTTGGTTAATTCTCAGATATCTGTATTTTATTAAGCATCTTTCTCAAAGCCAATGAAATCACTAGAGTTGACCAAGTGAATGACCTCATTGTTTTCCCACAATGTGACTGTACCTCAGCCAACCTTGAGTTTCTACATTTTCTTCCTGTCCTATTTTGGTCTACCAGTTAAAAACATTAGGAACATCTATTTTTAAGATAAAGTTACCGTGTTAACAAAGAATGGTTTCCTTAGTTGTTACAGGGAGCTAAGGTTAATTGTAAACATTAGCTAAAAATAAGCAAATGCTTCTGATCATTTCAGATTATTAAAATAGGAGAAGTGACATGGAGAAAATACAGTCAGGTCCAGAAATATTGGGACATCGACACAATTCTAACATCTTTAGCTCTATACACCACCACAATGGAGTTGGAATGAAACAAACACAATGTGCTTTAATTGCAGACCATCAGCTTTAATTTGAGGGTATGTACATCCAACTCAGGTGAACGGTGTAGGATTTACAGCAGTTTGCATATGTGCCTCCCACTTATTAAGGGACCAAAGGTAATGGGACAGAATAATAATCATAAATAAAACTTTCTCTTCTTAATACTTGGTTGCAAATCCTTTGCAGTCAATCACAGCCTGAAGTCTGGAACACATAGACATCACCAGACGCTGGGTTTCATCCCTGGTGATGCTCTGCCAGGCCTCTACTGCAACAGTCTTCGGTTCCTGCTTGTTTTTGGGGCATTTTCCCTTCAGTTTTGTCTTCAGCAAATGAAATGCATGCTCAATGGGATTCAGGTCAGGTGATTGACTTGGCCATTGCATAACATTCCACTTCTGTCCCTTCAAAAACTCTTTGGTTGCTTTTGCAGTATGCTTTGGGTCATTGTCCATCTGCACTGTGAAGTGCCGTCCAATGAGTTCTGCAGCATTTGGCTGAATGTGAGCAGATAATATTGCCCGAAACACTTCAGAATTCATCCTGCTGATTTTGTCAGCAGTCACATCATCAATAAATACAAGAGAACCAGTTCCATTGGCAGCCATACATGCCCATGCCATGACGCTACCACCACCATGCTTCACTGATGAGGTGGTATGCTTAGGATCATGAGCAGTTCTTTTCCTTCTCCATACTCTTCTCTTCCCATCACACTGGTACAAGTTGATCTTGGTCTCATCTGTCCATAGGATCTTGTTCCAGAACTGTGAAGGCTTTGTTAGATGTTGTTTGGCAAACTCTAATCTGGCCTTCCTGTTTTTGAGGCTCACCAATGGTTTACATCTTGTGGTGAACCCTCTGTATTCACTCTGGTGAAGTCTTCTCTTGATTGTTGACTTTGACACACATACACCTACCTCCTGGAGAGTGTTCTTGATCTGGCCAACTGTTGTGAAGGGTGTTCTCTTCACCAGGGAAAGAATTCTTTGGTCATCCACCACAGTTGTTTTCCGTGGTCTCCCAGGTCTTTTGGTGTTGCTGAGCTCACCGGTGCGTTCCTTCTTTTTGAGAATGTCCCAAACAGTTGTTTTGGCCACGCCTAATGTTCTTGCTATCTCTCTGATGGGTTTGTTTTGTTTCTTCAGCCTAATGATGACTTGCTTCACTGATAGTGACAGCTCTTTGGATCTCATCTTGAGAGTTGACAGCACCAGATTCCAAATGCAAATAGCACACTTGAAATGAACTCTGGGCCTTTTATCTGCACATTGTAATTGGGGTAATGAGGGAATATCACACACCTGGCCATGGAACAGCTGAAAAACCAATTGTCCCATTACCTTTGGTCCCTTAATAAGTGGGAGGCACATATGCAAACTGCTGTAAGTCCTACACCATTCACCTGAGTTGGATGTACATACCATCAAATTAAAGTTGACAGTCTGCAGTTAAAGCACATTGTGTTTGTTTCATTCCAACTCCATTGTGGTGGTGTATAGAGCCAAATATGTTAGAATTGTGTCGATGTCCCAATATTGCTGGACCTGACTGTAGAAATAAACCTGAAATCTTCATGATTAGTATGCAAACTTAGTACATTTATTTCTTTAGCAACTATTTAAAATTAATTTATTACTCTTCTGCTTTTATGTTTTATACATGGGAATATTGCAATCCAGATTTTGAGAGAATGGATTCGGGCTTACAACTGTATGGTTTACTTAACTGTCCTAAAAACAGTTATCAAATTGGATATTGTCACTTGGGTGTCTTGAATTATGGCCATTATGATTTATGACTGAAATCCAGTCCCAATACTGGTCATAAATCAAGGAGTAACTGTATATGAATTCATTTTATTAAGCCAAATGACAGGATTGGGTTTTATTAAAAAAATCTGTTTTCATTTTAGTTTTAACGCTGGTATAAATCAATTTCTGTCACAGATAATGTGTGACTGATGAAATGCTGTGCTTTTTTTCAGTGAATTTTCATCACATAGTTTTGTGTTATTAGTGCCCATTTTTTGCTGTTCTTGCAGAAACCAAGGAACTCCAGCAAGCTAAATTAATCCTAGAAGTATCAGACCGGATGTATTGTTCTGTTTGCTCAAAGGCTTTTGAGAATCGAGATGAACAGGTAGCCATTACTGCAAGTATTTTCTGTATGAACAGGGCAGTCTCTTTTGCTTCAAGTGAAATCTGAGGATTTTAAATTATTCAAACCATTGCAAAGATAGCCATGTATTGATGGGAATTGTTTCTACGTGTAAAGTCATAAAGGCATTTCAGGTTCATTAAGAGTTTTTGCCTATTCATGACAAGAAATTTAGATCAATCTTTTGAACTACTTACTATTTCTATTCAGAAAGAGCATTATCGGCTAGATTGGCATCGCTTCAACCTAAAACAGCGATTGTTGGGACGTCAGATGCTCACAGCTGAAGAATTTGAAGCGAAGACTCAAGCAGGTGAAGAAAAATATACAGATAAGAGCCATTATTGCTTGAGGATTCTGTTAATTCTTCTGATTTCAATCAACTAACTTCTGGCCTAGCAGAAAGATTCTAATAATCCAGCTATGAAATTGTTAACAGATTAATGAAAGTGAATCCTTGGAATCACCAATTATGTGTTTATTATTTTTTTATCCTACCTCTATTAGTTTATAAATAACTCAAGGCAGCAAACATATATAATACTCCTTCCTTCTCCTGTTTTCCCCACAACAATCCTGTGAGGTGGGTTGGATCGAGTGACTGGCACAAAGTCACCCAGCCGGCTTTCATGCCTAAGGTGGGACTAGAACTCTCCTGGTTTCTAGCTGGGTGACTTCACCACCAGACCACACTGTATATTTAAATACTATACCAATTATCATGATGGGAAACTATATTTCAATAGATGCTACCTAAATCTTTCATATTCAATTAGATTATCTAATGTTCTATTATCATTGTAGTGTTTGAATCCTTTTTATTTTAGTGAAACTTCTATCTAGATAATAGGGATGTTTAATGCTTTAGCTCAAAAAGTCATTTTTACCCAACTGAAATCTTAAGGAGGAAAACTTCTAGCATTAATAGTATGGACTAATTCTTTAGCAGAAACTCTTTGGATTTTGGAGAGAGCAAAAAAAACCCACATACCTTCCAATGATGATATTTCTACCTTGTTATCTTTTTTTTCCCCTGTTACCTTGTATGCAGATGATGTCTCCAGTATCTCTGGTTCTGATTCCAGTGACTGTGAGTCAACTAGTGAATCTGAATCACAATCTTGTCTGAACGGTGAAAGAAAAGGAACCAGCTACTTCAATCCACGCTCTCAACGTGTATTGTTCAAAAACTCTGAAGCCCAACTCATTTCGGTCTTTCGCTGTGTACTGCTAAACACTACAAAGGCATGTCAGAAAACACTATGGCTAAGAGCCGACTTGGTCTTATTCTAGCTTTTTCCTTTTTTAATCACTAGTTGCCCATTAGCAAATGAAGCACTTAAGTTTTCAGCTGTAAAACACAAAAGGACGCACGTTGGACATCCGATCCAGGTTTTAAATCGTCCAGCGTATGCTGCAGTATTATTAACTGCTTTTGTTTTTTCCACCTAGTTTTCTGCTTTCATGGGCTGCAGCCTCCCTTCCAAGCATTTTGAGTCTCTGACCAATATTGTTATCTCATCTATCTGAGGTTGCTCTTCAATTCTTGTGGTCAATACATTAGAATGCAGCTAGTCCTAATTTAGCAGCCACGGTAAAGACTGGCAGCTTGATCATTAAGCAAAGTGATCGCTCAGTGAAAGCATAACTTCAGCTTTTCTTTGTTTTACAGACCTATAAAAGTCATAAATGTAATAAAAAAGTTACTGTTTCATCACTGATGTGTGAACAGTTGGTAAATGAGGCAGTTGCTAAACAATGATTACCAATATCTCTGTCAATTGCCCTAGTTTTTTTATTGTGATTTTTCTCTGCCAGCTTATTTCTAACAGGGATGTTTATGAACTAAAAACATGTTTTTTAAAAAACTTGGAACCAAATAGCCCTTTCAAAATCATTCTAAGTTGGCTATGTGTTAACAAAGCAAGTCCCATATTGTCCCACTTTGCAATTTTCCCTCACTGAAATTATTTTTCCTGCCTCATGGTTACAGTTTCCTAGGAAAGAATAGTCTTTTTCTGTGGGATGAATGGTTGCGGTTTTCCAACTTCCCATGTTCTTCTGTGGAAAAGAACACCTTTTTGGAATCACTGTTTTTTACTTTTGTATTTATGTTGCTTGGAAATGCAGAACTTCCTTATCGTACATAAAAACCTTAACATTATAAAGGCTATTATAAAGGAAAGTCTTTGTCTGAGGGAGGCCACTGTACCTCAGATAGCTGGATGTGAGTCCCTCCTTGTGAAATGGGGTCGTGGGGTGCAGATGGGCTTGCTGATTGCGTACCTGGCTCCCTGCCACGTAGTGGCGGCCCTGCCCGAGCTGCTCAACGTAATAGCCGGGGTGGCAGTGGATACCCCCAGACTTATGGTCATGGGGGATTTCAACCTGCCATCTGTTGGTGAAACGTTGGAGGCAGCCCGGGAGTTCATGGCTTCCATGACGGCCATGGACCTGACCCAGTTAATTCAAGGCCCTACTCACATGGGGGGACACACTCTGGACTTGATTTTTGTCTCTGGTCAGTGGTTGAATGGTCTAGAAACAGGGGACATAGTCATCGAGCCCTTGTCATGGTCAGATCATTCTCTCCTTCGACTAGACTTTTGAGCCGCTACCCCCCACCGCAGGGAGACGGAACCGACTAGGTGGTTCCGTCCCAGGTGCCTGATAGATCCGGATAGGTTCCTGATGGAGCTTGGGCCATTCCCTGAGGCTCTGGCTCACGACTCGACTGAAGAACTGGTGGCCGCCTGGGATAGGGTGGCCACTGGAGCTTTGGACCTTTGCGGCCTCTGACCTGGTGCCGATCCCAATTGGCTCCCTGGTTTTCTGAGGAGCTGAGGGAAATGAAGCACCGGAAAAGACGCCTGGAGAGCGATTGGAGGGCCAGCCGCTCTGAAACTGACCGAACACTGGTGAGGTCTCATATTAAGATCTACCTAGTGGTGATAAGAGTGGCAAAATCTAATTATTTTTCTGCTCTTATTGCATCTGCAGAGAACCGCCCAGCCGCCCTGTTTAGGGTGACCCACTCCCTTCTTCATTTGGGAGCGAGGGAAGACCCCTTGCAGGGAAGGGCTGAGGATTTTGTGCAATACCTGCATGACAAAATCGCTCAGATTCGGGAAGGCTTGGACTCCGATTGGGTAGGTTCAGATGGGGTGATGGAGGTGGGTCTTGAGAGTGCTATCTGGGAGGAGTTTGACCTTGTGACTTCCGAGGACGTGGACAGGATGCTGGGTAGGCTTAGCGCTGCCACATGTTTATTGGACCCGTGTCCCTCCTGGTTGGTGCTGGCCTCCCGGGCGGTCACACAAGGCTGGCTCCAGGTGATTATTAACGTTTCTTTGAGTGAGGGTTTCTTCTCTCCCGCCTTGAAAGGGGCGGTGGTGAGGCCCCTCCTCAAGAAGCCTTCCCTGGACCCGGCTGTATTAGCGAACTATCGTCCAGTCTCCAACCTCTGCTTTGTGACGAAGGTTGTTGAGAGTGTGGTGGCGCGACAACTTCCCCAGTACCTGGATGAAGCTGTTTATCTAGTGCCGTACCAGTCGGGCTTCAGGCCGGGGTACAGCACGGAAACGGCATTGGTCGCATTGGTTGATGATCTCTGGAGGGCTCGGGACAGGGGTTGCTCCTCTGTCCTGGTCCTATTAGACCTCTCAGCGGCTTTTGATACCATCGACCATGGTATCATGCTGCGTCGGTTGGAGGGGTTAGGAGTGGGGGGCACAGTGTTGCAGTGGTTCTCCTTCCTCTCTGACCGTACGCAATCTGTGTTGGCAGGGGGACAGAGATCAACCTCGAGGCGCCTTGTTTGTGGGGTGCCGCAAGGGTTGGTCCTCTTGCCCCTCCTGTTCAACATTTATGTGAAGCCGCTGAGTGAGTGGTTTTGGGGTGAAGTTCCATCAGTACGCTGATGACATTCAGCTGTACATCTCCACCCCAGACCACCCCAATGATGCCCTTGACGTGATGTCCCGGTGCCTGGAGGCTGTGCGGATCTGGATGGGGAGAAACAAGCTCAGACTCAATCCCTCCAAGACCGAGTGGCTGTGGTTTTTGGAGTCCGGTATAGCCAGCTGGCTCCAACGCTGACTATTGGGGGTGAGACCTTGGCCCCCTCAGAGAGGGCTCGCAACTTGGGTGTTCTTCTGGATGCACGGCTGTCTTTAGAAGATCATATGATGGCTGTGGACAGGGGGGCTTTTTATCAGGTTCACCTGATTCACCAGTTGCGTCCCTTTCTGGACCGGGACGCCTTGCGCACAGTCACTCATGCCCTCGTTCACCTCCCGTCTGGACTACTATAATGCTCTCTACATGGAGCTCCCCTTGAAGAGCACTCGGAGGCTCCAACTGGTCCAGAATGCGGCCACGCAGGTGATTATGGGAGTGACACTGTGCACCCATGTAACACTTCTCCGCGAGCTGCACTGGCTCCCGGTGGTCTTCCGGGTACGGTTCAAGGTGTTGGTTACCACCTTTAAAGCGCTCCATGGCTTAGGACCTGGGTACGTACGAGATCGCCTTCTGCCACCAATAGCCCCCCACCAGCCAATACACTCCCACAGAGAGGGACTCCTCAGGGTGCCGTCGGTCAAATAATATTGACTGGTGACACCCAGGGGGAGAGCCTTCTCTGTGGGGGCACCTGCCCTCTGGAATGAATTGCCCCCGGAGATTCACATGATCCCTGACCTACGTACCTTTCGCCGTGCCCTTAATACTCTTATTATTTCAACAGGCTGGGCTGGCTTAGAAAATGAATTTTAATTGGGTGTTTGTAGTTTTTTAATATAAGGGCCAAATTTTTAATATATTTTAAACCATTTTTAAATTTTATGGGTATGTTGTTTTAGTATACCGCCCTGAGTCCTTCGGGAGAAAGGCGGTATAAAAATTTAAATAAATAAACAAACAAACAAACAAACATTTCTCTGGAGGCCAAGAATATCCTAAAGATTCCAAACAGCCATTTTGCAGGTGTGTGTGTGTGTGTGTGTGTGTGTGTGTGTGTGTGTGTGTGTTGCTTAGTTTAACCTTTCACTAACTGAAGAGGTTCTGTATCTCCAGGGCAGTTTGGAAGAGCCTGCAGAGCTAGTGGCTTCCCTTCAGAGGCAGAACCCAAGAACCTCTTGGGTTATCCTGATGGCTGGTGGAGGTCACTTTGCTGGAGTGGTTTTTCAGGGGTAAGAAATGGAGGATCTTGCTGTTATCGGGGTGTGTATTGTCTTCTCTGCACTGTAAATCAAATCTATTAGAAGGCTGAAGGACACCATGGCCTTGCGCATACCTAACACTAAAGCATCCTTGATTTAATTTTTGCTCAGATTATTTGGCTTGTTCTACCGGTATAAATCATGTACTACAGTTTATTGAGGGGATGGATGGATGGATGGATGGATGGGTGGGTGGGTGGGTGGATGGAGACAGACAGACAGACAGATCGACTGATTGATCTGTACTGCATATGCACATTATGGACACTGGCTTAGCTTTTTCTGAAGCAAGAAAGGTGATTAAAAAGAAAGGAGATTTCTCAGGCAAGCAGCATATATGAGAATTCTCCCTGGATGGAGGAATCCTTCTTCCCCACCGCCCCAATCCTTGAATTTATCACTCTTATTTCAGTCCTCTTGGGGATTAAATCAATTAAAATGAAACCCAGTTTCACTCCCTGTGACCCAGGATTTCAGAAGTCATTTTAAAATTTTGATTAGATAATAAGAAGAGAATGCTACATGTAATTAGCTTGAATTATAGGACCATAGGTATTCTTTTTCTTTTAAATGCAACATTTTGTAGTAAAAAAACTCTAAGAGTTGTTTTGCGTATATGTATACATCCACACATATATACAGGAACACTGAGTTACAGTTCATTCCTTTTTTGCTTAGATCCAACAATTGGAATTTATGTAAGATACTATATAGTATCTATTTCCTTCAGGCAAACATTACAAGTGTTTGTATATGTTAGCAGAGAGGAATTAAAGTATTAAAAGAAGACAGAACTGTAATAGGGAAGCTGCCACTGTGCCTCTGTCAAGCTGCCTTTCCTTTCATTGCAGGCTGTCTCTGATAAAATATGGGGAAATAGCCTAAGTTTCCAGGCTATTGTTGATGTTCCATGTTGATGTCATGACAATTCACATAAGGGAGAGAATTGGTGGAAAAGGGAATGGTATATTAGGATATTTTACACATTTGTGTAACAAAGGAAGATGTCTGTCTGTCTGTCTCTGTCTCTGTCTCTCTCTCAGCTAGAACCTGAATTCATTTCATTGTGTAGTTTCTTAATGGTACTAAGTATTTACTTCTGCTGAAGGTTTATATTCTCTCTGTTCCCAGGAATGAGATATTGGCACACAAAACTTTCCATCGGTACACAGTGCGAGCTCGACGAGGTACAGGCCAAGGAATGAGGGATGCTCAGGGGACAATGCCAAAATCTGCTGGCGCCTCATTACGGCGCTACAATGAGGCTGCTCTCCTTAAAGTAAGTCCACAGCCAAGAGGGAACCTGCAAAGTGAGAGGTTTCAAGGGGTCTTGGATCCTTCGTATGGCCCTATTTCAGAGTGAGATTGCCCAGGTCTTCATGGAGAAAAAAATAATAATTTTGTGGGCCTGTCCAGCCAAGTAATGAAACATAAATATAGATGGATCATTATAGCTTAGCTACACAAATTCATCTTTTTGCAGTTTCTGCATATCAGTATGCTTTCTGCTGGAACATTTGAACTGTGTCTGCATTCCTGTCAGCCCTTTGAGATAGTCCAGGCAAGAAGCACAAACCATCAATACTAGCTCTAGCTTTATTGTAAGGTTACAGTAACAGAATCTTGCAGGTCTGAACGTACTTTTCTCCCCTCTAACGTACTAGAAAACTAAGGAGGTTCTCTTCTGAGACACCACCCGTACCCCTTTTTCTTTTTGTGGGCTGTGATACCTCTTACGCAATAGTTATCTAGGCTGCAGCTCTTTCTCCTGCTTACAAGATCATTGTCACAGACCATTATAATTCCCTCTCTGAGGGATGTTAAAAAAGATTCTGTGGGAAAAGAAAATACCTGGATCTCTTGAATCACATTTTGCATTTAAGCTGCAAACCAGTACTTATCGTAGTACCCTGCTGCTAAACTGGCTCACACCGATATTGAATATTGTGCATGAGTTGTTCCTATTATATTTTTTTACAGGAGATTCAGGAGCTGCTAACAAGCTGGACAAATTATTTAAAAGAAGCAGAGTGCATCTTCCTTCGTGCTCCACACAATAACCAAGCTCTCTTCTTTAGCAGCAAGCATGGCCCTCTTCTGCGAGGTGACCCACGTATCCGGCGTATTCCTTTCAGCACCCGAAGAGCCACCTTCCGTGAGGTGGAACGGGTCCATGGGACTTTAAGCAGTCTGCTAGTATACGGTGAGCTGTCATTTAATTTTTCTCTGTTGTTGGCTTGACTTTTAGCACTTGAAAGATAATTTTTTTGGTCTGTAATGCATTGCCAGTCAAATAATTAAACTTTCTCTGGAATGGTTTCTTTCTTTATTCCCTTCAGCACCACCCAAATACTTGTAACTATACCTTAAAAACTTTGCAAGTAGTTTTCTTAGTCTTATCCCAGCATATTGAAGTTCTGTTCTGTCCTGCTCTTGTAAGTTTTCCATTCTGTTATAGAAATTTAACTCAAAACTATGCCATTGAGGTGCTATTGGAAGTGTAATCTCAATTTGAGCATTTTAAGAGGAAAGAAACAAGTAAATTAAAATTACATTCTGATTTTTTTTTTAAGGAAATAATACAACAGTGGCAGATCTGACTAGTTCTCCTCGGAAGACCTGGAAAAAAGTAACTCGTAAGGATGAAGCATCTCTACAGCCTTCTGGCACTAGTGAGGAGGGCAGCCATTTTGAAGCTGAAGGAATACATTCCTATTCTGTCACCCTTCCTGATCAGTGTAGGTATCTTCTGCATCCTTTCTTTCTGACTTCTGGTGTACAGAATGAAAAGAGTACAAGTAGTGCTCAACTTACAACCATTCATTTAGTGACCATTCAAAATTACATTGAAAAAAAGTGACTTATGACCATTTTTCACACGACCTTTGCAGCATCCCCATGGTCATGTGATCAAAATTCAGATGCTTGGCAATTGGTTCATATTTATGACCGCTGCTGTGTCCCAAGCACATGTGATCCCCTTTGACAACCTTCTGACAAGCAGTCATGGGGAAGCCAGATTCACTTAACAACTGGGTACTAACATCAACTTCAGTCATTCGCTTAACAGCTGAGGCAAGAAAGGTCATAAAATGGGGCAAAACCCACTTAACAACAGAAAATTTGGATTCAATTGTAGTTGTAAGTCAAGGATTACCTGTATTACAGGTATTGAAGTTAACAAATATCCACAGCTGAATACTGCGCCCATTTGGCTTAATAGCTGCCACACTAGCAAGGTCGATGCTAGACTAAATGATACAATGAGGAACATAAGCGGTTGCATAAAATCTAACTCCTACTTGCTGGCTCCCGTCTAGAGCCACATTGCACCACCAGCTCTACGAAGGCAGGAAGCCTTAGTGAAGGAGTACAACAAAATTTTGAGAAACCCACTTCTTCCTGTGCATGCTGATCTTCCTCATCTATCAATTGGCAGGCTTAAATCCAGGAAGCCCTCTCTGGCACTCGCTCAACAGCTGTCTAACAACTTTTGACATTAACACACAGTGGAAAGCCAAATGGGCTGCTGAATGCCCAGATAAGGCAGTTACATAGATGACCCTACACAAAAGATGCCAGGTTTTGACCTTCCTCGCCAGCATTGGTCAACTCTGAACAGGATCTGTACCCAACATTTATTTTTATTTTTATTAATCATATTTCTATGCCACCCACTCTCCGAGGACTCTGGGTGGCTTACACCAAAGACAGTATACTAAATAGCATATTGCCCCAAACAATCTGGGTCCTCATTTACCCACCTCAGAAGGATGGAAGGCTAAGTCAACCTTGAGCCACTGAGATTTGATCTGCTGATCTGCTGAACTAGCAGTCAGCTGAAGTAGCTGCAGTACAGCACTCTAACCACTGCGCCACCTCGGCTCTATATATGGTGTCTGCTAGGATTCATTGTTCAAATGAGGTCTTGTCTCTACCCTTCATTGTACTGTGGGCTGCTTGACAAAATATCCATCACATCGTGTGTCAGGGTTCCAAGTAACACCCCCAACAAAAGAAGACTCCGAGGCTAGAAGTTCCTCAAAGTTCCACTTTATTAGAGATGTCATATTGGCACATCTGGGAAAACCCGAATCTGAAAGCTTCCAGGTTTTCCCTACCCAAAAGAAAGTCAAAGTCTCTTCCCCTGCACCCACATGTCCATCACATAGTCCAATCAATGCATCATCCCAAATGGAGATGCCTCCCAGTCACGCCACTCCAGGTGCAGGCAGAATGTCTCAGAGAAAGGAATGTTATGGCTAGATATCTCCACCACTCTATGCAATTCCCGCCTCCCAATTTCCCACAGCACTTTGGCAGCCCTGAAGATCCAAAGAAAAAGATGGCCTCCAGGGCTGACATTGTGTCCGAATGTCCATCAAGAGCTTACACTGGCCCAATGTTTGATTTTTTTCAACATAGACCACCCTGTCCTTGAATGGCTGGGTGGACTGGACATTAACATTTGAACCACTATAAATCCATGTATTTGCCATATGCTAAATAAATAAATACTGGGGATTTTGCCTAGAGTGGTTAGTAGCCTAATGAGAAGTCCCTGGAGGAAAATGTTTCAGGCAGCACAGAGTTTACTAATGTATAGGGTGTGATCATAGCAGACTTTAATAATGACTGATGGCATACAGGTGAATAATATGAAACAACAAATGTAACCAGTTCTTTCTCTTCCCCTTCTTCCCATTCTCATCTGGAAATGAGAAGACCGAGCTATGCTTTTTTTTTTTACAGGCTCTGTAGCAAGGATAGAGGAAGAAGAAGTGGGGGAAGAAAATCTGGAACTGGTGGAGGAGACACTAAATTTATTAGATTTACGTGAATTTGAGGTGACACCAAAACAGAATCGTAAAAAGAGGAGGAGGAAACCCAAGACACCGCCAAGTAAGTGACTGAAATAATGACCCTACTTTTAGTATACCTATTAGGTTTATCGCTTTGTGGAATGATCTTCCAAGGATAGCAAGCAGGACAAGACTAGATTGACTTTTTTGGCAGATCCTTCTTTTTATAGTCTTGCAAACCAAGACAAGGAGCCAATGTACTATAGGTTCTGGGCGAAGAGTCTGCTAAGAGGTTGGTGATATCTTGAAACATCATCTGAGTCACCTAGAGTAGGAGATGCTCTGTAGCCTTCAGATGTTGCTGAACTGCAATTCTTGATTTCCCAGCCAGCATGGCTAGCGATAAGGAAAGTTAGAATTTGCAGGTTAGCAAATCCCAGGTATAATCTCATCTGTTTTTAAATCCTACTGGTGCTAAAATATTAGGCAAGGATTTAAGAGGACTGGTTAAAATCAGGGAATCTTCTACTATGTGTTCTGAAACAGAGTCTAACATGGAGACTTCAGGAAGTGTTGAACCCAGTACCTCAGTATGTAGAGGACCAGAGTCAACTGAGGTCCAAGAACAGCAAGAGTCTCAAGGTGAGTTTGGGAGCATGTGTGGGCCTTTATTCTAGACTATGATCCTGTGCTGGCAGGTTGGATCTGTGGCTAGATGCTTTTGGATTGTGGGGGTGGGTGTGTTGTATGTTGTTTTGTACTGATGATTTTATTGTTAGCTGCCCAGAAGCACTTTTTATGGAATGGGCAGCTATATAAACCCCAATCATCTCATCTTTCCAAATAATAATCTCAAATGCACCTGGAACATACTTTTCGCTTCCTCCCAGATGCTCCCAGCACAACTCTGCAAGATGCCTTATTTACAGCATGTAAAATGGGAGACATCGGAGCCCTACAGCATCTTCTGGGAATGGCTGATAATACAACAGATAACAGTGAGTGCAGCGATAAAGTCACAAAACAGTTGCTCAACACACCCCTGGATGAGAGTGGCTGGACTGTTTTGCATGTGGCGGCAGCAGCAGGAAGAACTGCAGTTGTGCGGCTCTTGTTGGAGAGTGGGGCTGACCCTGCCATCAGGTAATGTCCATCAGGAGAGGGATATATTGAGGCCTGAGTTATCCCCAGTCTTAAACTGTATTTAATCTCTGCATGGGATCTGACTTGCAAACTTAGCAATAAGCAGCTGAGATAAGCAACAAGAAGTTCTTCTGTCGCATCTTCACCAGTGTCTTAGTTTCCCTTTCAGTCATTATGGGTCCAGGATTTTCATAAATATAAGGAATTAATATTTTACAAGAGCCAAGGTATTCAAAATTATTTTGGCATATTTACATGGAGGTTTCCATGAAATAGGACAACTAGAAGAGAGTTGTCCTATTTCATAGCTGGAAAAGTTTCCCCATCTCTTTGTCTCAGCAATGATTATCTTGAAGATGCTCCTTCTTGTAAGTGTTCTATGACTTTTGCTTTATAAATCATCCACTGTTTTATACGCCAGGGACAGAAAAGAACAGCCTCCATACTGTGTGTCTACCAACAAGCAAACCCGTAATGAATTCCGTAGATTCATGGGTGAACAGCCAGAGAGATATGACTACACCCGAGCTCAGGTGAGTGGAAACAAGGTCTTGACCAGGGGTCGGCAACCTGCAGCTCTGGAGCCGCATGTGGCTCTTTCATCCCTCTGCTGTGGCTCCCTGTCGCTGGTCGGCTCCACAATTGATAGGCCTTTCGGTTAGGACAGATAGAGGAAAAAGTAGGCCGTGCTAGGAGGAGACTCTATGGTGGGGGAACCGACTTCCAGTCAGCAGAGAAAAAAGGACACCGTGCTAGGAGGAGACTCTATAGTGGGGGAACCAGACTTCCGGTTGGCTCCAGAATTGAATGGGGGGCTTCTGGTTAGGCTTTCTGGTGGCTCTCTGAGTGTTTAAGGTTTCCGACCCCTGGTCTTGACCAACTTAGTCAGGGAGGAATGATGGGAGTTGACATCCATCAGCTAAAATGCCATCCATTGGATGTCCATTAATGAAGGTCATCTTTAGGTATGGAGAACTTTAAATTTTTGATTCAGTTGCCTAATCTACATCTTGTCTAAGAAGCATTCATACAGTGATGGGGAGGAAAGCTTTGCACAGGATATAGAGAAGATTAATGTCTTCTTTAAGATCATCTTTCTTTCTTTCTTTTTTTTTTTTTTGCTATTGGGATCTCCTACTGTTCTGCTTGATTCACATATGCAATATAACCACAGGTGCCTGGCCCTCTAACTGCAGAAATGGAAGCCAGACAAGCAGAACGCCGACGAACACAGAAAGCCCTACGGAAGCAGCGAGAACGAGAAGACCGTGAAGCACAATTACTTCTGGAGCAAGAACAGGAAGAGAAAAGGCGGTTTGCCCTGCTCAGTGATCGTGAGAAGGTTAGGGCTTAAAATGGCTTAAATAGCAGTTTTCATTCGTGTTTACTGAAATGTTCTGCTGCAATATGGCAATAGCACCTAGACTTACATAGCATCCCATAGTGCTTTACAGCACTCTCTGAGTGGTTTACAGAGTCAGCCTATTGCCCCCAACAGCTCATTACACCCATCTAACATTGCTACTCGAAGTTATTTTGCCTTCCAATAAGATTCAATAGGATTCAGGGTTCTGCTTATCACTTTTAAAGCTCTACATGGCCTAGTAGTAGTAAACTTGCAGAACCACCTTCTCCAAACATTTGCCCACTACACACACTCCCATAGAGAGAGCATGCCCCAGGTTCCCTCTCTTAAATTTTGCCACCTTATGGAAACTATTGTAAGCATGTCTTTTGGAAGGCTGCATCTGTGCTATGAAATAATCCCCCACCCACCCTAGGAGAGGTTTTTTTCATAGGCAAAGTTACTTTTTGATTGTTTTTGATTGTGCTTAGTTGCCATTTTATATTGATAAATTGTTTACGTTAGTATTATACGATTCTTTTAGTTTGTTTATTTTATGTTGTATGTTACTCCTAGTTATATTTTGTTAGGTAGCCTTATAAATCCAATAGATTAGAGATGTAGGAAGTTCTTTTACAGTTTGATATAATGTCCAAATTCTTTCATCAACGTTTGAGACTGTTTACGCATTGAACTTCATACAGAAAGATGGAGGCCATTCTTTTTCTATACAGTGACCTTTTCCTAAATGTTTGTTTTCATTCTAGCGTGCTCTGATGGCTGAGAGGAGATTTGCTTCTCAATTAAAAGACTCTGGTGCATCTTTGACCAATACCAGGTATTTTGGGAGGGTGGAAACTTCCTAAGAAACATTCTTTGTGTAAAAAAAACCATATGATTTTTCATCTTTTGTATCTGTAGGCGCTGCTGGTTTTGTGGGGAATCTCTACTGGGTTGCATTCCTTTCCATTATCTTGACTTCTCCTTCTGCTCCACAAATTGTCTCCAAGCCCATCGACGAGGGGAAACTGCCCCATCCTAGCTGGAAGTTTTGCTTTGGCATCAAGGGACTACAACAGAAATCTCACCCCGGGACAGTTATCATTTTAGAATGGTGAAAGATTAAGCACAGCAGGGAAGTCACAAGTAATGGTTTCCAAGTACTTCATAGGAAGCTAATATGGACTGCTGTTATTTGAGAAATGAACTTCTTTTGTAAGACTGTAGTTTTTTCAATTTTAAACTAGATTATTTAGGAACTGGTTAAAAAGAGCAACTTCTCTCGCCAGATATGTTGGGCCTGCCCCACTAGAATTAACTGCTGACTGGGAGTTCTGTAAGTTAAGAATTGTAATACATCTTTGCTGTGCTGGTTACAGAAGGCTATATTAAGGAATAACTGAACAAAGATCATAGATAACAAAAATGGAAGAATCCTTGAGTGCTGGTTTTTTTTACCTAATGCTATCTGATTATCTCTTAGTACTTTCACAAGTGGCAATAGATGTCTTAAGAATCAAGGTAGAGCCTTGATCTACTTCATATAAAGCACAAAGAACTTTACATCTGTTTCTGATGTTTAAAGGTGCCTTATCCCCAAGTATGTCTTGTGCTTATCTGATTCATCCTCCTTTCACTGAACTTTGCCAGTATCCAATTGCAACTCTATCTTTGATACTAATGCCATGCCAAGAATGTATTACAGTGCTATGCCAGGTACCTGCATATTTAATTTGGTGATGGGTATTATCCATCCTGAGCGCTTATACAGCATCAACTTCAACTAATAATCCAGTGAAAGACTTGATCTCCAAATATCTGTGGTTTACTTAATTTGTTCATTAGAGTTTAAGCTACAGTCCGATACTTTATTCGTTTGATTCTTACAAGACAGTGATTTCAACTACATTTCTTTTGCCATGGGTCTCAGCAATGTCATAATTGGATAGTATTTCCAGTTATTTCATGTCTTTTAGAGAGAAGCTAGAAGCGTTGAGAACGGGACGGTCAAGAAAAAGTACCTTTGGGCTCGATGGTGCATTCTGCAGTTCCAGCACTACAATAGTGTTGAGGACTGAGGTATTGAGGAGAAAGCCAGGCACAAAGAGGGTTTGCTGGGGTCCACGAACTGGCCAGAAACGGCCCAGGTTGAAACCGTTGATCCAGATCTGGCCCTATTTAAAAAGATAAAAGTGACTTTTATAAAGTAATATTTCATCTTTATTTGGGCACTCCAAGAGACTACTGCATTGATTTCATATTTTATTATCTACCCAAAGCCAGGAAAATCATTGATGGCAAGAGAAAATTTACTAGTACAAGGCTTAGAAGTTAATTCTGTATGTGTGTGGATTGCAATTCTATGATTTGAATATATAACAATAGGAAGACATACATTTAGATGGTAAAAAGAGATTATTCTTATTTATGTGATTATGTAATTTGAAATACTGAATGCATTTTATAGGAGTTTATAGGGGCAACTAGCAAGCATATTAATGTTCTACACCAGAGTTCTCAACCTTTCCGGCTTTGTAGACTGGTGGGGGGAGGAGGGCAGATGGTTCCACACTCACATGTGCGAATGCGCTCACCCGCTACTTGCACAAGTGGGGATGTACGTGCACGCTCACTCACCACTTCCCCAGTCCTGTTCCGAATGGCTCAAGGCCTGGTAGTGGGCTGTGGCCAGGGGATTGGGGACTCCTACACAATGCTATAACAAGTAAATCTTTGTTATTAACCCTAACCCAGGGTACTTCTATAAAGTAACTCTATTTAATTAGTTTAAATTACGTAAAACTTTTTTTGGCATTGTGATGTTTTGTCTTTCCTGTTCCCTATTTTGACCTTAATGGCCACTTAATTTTGATAATCTTAAAATTGTAAGTAAAGGCAACTTTTTGCTAATAAACTAATTTTTGAATTGCCTGTAATTATAAAGTGCTTAATGGATAAATATAGTAAAAGAGCTGCAGCTAGCAATCTGGATCCTAGAAGCTCCATTGCCTAAGCAATGAGATGAAGCAAAGAAATCACCTCGCTGCCTAATGGGAGATAAATTGTGTTCAAGAGTGCTATACCTTGCTCCACCCTGGAAACTTCACATAGGTGTCATAGTTGATACCAGGTGTTTTGAAGGCCCCAGTATAGAAAGCAGGTCCTGTGGTGCTATTGCTTCGTGGGACATACGGAGGCCATTGTTGGGCCACAGCTGAGTCAATATCAAGTGGATAGATGAGCCAGTCGCTTAGAATGGTAGAACCCAAAGTAAGATTGTGGGTCAGGCCCTGGGCAAAAAAGAGAAAAATGCACTAAGATGTGAAAAGGATACATACATTTGGCTTTTAATCTGTAGCCCTTGTGTGAGAAAAGAGTTGAGTCCTGCTGATTGTCAAAACTATCAGCTATTATCTGTAAGGTCCTAGTCATTTTCCATGCAGTAGGATTCTTTAGGGGTTTTTCCCCTTAAAACTGGAATAAAGCTATTCAAGCAACTAATAAAAGTTACCCTGTTTCCCGTAAAATAAGACATCCCCTGATAATAAGCCCAATTGGGCTTTTGAACACATGCGCTAAAATACCCCCCCCCCCGGAAAATAAGCCCTCCCCAAAAATAAGCCCTCCCAAAAAATATTTAACGGCATGCGCAGCAGGTCCCCGCCATTTCCTCTGGTTAGGGAGACAGAGGTAGAAATCAGGTAAGACGGCAAGAGGAGTCCCATCTTGCTCCACATGCCCCAAAGTAATAAGACATCCCCAAAAATAAGGCCAAGCATTTATTTCGGGTTTCAAAAAAAATATAAGATAGGGTCCTATTTCTGGGGAAACATGGTACATCAGAACTTGCAATGATTAAAAGTGAGTTCATTACACTTTTGCTTTACAACTCATTTTTCACAAGAGTGCCTAATATTCCAAGTCTCAAAAAAAAAAAAACACCCCACCCCCAATTCTTTCAAATTACTTCTGTTGCTGCTTATTTCCTAGAAACTGCTTACTGTTCCAGAAAATACTGAACTTTGAAATGTGATAATGTAGCTGTCTAGAGCCCATCCCAATCCAATGTACCTCTATGAATAAAAGTGAAAGCATTACTCTTTACCTACCTTAAAGTCACTGTTATTTGCTCCAAAGTTGATATGACCCATGCTCTCCACCAGCAAATCCAATGAATCTCCTAGCTGACCAGTTATATTGATGGCATTTACTCTATCTCTTTCCAGTGTCCCTTTATATTTCTCAAGGGAGAAAGAATAAAGGATTAACAATTGAATAGCACTTGTAAAACTGAAACAAAACCCCTGTATCATTCAGCAACCTCAAGCAATCACCATGAGAACCAGGGACATTTCCCCCCTCGCAGTTAAACGTGGGGTGAAATCCTACCGGTTCTGGTGAACCGCTAGGGATTATGGGCATCAGTTCGCCGAACTTGTAGTAATTACCCCTCCTTGGTCCCACCCACATCCGGCCGGTCACCACTCACCTCTTCCGGCCACTTGATATTCCACAGAATTCAATGTTGAATTCTGTGGCAGAGAGAATGCTAACTTTTCTTCCTTCATTCAGAATGGAGCTGCTGCAGCCTGTCCCTTTAAGGTAGTCCCCAGGAGGGAGGGGGCCAGGAGGGAACCATAAAGGGAGCAGCAGCTCCGTTCTGAATGGAGGGAGAAAAGTTAGCATTCTCTCTGCCACAGAATTCAATGTTAAATGCAGCAGAGAGAATGCTAACTTTTCTCCCTCCATTCAGAACAGAGCTGCTGCAGCCTGTCTCTTTAAAGTAGTCCCCAGGAGGGAGGGGGACAGGGTGGGGGAGCAGCTGGAATGGAGCCGTTTTTGTGAAAGGCAGGAAAATGGGGAAGGGGATTTTTCCTGCCTGTCATCCATTCCTCAATCTCAGCACAGACTGAGAGAAGGATAGTAGGCAGGAATATTCCCCTCCCCATTTTCCTGCCATTCGTGACAAGAAGTAGCTGGGAGGGGAGGGGCTGGGGAGGGGCCCCTCGATGTGAGTGATGTTGAGTTGGCCATGCCCACCCAGTCACATGACCTCCCTACAACAAGCCACACCCATAGAACCAGTAGGGGAATTTTTTAAATTTTACCCCTGGTTAAATGCCTGGATTATACAAATGTCTCCACTTTTCAGCTTACTCCATTAAGTAAAACATAGGCAAGGTCATGGATCCCATTTTCAAGGACGGAGAGCAAAACAGGCTGTAGGATGTCATCTGGAAGAACAGTCCGGTACAACATAAAGCCATGGGTCTGAAATATAAAATGAAAACTAATGCAAATGTGGACTGCAATCCAAACATGAAACGCAAGATTTAAAGAGGATTTTTTTTCAGATTTGAGTTTTCTTGAATTTTCTAGTGGAACTACTCTTAGCTTCCCTTTTTGATGCTACAGACTTCACTTCTTACCTGCATCAGAGCCTCAAAAGTGAGGGGGAAAGAAGAATGGAATGGTAGGCCCGGGGAGAGAAGACTTAGAATATCCAAAAAGGCCACACACTGTAAGAAAAAACTGAAATTGTATTTATAATATTTAAAAAGTAAGATACAAAAAACGTATTTCCCCAAATCATTTCCATTAAAAATATCAAATAATATTACAAAGTAAGTATAAGCAACATTAAAACAAGCAGAAAGATAACTATATCATTTAAAAAATGCTTTACCATATAAATATATCACTTTTAAAAATGAGAAAAGTGGTTCTGCTAAATTCCTGATGTGGGCATGGAGCACAACATTTCAATACTGGTGCCATCAATACCATCAGACATGTTTTATATATCAACAACTCTTTTTTGTTCCAAAATCTGTTTTAATACCTTTGATTCCATCTTGGGAAACAACATGTAAGACTACAGGAATAGCTTACCCATTAACCAATTCATGAACATCTGATGGAATACAGTATCTTCAAACTCTAACTTACCAGTGGTAAAGATACATAACCATATGAAAATTTGGGAGTGGGAGGTGGCATTGGTCCTGCAGGCACAAGTTGAAACTGCAGTTTTTTAAAGAAAGCAAAAGAGGTCAAACTTAACATCAATTTCAGCTGATGACAACATCACATTTAGCAACTGAAGCACAGAAAGAATAAACCAGTTACCTTGCCTCGATGTGGCTCCTATCAGAAAAAAAAATCTTTAAAAATTGGAGGTGGGGAGATAACTTTTAAGCAATTCATCTAAATCCCCAGTATTATCTACCATCTGCTAGTGAAACATCACCACTCTCTTGTTCCAAAAATAGTTGTACTACAAGTGGAGGAGAATGAGAAAATAATTGCTGAACTAAAGATTGGTACATGCAGTTCATTGGAGATTTGGATGTGGAAAGCCCAAATATAATTTACCACACTTTTACTTGATTGCATTATTGAACCAGATTTGGCTATATCATGGCTGTCTGGTG